TGTCTGAACTTTCTCCTTGGACATAGTCAATCCGTCGGGAGAAAGAATGTAACCCAAATACTCAACAGTATCCATATTGAATTCGCACTTCTCGGGATTGGCGTAAAGCCGATGATGGCGTAACCGCCGAAGAACTTCCTTGACGTGTTCTCGGTGTTCTTCTGGCGTATCAGAGTAGATTAGAATATCGTCCAAATAGACGATGACACAAACATCGAGCATGTCAGAGAAGATGTCATTAACAAACCGCTGGAAAGCCGCAGGGGCGTTCGTAAGGCCGAACGGCATGACCTTCCATTCGTAAGAGCCGTAGCGGGTCCGAAAAGTGGTTTTCCATTCGTCACCTTCAGCGATTCTGACTAGATGATAAGCGTGAGCGAGATCCAATTTGGTGTATATTTTAGCTCTTTTCGGAGCGTCGAGAAGATCTGATATGAGTGGGAGTGGGTAACGATCCTTTTTGGTGATACGATTGAGTCCACGGAAATCGACGCAAAGGCGAAGTTTGCCGTCTTTCTTCGGGACAAAAAGGACCGGAGCGCCGTGAGGAGAGGATGATGGGGTGATGGCACCAGTAGCCAGCTGTTTGTCAATAAAGTCTTTAAGGGCAACTAGCTCCTTTTCAGACAAAGGGTAAATACGGCCGAGAGGCGGCGAAGCGCCCTCTTCCAAGTCAATCTTCAGGTCGTAAGGTCTGTGTTCAGGAAGTGAATCTGCAGCAATCTCGTCGAAGACGTCTGCAAACTCTGCGTACTCTTCTGGGATAGAAGGATGGAGTGGAGGGACAGTAGGAGTGGTGGAGGAGCGGTCGGCGGCGCGGGCCGCAACCTCTGAGTGGATAGCACGAAGTAAGATGGGTTCCATACCAGCGTCCTTGCAAGCCCTGTTAAAGACTGCAGCACTGACAAGTGCAATGTCGACCTCGGGAGTTTCCAGTTGAGCAGCGAATTGAGAGACCGTAGGGTAGGAGTAGATGGGTTCAAAGGGGAATTTGGACGAGAGGGGCTTGGCCCGTAAAGTCCGAGAGCGGGAGCGAGAGCGAGAGCGAGGTGAGTCCCCAGGAGGGGTCTCCAGAATTGTCGGTGAAACCGACGGCGAAGGTTCCGGTAGCGGAACAGCGACCTTTGCATCAACGGTGTTGATAGCAGAAGGCACAGACGTCTGTGGAGAATCAGGATGTGAAGTGTTACGGAACGTAATGTTTCGAGATACCCAGTCAATCAACGGATTGTAGCGGGATAAGAAACTGTAACCTAATACTGCTTTACAAGATGAATCTAAATGTGTAACATAGAAGGGTAAGAGAAGCAGCTCGCCGGAAGGAAACCGAACGGCGATATTCGCCATATCGGTAATGGGTTTAGAAGACAATGAACCATCAAAGAGACGAAGATTAACAGGAGAAATTTTGGTCGTAGGAATAGAGTTCTGAGAAACATAACGAGTATCGATGAAAGAGTCAGTAGAACCAGAATCAACAAGAGTAGGAAATTTGAGGAGAGCAGAGATGGGTTCGGCCGGCGCGGCCGAATCGGATAACGAGAATTCAGTAGTTAATGAAATTACAAGAGAACGTTCAATGGAAGAAAGAGCGGACGCGTTGAGATATAACTCCCCAGGTGAGGTACGAACCTGATCAACGCAGCTCCCGTTTCGTACCGGGGAACAAGAGCTGCGGATTAGTTTTCCGAATCCTCTTCAACAACCTCAATGGTTGCTTCGGGGGTTTCTTCAACCTCGGCAGCGCGGCCCTTCGATTCTCGGGCTTTTCGCTTATTGCAGTCAGCAATCTGATGCTTACCACCGCAGAAGAGACAAAGGTTGTTCTTCATCCTTCTTTCCCGTTCGGAGGGAAGTACTTTACCATCTGCTCCTAGATGGTTGAACGCGGGGCGCTGACTGCCGGATTGGCCGGAATTCGAAGAGTTCTGGGGCTTACCATTGTTGTTAGGCTTACCACCAGAGAAGGGTTTAGGTTTCGGCGCGAGCGGCGCCGAAGAGCCCGAAGGCTGAGAATTGTTTTGCTGGTTAGTAGAACCAGTCTTGAAGTCCGAGGAACCCTTCTTCGGGTTCCGAGCAATAAAAGGCTTACCAGCCTCACGCTTTCTAGTTTCCTCGCGTTTCCAATAACGATTGTCAATACGAAGAACTTCTTGACGGTAATCGGCGAGCGTCGCCGGCTCGGGCAAACGCGCCATTTCGTCCTTGATGCGCTCAGCTAAGCCTCGTCCATAAGCCCATTTCAGGGCAGCAGAATCCCAGTTGGTACTAGCAGCCAGGGTGTTGAACCGGATGTTGTATTTCCGGATGTTCTCAGTTTCCTTCATCTTCAGATTACCGAGAGAATCTTCGGCCTCACCTTGGGCGTCGTAAACGCCGAAATTATCCTGAAGCTCCTTTACAAGGGCTTTGAAGGAGGACGTCCAGGCCGGCAGCGAGTCGAGGTCCGGATCGAGAATATCAGGGACAAACCATTCTTTGGCTGACCCACTGAGATAGGAAAGGGTGTAGTTCACCTTCCGTTGGTCGGTGAAGTACTTGGGACGGTCATTGAAGACCAGGGCGAGATTGACGAAGAACGTCTTGAGTTTTCGGGGATCCGAACCGTCGAATACCTCGGGTTCCTTGACCTTACTCTTAGATTCAGAGCTGTCAGAGGGACGGCCGAGTGCGGCGAGAACGGTACCGAGGGTTTCAATGGAACCCTTGAATCCCGAGAGAAGATCCAACATAGCTCGTTGCTCGTTGGGGATGTCAGGAGAATTAGGAGAACGAGGACCACCAGGTCCACCAGGACCACCAGGTCCGCCGGGACCGCCAGGCCCACTGGGGTCACCAGGCTCACCACGCGGTAAACCGCCGGAGTCGTCATCCAGATCGTCATTGTTGTTGTCGGCACCCGGATCGTCGGGGTCGACAGGAGGGTCTTGATCATCGTGATCACCAGTATCCAAATCGAAATGAGGAGGTGGGTCACGAGGAGATTCAGAAGCAGCTCGACGTTGGGGTTGTTTTCCCGTACGGCGGGCTATGGCTTGGAGAATTGGAGAATCAATTCGAGCAGTTGACCGGCCCCGAGCCGGAGCGACCACGGGGGGTTGTCCACGGCGAGGGGTCAAGACTTGGACAGGTTGTCCGTCACCGGTGTACAAAGTGCTGTACTCAAATTGCTGATCTTCTTCCATGGCTTCAGGAAGAGTTGACGTAGTAGGAACTGTGGCTGGACCGAAACCGCGATTACGGCGACGTGGTTGACCGATGGCAGAGATAGAGTCGGAGAATGGGGCAAATGATTGAGCTGTGGTGAAGAAAGTGTTTTCTTCGGAATTAGCTCTGGATTGAGCTCGAGTTTTCGGAGGCATAAAAAATGATATGTCAGTACGACGTTACGGATTCAGTTTAATTATACTGTTAAGATCATGCAACCCGTGTAACCGTGCCAGAGGTCACAGAGTGTCTAAGTGCGGAATACGAATGGGACAGTAGTGAAGTTATTGACAACACCGCCGTTACGCCGTATGTCCCCGGAGGTCGAGAGTATAGAAGAGAGGAGCTGAGTAGCAGCCAAGTCGGAGCGGCGATAACGCCGGTGACGAGGAGCGAACCAGAGAACGTATAAGTCCTAAGGTAGAGTAGAGAGAACTTCAAGGCAGTAAGCCTGAAGACTTAGAGGAGCACAGAGTGAAAGAGGGAATCTAAGTCGATAATTAAACTGAGGAACTACAGTAGCGTACAGGCAGTATTTATATCTACGGATCGGCGCAGCGGTGCGGAGCGCCAGACTAACTACTAGGAGCTATACGAGTAGTACCTGCAGGGTAGAGTAAAAGACAATAAGAAGGGACTAGAACGAAAGGGTATGTGTCGCGAGAAAGAACAATAAGAGTGAGATAACAATAAGGAGCAGATCTTCGGAATCCCGAGCAGCGGAATGGAGGCCCGCTGCATGGACTTGACACACGGCTACTAAAGCTGTTGCCAAACAACCCCCAACGGGTATTGCGATCTCAGCGCTTTTATCCTGTGGTGTCCCCTGGCATATTCATAGCGCCGGTTTTGTTCACGGTGGTCAGTACGGTTTGCGCAAGTCGAAAGTTGAATGCAGTCGCTTACATTCACAAACTACTATTAGACTTCACCACCTCAAATCTTCTTTTTCGTCTATCACACCATGCCGTGGAATGGTCAGATGATGAAGTTTACCTGCATCTTGGGGACCCGGTTACTGACACAGTAAGAACGTGGACTGGTGAGCCTGTGGGGCCTCATGCACCATCAAGTCTTACAGAAGCTATCGATCACTCCTTGTTCACGAAGACCAACTTGCTTCAGGAGAACATTCTTGTCGCAGACTTTGGGCAAGCGTACACTGCTGCCATGCCCGAAGACCACAAACCTAGAACCAGGCTGAATTATATGTCACCAGAGGCTCTTTTTGAAGGTCGCGCAGGGTCTGAGGCAGATGTGTGGGCATTGGGATGTGCTATTTTTGAAATTAGAGCAGGGTTCCCGCTTTTCGACTCCTTCTTTCCCAGTCACACAGAAGTAATCACCCAGATGGTTTGTACACTTGGAAGGTTGCCGGACCCCTGGTGGGATGCTTTCAAAAATCAAGGACAGTTCGAAGAAGATGGTCGGCCGAAGAAAAACACGAAACTCCTCTTATCATCTATTCGAGAACGATTATGCTCTTTGGGAGAGATCCCGGCTTCTAAGGTAGATCCGATGTTCGAAAATACCGAGATGAAGGTGGACGAAAAAGAAGTCAATCTCCTGGCGGACCTTTTAGAGAAAATGATGAGGTACCGCCCAGAGGATAGGATAAGAATACGAGAGGTTGTCAATCATTCGTGGTTCGGGTACGATATCTAATAGGATACTCTACTAATAAGTTGTGATGTACTCAATGAGGCCCTTCAGCATTGAAATATCGACCATTGCTGTAGTCGAGGGGGTAGGCGCTAAATAATCAGGTGGTCACGGTCACGCGTTGTATGTCCCTTGTCGTTCGCCATGTCGCCCCGCATCTTTTCACAAGATCTAAATCTGGTTCTCGTCCACCCCGCCGCTCACCACTCTCATATATCATGGTAAATACACCAGACAATATCTCGGGACCTGAAATCTCGCAACTCTCTGGCAACAGTAGTACGGACTCGAGTGAGCACTGGGGGTAGCTTTCCTCTTAGAATTGGATATCACGACTTTCGGGACGGATAGCTTGAACTCGATGCACAGCTCTTACCAGCAAAATTTTGGCCCAGCATGTATGGTCATTTTTATCTGTTTCTTCTCTAGCGAGCTAATCCCAGTCTGGAAGCTTCCTCTCCCCAGCAGTCCTCATCGAGACCTGAGAACCACTCTCGGTCGCAGTCTCAATCCTATGAGTCCAGCACCATGGATCTGACGGACATGCACCCGCCTCAAAGCCCTGACTCATTTCACTCTAGCTCCATACAGGGCCATTCAAGTTTTGGTCAGAAGCCAAGGGAGGTTGAGATAAAAGAAGAGCAGGCAAAGCTGGAGAAGAAGATTGTGAAGCTGGAGGTGAAGATGGAGAAGAAGGAGGTTGAGTGGAAGTTGGAGAGGGAAAGGCTGGAGAAGGAGTGGAAGGAGGAGAGGGAAAAGAAGGCTGATGAGTGGAAGTTGGAGAGGGAAAAGCTGGAGAAGGAGCGGAAGGAAGAGAGGGAAAAGTTGGAAAAGAAGGTGGATGAGTGGAAGTTGGAGAGGAAAAAGCTGGAGAAGGAGCGGAAGGAGGAGAGGGAAAAGTTGGAGATGAAGATTGACAAGAAGGAGGACAAGATTGAAAAGAAGGAGGAGGAGTGGAAGGAGGAGAGGGAAAAGTTGGAGACGAAGACCGACAAGAAGGAGGAGGAGCTGAAGGCAGAGAGGGCAGAATGGAAAGCAGAGAGGGAAAAGCTGGTGCAGCAGATCGAGGCATTGAAGATGGGGCACATTCAGAGCGGGTCAATTTCTGTCAGTGATGACACCTTGGTTCTGAACTCTACTTCGGTGACTTGCTAAGCTCCCTCTTTGGTTCCATTCGCTTTCCCTGAATCCATTCATGTAGGTATCATACACAAATGCAGCCCAATGTAGATTACCTAGTATATTGCACAACACTAGTACTGCACATATAAACATTGTTTTAATTGCAGCCCTCCTCGCAATAAGACCTATTGCCAGCATATCCAACTACAAATCACGAATTGAGCGAGCCATATTTGTACGCAGGCGGATCAGGACCTCCGCATAGTCTTTCTCGTTGGATAGAATGGTGGTTTGTATTTGCATTGGTCCCCTATATCGAGGTATGATAAATAAAACACAAGACAAAATACTGCTGCCTCTCTTTTCACCGTTCACAGGTAGATGGTTCTAAATTCTACGATATATTAGGATAGAGCAGGAGTAAAGATGAGTCGTCCGGTCAGTCTCTAAGACCAGAATGCGGACTCGGATGTGATGATATTGTGGTAGGCAAAAATCGTGTAGGCAAAGGTTATTGAGTACGGAGTCATACTGGAAGCTTGTCGCTATGCCGACGATAAAATTTTGAGAAGTGCAAATAGTAGAGTGGTAGTCTGATAAACACATATTGCCGAGTTTGGTAGGTTCAGATTGGGCCTCAAGGCGCCCGGCTGCTCTGTCTTTCAATTTGATACCTTCTTGTTACTCTACTACCATCCCGGACATTGTCATCTTTCATTTACTGTACTTCACTTTGAAAAAGCCTCGCACCACCATCTTCTTGCTCACATCCTGAAACCCGCCTGTCTGTTGTACGTTCTTACGACGTGACACGCTCCTCTGCAGCTATTTCGTTTTCGAAATCTTCGAAGTTTTTCAAGACTATTTTCAAACCAAATGGTGTGGGTTCAATTTTATCTGATGCTCTTGGATCTCATTATTGCTACCAGGAAACACACAATCAAGATCCCGAGGAGTTCTATGTCAAGCAAGACAGAATTGGTTTGCCAACTGAATCTATTCCCGAAGCGTCTTTTAATACATCTTCACAGGCAAGGGATCTTTTGGAGAAGTTTACAAAGGGTGAACTTATCTTCTGGTTCTTGTTTTCTCGCAGCTCTATTGATCTCTACTCAGTTACGACAAGAGAACACAGAAGACCGTAGCTATCAAGATTATAGATTTGGAGAGCGCAGAAGATGAGATTGAGGATATCCAGCAGGAGATACAAATCTTGTCGCAACTGGACTCACCTCATGTCACGAAGTATGTGTGCAGTCCAATGGTTAATCTATACAATCTCTCAATCTACTGTTGCCATCGTACAGGTATCATGGATCGTACCTGAAAGGCTCCAACCTCTGGATTGTGATGGAATACTGCTCAGGTGGATCATGCTCCGATCTAATGAAGCCAGGCGTGTTCCGCGAAGAATACATAGCAATAATTGTCCGAGAACTATTGCGAGGACTTGAATACCTGCATTCGGAGGGCAAACTTCATCGTGACATCAAAGCCGCCAATATTTTACTATCCGCAGGCGGCGAAGTGAAGCTCGCCGATTTTGGAGTTTCAGGACAACTTTCTGGCACTCTTTCCGCCAAAAAGAACACCTTTGTTGGGACGCCGTACTGGATGTCTCCTGAAGTCATCAAGCAAAGCGGGTATGACCACAAAGCGGACATATGGAGCTTGGGTATTACGGCCATCGAACTGGCGAAAGGAGAGCCTCCTTACGCAGAACTACATCCCATGAAAGTACTGTTTCTGATACCAAAGAACCCGCCTCCAACCCTGGACGGTAATTTTTCAAAGCCTTTCAGAGAATTTGTATCATACTGTTTACAGCGTGACCCTCGAGAAGTAAGTTATAAGCTATTCGTGTTGTGAACACATTTTTCTTACGGTCCCTAACAAGCGTCCTTCTGCTCGCGAGCTACTCAAACACAAATTCGTGCGGATGGCCAAAAAGACGAGCTATCTGACGGAGCTGATTGAGAGGCATGAACGTTGGCGAGCAGAGGGTGGAGATCGAATAGATGACGAAGATAGGGATATGGTGCCGGATTTGTGAGTCATCGACTGTAAAATTCTTGTGTAAATGCTCAATGAAGCCTTTCACACAGGCCAGCAAGTGGCGATCCCGAAGATCTCTGGGATTTCGGTACCGTACGACACGTCAATGACCGTGGAACTGTTGGACGTTCCCATAACCCTGTCCAAGTCTCCGGGCCACCTCTTACATGGGAGAACAATGGAACACATTCATACGATTCTTCTTCATCTAGTGGTGGTTCGTCCTTCCGCCGTGACTCTAGTTATAGTCACAAATCAAATGCATCGTCGCATGGATCGTCCGTGACAATGACACCGAACAACAAAGGTGATTTACCGCCTCTCCCTTCCTCTGCAAAGAAAACAGGTTCTTCAGGTTCTGGCTCAAGGTATTCAGACCAGCAAGCAACGGTTCGACATATGCCTCCGGCAGCTGGTGCCACAACAACAGCAGCAGCGGTAGCATCTACCCCACGTTCAGGCAACTCGCGTGTTGTTCATAGGGAAGCCTCGGACGAGTACGATGACGATTTCACTTACGAAGATGATGAGGGGTATGCAGGCGGGTATCGACAGTCGGATGAGATATTAGAGGAAAAGATTTCGCGTACACACTTGACGGATGATGAAGTAGAGGTTCCTGACACAACAATGTTAGATTCAGTCATTCTACCTGCCATTGCTTCCGTGAGTTGATCAGACTCTTTGCCTTGCCTTGATTGGGTTCTAACTAGCGCGAACACTTTACAGCTTTTCCCTCGTGTATCAACGCAAGAGGCCCGGGTAGCTTTGAGTGCTCTTCAGAGAGCGTTCACTGAGGCGGAACGAATAATTCCAGGGGTAAGTATGGAGCTCGTCAATGAGATAGTTGACTCTGTTGAGCATGTTGAGGATGAGCGATGAGTATAGTGTGGACATAGTTTACCATGGATCATGGACTCCAGGTTTTTAGGATCGGATTTTACCTCTCTCGTTCCATCATTGTATCGCCGTTGCTCTCACTGTCTAGTAATCACTCACTGTCTTGTATTTTGATACCTCTCAATGCTCAAAGCTCTCACCCATCATTCAGTGTTCCCATTCCTGAGTGTTACACCCAACACTTCGAGTTAGACGCGCTTATTCTAGATATTTGTGCTTTCATACTACATGGAGAATGTCACAATCAAACAACTGTGACGTGACAAAATTCAAAGTTCTCCACAGTACTACTACTAGTACTGTGAACGCTGCCGGATCTCTCGCATTCGTCTTTCAGAATGGCTCTGGTATCGGCCTACTCATCTGATGAAGATGATGCATTCTCCGCGGGGGATGTTTTTGGACTTTCAACTCTTCCCTCTGCAAAAAAACCTCGCGTCGACGATTTGGTCAAACAACAATTACACGCTGCTCCGGATGTATTATCTGAGGTACGTCCTCTTCCTTTCTCTATTCTACCGGAATACCTGATTTTCTCAACCAGGACCCTCTTCACCAAACGTCGCTCGTCACTCGTCCAACAGACACGCAAATGAACGTCAACATAAAGTACGACGACATGATGTTGCCTTTGCAAGGCCCCGAGAATCCTTTTGGTGACAGAAAACGGTTCTTGAATCAGAATGCTCTCGCTGGTCATGTTGAAGAGCAGTCTATGACGGAGCATGCCTTTCGTTCTCAGCACCTCACCCATGCCATCCTTGGTTATTCTGCAAATCCGTCAATAGACCCAAATGCCCCTGCAGTTCTCGGTTCAATAGAAAGTGCACAATCAAACGGTTTTTCTACAATCGATACTCTGCGTGCTACAAGGAGCCAGCGTAAAGAATTAAAGCGAAAACGAAAACAGAGAGGCGACCTGGATATCGTGGAAGGAGAGGGAGCTTATGTCGGTCCTTGGGCGACTTGGCAAGGAGATGAACCTGAAAATCATTTCTTAACTGGTGTAGAAGTAGGTGATGAGCAAGAGGAAGAGGAGGAGGAAGAAGAAGAAGAAGTCGTAAAGACGAAGAAAGCAAAACCAAAGCGCGGCGCACCTGGTCAGGAAACATCTATCTTCCATGGAAAGTCTATGACAGACTACCAGGGCCGAACGTACATGTCACCACCTGTGGCGGAAGCACCAAATCTATTGCAGGAAGCTGGGTCGCAGGAATGTTTCATTCCAAAAGTTTGTATACACACCTGGACCGGTCATACGCAAGGCGTATCGGTCATTCGTACCTTCCCGGAAACTGGTCATATGTTCCTCAGCGGCTCGATGGATACAAAAATCAAAGTAAGTTTATTTTGTTGTCTTTGGAAGCCCAAATTGACTCGCCGTCTATAGCTTTGGGATATATATACACATGGAAACTGTTTACGCACTTTCCATGGACACGTCAAAGCCGTGAAGGATGTAACGTTCTCGAACGACGGCCGTCAATTTCTATCCTGTAGCTACGATCGAACAATCAAACTATGGGATACTGAAACCGGCCAGTGTATCAAACGCTTTGGTAATGGGAAGATTCCTTATGTCGTCCGGTTCCACCCAGATCAAGATAAACAGCACATTTTCCTCGCTGGTATGTCGGATAAGAAGATTATTCAAGTTAGTCTCAGTTTTTTGTCTGGTTTTCAAACGACCGAACATATCATATTGTTGTAGTACGATATGAACACCGGCGACATTACACAAGAATACGATCAGCACTTGGGTCCTGTCAACACCATTACTTTCGTTGATGAAAACCGCCGCTTCGTCACCACCTCGGACGACAAAACAATACGGGCTTGGGACTTTGATATACCTGTGGTCATCAAGTATATCGCTGAACCACACATGCATTCGATGCCAGCTGTGACGCTCCATCCTTCGAGTGCGTCGCCTCTAGTTCCTGTATCCGTTCAGACTCACTTCTCAACCTTTTCTTTCGCGAATAGATCGATACTTCGCGGCACAGTCGCTCGATAACCAAATCCTTGTCTACAGCACTGACAACTTTCGCCAGAATCGTAAGAAACGATTTGCTGGTCATTCTGTAGCCGGATACGCGTGTCAAGTGGGATTCTCCCCAGATGGAAAATGGATTAGCAGCGGAGACGGAGAAGGAAATGTCGTTTTCTGGGACTGGAAGACAGGGCGAATCAAGTCCAGGCTGAAGGCTCACTCGAAAGTCGTCATTACTCACGAATGGCTTCCTCATGATACAGTACGTTTGTCATTTTTGAAAGTTATTTGAGCTCATTTTTTCTGTCTAGTCAAAAGTAATCACGGCGTCATGGGATGGACTTATCAAGCTATGGGTGAGTTTTCTCAGATTGACACGACGCCCACCACACTGACAGATGTATTGTACGCGCAGGATTGAGAACCTTCGAACTCAATAATCTTATTTTCGTTGTACATACACACCCATATAATAACATGTTGTAACACGATTCTCTGCTTGCATATGGACGCAACCACTGCTCCCAATGCTGCACCTTGCTGCACTCGATATCACGAGGCCCTTCTTATCTACATATCCAGATTCGTACCAACCAAAAGTTGGAGGATCCGTCTGAATGGGGTCCCTACTACGTGGGTCGAGAACGCATCCTTTTGACTTCCACAGAACGTTTTACATCGAAGGAAGCCCTATCCCTCTCTTTCCCTCCTCGCTGCGGGGAGTGAATGACAGAGAACAAGATCCCGAAGATAAGCACAAGATGAGAGAACCTTGATAAGAGGAAAGGAATTTCAACATTCGAGATACTGACATTCCAGCAAATGGATCCCGGAGCATTCGGCATGAGCTTTTGAGCTCACCTTGTACAAATCAAGAGGGATTCCCTATCCTCACGCCGTCGAAATATCCGTAGACAAAAGTGACAGCCTCTTCAAAGCCCCCGAGCTTTAGTTCCTTTGAAGTTCGAACACACACCTCTATACACCCTTACACACCCATCGTCGTTACCGTCGGAACAAATTGGTGCGGGCCTTGTTTCCATGTGAAATGCAGGGGGATAATTTGAATAGAAATTTCAGGGCTGGTTGCGCCAATTTCAGTTCCAGCGCTCATCGCTCTTTTTCATCCGATTTAAGTCGTCCTCTGGTGTATTAGGCACCACAATTACTGCCCCTCGTACCATCTCGTACCACTGTAGCCTCTAGCAGGATGTTAGTCCACTATCAGTTTGCCTTGCTATTCGCTTTTGTTTTGAGCGTTGCGACTGCTATGCCGGTGAGTATCCTGGTTTTGTTGCATGGTCAATCAGAATTCCAACTGTATGTTGATCCAATTTTGACATCAGCTCGCTGAGGATGCTATAATGGCCCGTGCGGACGCTGTTGAGAAGCGTCAGAAGTCTGGACCTCCTTCCTGGAAGTGAGGTGGAATGCTGGACATCACTTGAAAGGCGCCGTTTTCGTCCTGTGGGTTGCATTCTAGTTACGGTTCAGTGATTTTGCTAACGACATCGTTTGCAGTGGTCGCTTTGATTACCCGTTCTCCGAACGGCCTCTCCTGGCCTCTCACAATCGAACCTATCCACTCATTTGCGGTATTCAGGATTGTTGTTTTATTGAGTCTACTCTGCTATTCCCTTGGATCGATTGGATATGCTTGAAGAATATTTCTGGTTTATGTTATACGTTAAAGAATCAATTCAGTGTAGGGATCGGCTGAAAGATGAAAGAACTTTTTGAGACGTACTTCGGTCTATGTACTTCGGTGCTACTAGGTGGCGTGAGAACGAATTGCTACGCTGTCACAGATGTGACGCGTCGCGTACTATTAGTTCTGTTCACTTTAGGTCGATTCAGCTCAGATTCAGCTATGGACGATACTAACAATACAAACAGCGGTCCCACAGAGAACGACAAGGCCCGTGTATTCGAAGAATTCCTTCTCGCTCCTGAAGAAAATGTCTACAACTACCAAAAAGACATTGCCACGATGATACGAAAAGACCAGACGCGTCTCATCGTGAACATTGATGACCTGCGCGACTACAACCGCGAATACGCCGATGGTTTACTCAAAAAACCCATAGACTATTTCCCAGCATTCGAAATTGGCCTGAAAAATGCAATCAAGCTCGTGGCTGGCGAAAAATATGCTTTGAAGAAGTCGTACAAGATTGGCCTTGGTGGGTCGTTTGGAGATCATCATGTCAGCCCACGGAACCTGCACTCAGGTCATTTGAGCAAAGTCATCTCGTTGGAAGGAATCGTCACGCGTTGCTCTTTGGTTCGACCCAAAATGATGTCGTCCACGCACTACTGTCCAGAGACGCATATGTTTTGGGAAAAATCATATGACGACGCGACAACTTCCTACTCTCATACCGTGCCAACCAGCGCGCTTCCGCCACAGACTGATGAGGAGGGCCATCAGCTTCAGATAGAGTACGGTCTGTGTGGGTTTAGAGACCACCAAAGGATTAGCATCCAGGAAATGCCTGAGCGCTCTCCCCCTGGTCAACTTCCTCGGAGTACAGATGTAATCATGGATGACGATCTTGTGGACCAGTGTAAGCCTGGAGATCGCATTCAGCTCGTTGGTTTCTATCGTAGTGTGGGTGGTGGCTCCACTGGTGCATTCAAGTGCGTGCTATTTTTCCTTTGTAATGTATTTGTCCATTCATTACTTGGCAGGTCCCTCCTCATAGCAAACAATATCAACCTGTTGACTTCTAAAATTGGAGGTGGCATCGCCCAAACTCAACTCACCGATACCGACATCCGAAACATCAATCAACTCTCTAAAAAGTCAAACATCTTCAGTCTTCTTTCAGAGTCGTTGGCTTCTTCAATTTATGGACACGAATACATCAAACGCGCAATATTACTTCTTCTTCTCGGAGGCGCAGAAAAGAATCTGCCTAACGGTACCCACATTCGTGGTGATATCAATTTGCTCATGGTCGGAGACCCATCCACGGCAAAATCACAACTGTTGCGGTTCGTTCTCAGCACTGCGCCTCTAGCAATCGCTACTACAGGACGAGGAAGTTCAGGTGTCGGTCTTACTGCTGCTGTCACGTCAGATAAGGAGACTGGAGAAAGGCGGTTAGAGGCAGGCGCAATGGTACTTGCAGATCGAGGAGTTGTGTGTATTGATGAGTTCGACAAAATGTCGGACGTCGATCGAGTCGCTATTCACGAAGTTATGGAACAACAGACAGTCACCATTGCAAAAGCCGGTATCCACACAAGTTTGAATGCACGGTGTAGTGTAGTCGCTGCAGCCAATCCTATCTACGGACAGGTGCGTATCATCATCATCTATCTCACTTACTCCTCCTGAACTGTTCATACAGTACGATATTCACAAGGACCCTCACAAGAATATTGCTCTTCCCGATTCTCTCCTCTCTCGTTTTGACTTGCTTTTCATCGTGACTGACGATGTCGAGGAAGAACGCGACCGCCGAATTGCGGACCACGTCCTTCGTATGCACCGCTATCTGCCACCTGGGGTGGAAGAAGGCACACCTTCACAAGACATTCTATCTCAACCCCTCTCTGTCGAAGGGCCCGGTGTTGCGTCGAATGAAGAACTAGACACGAGTCCATTTCAAAAGTACGATCCACTCCTTCACGTCGGTGTTGGCTCCGGTTCAAGCGGTAGACAGACAAGGAGTCAGACCAGGACTCAGACTTCGAAGAAGCCTGAAGTTTTAACCATCTCTTTCGTCAAAAAATACATACAGTATGCCAAGAGCAAGCCAGCTCCGGTTTTGACCAAAGGTGCCGCAGACTACATTGTACAAGTGTACGCTGGTCTCCGAAATGAAGACATGGAGTCGAACCAAAGAAAGGTAACATTTGTCTCTCACCATCGAGTTCTTTCTTTTGTTGACCAAAATCGTAGACATCGCCTTTAACCGCTCGTACCTTGGAAACTCTTATTCGTCTCGCTACCGCTCATGCGAAATCCCGCCTCTCTGCCAAAGTAGAAGAAAGTGATGCCAGAGAGGCTGAAATGATCATGCGCTTCGCTCTGTACAAGGAAGTTCCAAAGCGCCATCGTCGCAAGAAGAGAAAGTTGAACCACGGCGGCGCTGCCCGCAAGGGCTCCGAGAGCGGTGATGAAGATGATGAGGATAGTGAGGATGAGGATGAGGAGAACGAGGGTACACAGAGAATGAACGCGCCCCCTGCTCCTGCTCCTCGGGAACCCCAGGATCCCATATGGGGCGATGAGAGTCAAGATACAGATATGGTGGACGATGCTCCAGCGGAGTCGGAAGAAATGAGGAAGAGCAACAGGTGTGTAGCACTGCCATATTTTCCATAGAAGACGGCTATTTAACTAAATGATTAGGACGAAATCATTCCGCTCAAAGATATCTCACCTGTGGTCCACAACATTACAAGACCAGGAGCAGATTCCCTTGAAAGATCTTTTACCGATGGTAAATGAAGGTCTGACCACGAACGATTTATTCGGGACCAAAGAAGCGACGGATATTCTACAAAACATGCAGGAGAACGATGAGCTTATGTTGGCTGAGGACATTGTGTATAGAATTTGAATAGTGCGCCTACGTGCCCTTGTATATTCATCCTGTATTCAGCTTTTGTTGTCGTTCTGAGTGTAATTAGGTGTTGTATTCCAAAATGTATACCCATGTCACAGTGCGATCTCCCCGTTCACTTTTACTCGCTGAACTCCACCAATGATATGAATCTCAAAAAATTCCCTGCGCAAAACATAGATTCGAAATATATTGAATCTAGATGGAAGACTGAGAAGTATGTAGTTGTACGCATGCCATCCACTTTCTCAGTTCACTAAACTGATGTTGATGGGCAATTGTGGATGTTTGTCTTTTCCAACAACAGGAGCCGTCACACCATTCATCTGCCAAAAGATTTTGGAGTCTTTGTCCGAAGGGGAGAATTTGAAAGTTTCCACCAAGATGGAAATGACAACCTCTGTGTACCACTGTGTGAATCATGTTTTCCAAAAAACTTATCGCGGAAACGAACTCACTCATCTCTAATTGCGAGAACTTGAACCCACTGTCGATGCATCGAGGTTAGATTCATTCTTTGCGAGGCGCAGGGTACGTACATGCAGGAGCGTCCACCTCCAATAAAGGTCATCCTACATAGAAATAGGAAAATTACGTCAAAGGACCAGTCTCATGTACACAAGATCGAAGACCCACAAATGAGAATATACTCCAGGTATCCGGGCATCGACGAGCGATTCCGGGAGTGGCGAGAGCCATCTTTCAGGCTTCCACTCGTGAGCATCTGGAGGTATATCATCAATTTGCGCCTCATTGAAAGACGAACTTTCTTATATACCTTTACCCCACAAATCAGGGTTTCTGTTCGCATTGAAGATGGACACAAATATCGTTGTACCCTTAGGAACCGTGACCTCATGTATTTCAGTACCGTCTAAACCTATGATTGGTTTGTGAAGGGGTATGACTCCGTCTTGACGAGCACTTGCATGGACGGGACCAAGGATGAATGTTAGTATGTCTTCATAAATCAGACAGTACACGCTCTCACAATCGGACAACATTTGAAGCGGGGGCGTATCTTGAACGACACGTTAATGATATTTTAAATGACCAAGCTTGGAAGCAGAAACCTACAGACGAAGAGTCTCCCGACAGATAGCATCAAGGTACGGCAATTCAGTAAGTTCCTGGTATGTTAAATCTTGTCCGTCTTTCTGGCGTTTTGCCTCGATGAGTTCTTGCCGAAGTTTGTCCTGTGCATCAGGATGCTTGGATAGAAGATGGAGCAGGCGTGCCATTGCGCTCTAAATATAATGGCATCAATATTGGCCACAAATAGTAGGGAGAATAGTTAAAATCTCACCGAGGTTGTGTCCATTGCTGCAAAAATCAATGTACTGCCACCATTTCTCAATCAAACTTCCAGATATGAATAAATGATGACCTTACTTCATCTGAAAAATTGAGAATTGCTAGAATCAACTTGGTGTAGTAGAAGTTTTACAATAATCACCTGGCCGACAACTTCGTTATCTTGCAAGCGGTTCTCAGTAGACGCTTTCATGTTTTCCCTCACTAGAAAGGAAACCATTCAGATCAGGATGGGATCAACAAACGAATCACTGTACTGAGGATACTAATGAGATCCTTTCCTCTTCCTATCTGCTGGGAAACCGCCTCATCACCCATCTCGAACGCACGTTTCTTACTCTCGTAAATTTCTTCTGCTGTGCTGTGCATGTAATCAATCATGTCACGGATGTGATGAAGATCCTTCCAAGGCAACAAATTGACCACAAAACGACGGAGACCCGCAGTGCCAATCCGAGACACATACTGGAGTACGTTCATGCGCCAGAATTGCAGGCGCATCAGAGTCGGGCTGAAAATTCAGATGCATGAGTTGAAAGTGAGATGGAAAAGCAATTTCAGAACAGACAGAAGCTCTTTTATCGCCTTACTGTAAGGATGGAAGGATTCATCGTCTGTCAAAGGGTCAAAGGAATAGCCTAGGCCTGCCTGACCCATTATTTCCAAGGCGGTACGACCCATCCAGGAGAGTATATCGACCTTGGTATATTATTGCAACTCTATTACAGTTAGGAAAAATGTACACGTACCTCTTGAGTCGGAGGACCACTTTGTAGCCTATTCCTAAGCGCGCATTCTAACTGAACTTTGTTTGAGATAAATCCATGATATTGAAAGAGCACACAATACCTGGTGACTGACTTGAAAAAACGTCGGGACTGTGCAGAACTTGTTAATATGTCACACAGGGATGTAAACTTCGTTCATGCGTACTCATTTCCCGCATATGTGCGGCCGAGAAGATAGGATTAAGCATTTTCCGCTGTTGACGATGTTGGTGCCCTTGATTCAATGAGTAATGACTTCGTGGAGAAAAAAAAACCGACCAACCCAAAGTTCCAAGCAATCCGTTTCCGAAGATTAAAAGGTTGCTCCTGAAAAGTGAATCGGAAACGAGCGATTGTATCAGTCATAATATATATTCAAGTTGATTCTTAGCACGAACTCTATAAAACCGTCACTCTCTTCGAAAATATCTTGATCCTAATTGGTCCCTCGATCAAAATCAAGACGACATTGTCAAATAGGTAATCGTACTTTTACTAGTACCGTATGCATCGCTTTGGCGTCAAATGTGTAGAGTGATTTTGTCTGTAATTTCGTTGAGATGGACTTCTTTTTGCAGGTCAAGAAGATCCTTTCTTACCCCATAAGGGCCGTGTAGGCGAACCATACTCCCATCTGAGTAGAAGTTTAGAAATGATATGCAAGATATTGTAGCGTTGAGTTACATTTCTTGGCAATGAATTCGTGGAACCCCCAAGCGCCAGGATTGAACACTTGTTTAAAGTTTCCTGAGGAAAATAAGACTCAGAATGTCACAGGGTGTTTCCAGACCATACATACCTGTAATCCAGGAAGCAGAGCCTGGGCCTGGGACGTTATCTAGAGTTTTGTATTTCCTGCGTAAATATAACTGTAGGAGGACCACGGACAAGGCCACGATTCCTAAGAGCGGAAAACTCTGGAAGTCTGTAAACGTCATGATTTTTCCGCAATGTAGTAAAGAGAAGGCTTAAGACGCGTGGTTGCAAAATTTGCAGCTTTTATGAGAGATACCTACTCCGTATTTGATCGAATCCTGACATGAACTTGGAATTCTAATCGGCTGATACCCATTCACATTGCGTTGACAGGCTTGCGAGAAAAGCAGAAATCAATGCACGAAATTATATTCATGTGAACAGATGTGAACCTTTCTATGGTGATTACATAGGATGAGCTTATCAAATCTGTTGAGGCAGCCAGCTCTGACCTGGCGTTAATTTGTATGCAGTCGCCGAAATCGCGCCGTAAGCATAAATTTGATAGGTACCACCAGGGTACCACCGTACAAGCATAAACGTCTGCGCGGTGAGAGTAGCTCAAATACAAAACTCGAGCATGCCCAAAGTTTAGATAAGCATTTGTAAGTATTTGTAAGCTTCGACTGTAAAATTCATCCGAGTAATTAATTATTTATTGTTGATAAATAAATGAGCCATGCTTCGATCGGGCAAAGTTCACTATACTTAGCATTTCAAAAATTGAAGTCCTAGATACATTTCCTTTTGATCATACACTCATCATGAATTACAGGTGAACAAGCCCATTTTTTGAGGGCCAAAACCGAGTAAAAAAAATACAGTGCAAGCTAGAGCAGGTAAAATGACCCATTGGAGATTTGAACTTAGCTTTCATATAAATGCAATTATTTCACATGACTCCAAACTCATTAAACCACTACACAACACAGGTTATAGTGGGCATGCTCATGGGGCTATCTGTCTTGTATCAACATCCATTATACATGCAATTTTTGTATCCGTTGGTCATTATGTACACCATATGTTATTCTAACTTTTTAGGCATGCTTTCGACAGCAGTATTGATCTCAACCGCCGGATATGATAACAATGGATTTATGGAACTGCCGCTAACTGCCGGGGGCAACGCGCGCTAGCGCGCGCGGATAAGAGGTTAGCGATTACTAATATTAGTAATGCTTATCTAAACTTTGGGCAGGCTCGTTTTTCAAACTCGGGCGGAATCCGCCAGAATTTTCACTGGGCGCCTATGAAGTCGGAGTGAACTATGACAATATTGCCTGTTTATATGATTGTCTGCAGGTCCCGAGGCCCGAAGGTCTGAAGTATCATGCAACAGGCAATAAGCCTAGAGATAGATAGATATGTTCAGATCTGTCAGGAACCTAAACAAAGGTTTAGCCAACAGCCGGCGGATCCTCCAAGTAGTGGGGTAGTCCTATCGTTTTTGTGGCATTAGACCTTGCTAATCGCTGTATCCTTCGTGCACATCATGAGCTACTGACTCGCACTGAAGTATAATTATTCTCTCCTCCTTAAGATTCTTCCCACCTCTTCCCGGGTCAACTCACTGGACCCAACAACCTGTATTATAACATCCTCCCATTCATCTTCGTCTATCCCGCCAAAGGTAGCATTTGCGATTTTCTCTTTTACTTCTCCATCCACATCGACCAGGGTACCTGCCTCCGTTAACCTCGCCCACGGGGCTTCCACACGACTCCGACTACCGCCAAAAGCCTGTAAGAGTGTGGCTCGACACGTCTCCACCCATAAAACATGTTCCGCACGGATAGCCCTGCCTTCCGCTGCTGTGATACTACCACGATACAGGATTTGCCGTTGTAATAGATGTTCTGCAAGCCGGGAGGCGACCCTTCGGTAAAGTGACGTTAAAATTGGTGGAGGAAGCGTTGCACGCATATAGTTAAAATGTGTAGAGAGTAACGCTATAGGTGCCAAAAGAGTTTGGGATAGTGTGAAGTCATCATTGGTCTTTGGCGAAGATCCCGGATTAGGTCTAGAGAAGATACAGACATGAGCCCTTGAATAATGACCTAGAAGATTCAGACATACGACGTAGTGGTGGACAGATGAGGTTTCAAGCTCGACTCGATCTCTGCACAGACCTGCTGAACGATGACGTCCTCACTGCGACGGCTGACTTCCTCGTATCTGGCGATCGACGTTTCAAAAATCGTATCATGCGATTCATCATCGGCTTGGTTTGTCGAAGAATGCAAGGCAGAGTTTACTTGGGCAAAAGCGCGCAGGGCTGGGCGCTGCTTAATTTCCGTCCAAAGTTCGAGGAAGAACTAACCAAACCAAACAAAAAAAAACTGTAAGCATTGTGTCACCGATCCAAAAAATTGATTGGCACCTACCAAATCCTCTCCCCAAACTTTCATCGCAGTCTCAATAAACCTAGAACTGAGAAGGGCCTTGCACAGCCTCTGCACACCTTCAACACCCGATGTGAACCTCCCATGTTCAATATTGACACTGGAGGAATGATCTTCCTTCATACCCAGACTAACACTCAAGGCTCCTGGGACTGCACGAACAAGAGCGGAAGAAAGGGTCTCGTACGCATCCAAAGATGATGTTAATCGGCTCGAGTATTGCTCTAAAAGCGGTGTCTGCATTGAAAGGAGGAATCGTGTACGATGTAGGAAACTTGGGAGTGGAGAGTAACGATCTAAGATGAACTAGTGAATACGGACAATGGTCATCAGGACGAAGATTCGACGCACCGGTAATTTGTTCTATTAGAGCTTTCAGACGACGAGCAGAGTTCGTTGTTTTAAGGTCATGCCCAACGACCACTTCATCAGGCTCATCGTCGGCAATCTGCCAAGCATCGGGAGCGCTGATGATATCATGATATTGATTATCCGCGACTAGATTAACACCTCGTCAAAATCCGACATGATGAGAGAATTGAAAGACATCCATACATCGTTTTTCACCGTCCAACCAAGCGTCAAACCACTCCTTCTTCCCGAGGATAACATCGCAAACGCCCGGCCAAGCCTCCCCTGCAACACCGTCTCTTTTGGGTACAGTGTCACCTAAAGTCCCATCTAATTCAAATCCTTCCTCCCTCAAGGCAGCATCAAACTGAAGGGCTTGGTAGATGGTGTGCGCGAGTAAGGAAGGATGTGGTAAAAGCGATGGTACAGTCCTCCGCAGTTTATTTGTGAGAATTGGAAGGAGAAGGCGGGTAAATTCTCTCTATAAAGAAGGATGCATCATTGGAGACCCAGACTGAAGAGAGTTGCACCAGCGGACCTACCCATGCATTGATAGTTTGGCGATCTGCGGAATTTAACAGGAGCTGGACGACATGTTCAAGGAACGTTCGCTGGTCGTGAGCAACATTGAGGATATGGGTAAAGTACCACTCCGGCTGATATCCAGTTCAGATATATGGAGAATCAAAAGAGGGTAGGACTGACTTTGTCTGGCCTGTTGGTTTGTCGCGTGCCCTCAAAATGGTACTTGAACCGCAGAGCGACAGGTTGCACCAAAATCTCCAAAGGATAAATACCATCCTTCTCGGAGCGCGACCCTGAAGGACTTGAGATGATTTCTGAGCTGCAGAATGACAATGAACACAATTAGGACTCGCAGTCAAGCAAAGGGGCATACACTTTCTGCAACTGGAGTAAACGAAGAAATGCACGCTCGAACGCCGTTCTTTGATCGGTTGAGGCATTCGCATAGTCTACAGTCATTGGCCATTTAAGTTGTTCGGCCGCATCCAGTAGTGGCCTAGAGTTACTTTTTAGGATATGGACTTCGAAGAATAATCGAAACTAACGTCGAAATGGACTTCTTTATGTCAACCCATGTCCTTTCTAGAACTCGTCGTAGAAACTCAACAAGGTGAAGGTCTTGCTTTCCGGCCCCATCTTCTACAGATGAGCACGCATCCGCAACGTTCGACACGAAAACCTGGAGGGTTTGAAACTGTGCGACAGAGGATGTAGTTATCGGAGCAGAAGTGGAGAGAGCTCTGATTTGTTGTATAGATGATTCACTGAAGGAGTATCATGAGTATTTTTACTTGACAGGAAGGGTGAATATGGCTCGCCTCAGTTCCAATGCACGCTGTATAACTTGTGCGTATCCTTTTACCCCTTGTAAATCATCCAAGTTCCGGTGAAGTGTTTCAATGTCCTCAAGCAATGTAGATGAGCCTGGTTCGCTAGACATTGATGACGAGAGACCGTCGGTCAGATCGACGAGCTCGTCCGAGAGGGAGTGACGGAGTAGAGACAAATTTTGAGCTATCTCGACATAAGAGTGAGCAGAAGACTTTGCTTTTACAATCAGCGCGTCGACTGTAGAGCTTGACGAGGCGAGCTGAGCTATGGCACTTGTGATAAACACGTCCGAACATATCGAGAGAACCAACATAGACGCACGTTAGATGCCAATTCAGCCTCTGATACCTCGGATTCGCAAAACTTGGCGTCAAGGCCTTGAAGATGGTCATAGGAGGGAAAGTTGGCGTTCAAGTAAAGGACAGCCTCTCGTTTAGCCTGCTCGATATCGGGGGCACCCAGCAAAGCTCGTATTCGAGAAGAGCTCATCGAGGTAGTTAAGAGTCGTGGGAACTAATTAACCAACTGGAAATTTGTACACGGCATGTGGCCACTCCGAGAGACTTCATGAGTTGTACATACGCTACTCATCTCAGGCCTTTACCTGCTCTATTCTGTATCACTACCCGCAAACCGATTGAATCCAGGCTCGTTCTCAGGAGCGCCGAGCTTACCACACAACGGCGTACAGAACGTCTGAGGCGTCAAAATTCAACGCTACTAATTGTGCTGGCGCTGAACCATGCGCAGTGACAGTCGACTGGTAGTAATACGAGAAGACATGAGATAGTGGTTGAAATGTCCATGTACAGAATCAGTAGCCGGATATTTGATACATTGGAGAGGATATATATACAGCAAACCTATTTCCCTCAATCTTACTTCCGCTCTATTCTCTCTCGGAAATTGCGCCCAGACATTACTACTCCCTCTTTGATCCGTTCGAGCTACCTTTTCCCGATCAGTGTGTACAAACTTCATAAAATTTCATCTGAGTTGTGCCGATAAGTCCCTGCTTTGATTTACAAGGTCAAACTTCTTCAACGTTTATAGAGATCCATCAAGGTTGCGACGGGGATACTGGACGCCGACACTTGTACCAAGATGAACGTCGGCGGCGACATAGAGCTTGAGTGCTAAATGGAAGTATTCAGCAACTCGTGCTAGTGAACGATGGACCCAAGATCGCACCACTCATTATCTCCATCTATACAGGGTCTTTTGGCTGAACTAGGGTTGCTCAAACTTTTACTGATATTAGATTTGGCCCATGAGTTTCTGGATTTCGATGAGCCCCAGAGGGAGGTGTCCAAAGTACCTCGCGGATTAGATGATGGTTCAGCAACAGCGAGCACGACCAATGCAGCGAATGCCGTAAAGGAGACGAGGTTGGTTTTCATGTCGATTGTGGGGTAAGATTAATTCTTCGACCGATAAAGTTAAAGGACGAATTTCTTTATGAACGTACAGTTTATACCCCTCAAAATATCCAAGGTTTTACCAATACGTGCGAGTTTAAGACCGACGTAAACGATCTGGGTTAGTGGAAACTGTGAAGACTCTTGTCTCAGAACCGGTATGCTTTTCGTCAAATTCTTGATCGTTTCGTGCAGCCTGTATGCACCAACGCTAAAGACGCTGTTAGTAAATTTAATTAAATTTGATAGAGCACATCTTGGGTGCTGTATTATAGTAGGGCCCATAAATGATTGCGAGGCTTCATCTTTAAGCTTCTTTAAGACAAGTTAAGACAGGTGCTAGACAGTTTGAGGAACGACAGACATCCATCTCCCTAGGCAGGTCACGCGTGTTTCTTATCCAATCACCAAACAAGTACTGTATGCTTATATCCAGCCAGGCTTCCATCGCCTACCCCCAGAAAAACAGATTGACTCGTGATGAATATTTTGCAACGATTGCAACGAAGTATGACTGGGACACGGAATTACTATGTAATAGCATCGGACGCCTCCAAAAGACGTAACCCAGTCTACTATGATAGGAATAATATGCGAAGACGAAACAGAAACATGGTATACATACTCAAAGCAGATACAAATAAGTGATATGCGATGTCTAACTGAGACGGTAGATACTCTATTGAGGGGAGGGCGACATCGCCTTCTTCAAGTGTCGATTAAGACATTCTAATACTCGCTTCTTTGGATATTTTGGGGCCACTGGGCGGCTTCGTTGCTGGACCAGCCTGCGCACCATGTTTGGATAATCAGTGATAATTCCATCCACGTTCCAGTCCAGGAGATGCTCTACGATGCTCATACGGTTGACCTTTCGATTGGATAAATCGTCAATCAAAAAATAATTTGAACACTGAAAGAGAATAACGAACCGTCCAGGGTTTGACTAGCATACCCAAGTGGTGTGCGTAGTCAACCATGCTTCGAGTAGTAAACGGAACATACTCGGGGAGCGTAGGGTCCACGACTACGGATGCTACATCAGCAGGCGAGAGGATGTCGGCATTTATAGCATGAGCTGCGCTGGCGATCTGAGCGGACATATCACCTGGGAAAGCGTCAAGACGGAGGCCAGCTAACCATGGCGAGGTTTCGTTGTCTGGCATCACTGCTGTCTCTCTGTATAAAGAATGAATGGTCTTCCAACTCCCTTGCTGCAAAATGGCTTACAGATCGACGAGGGCTGAAGTCGGGATTGAGCGGTCGAGAGCCTAAATTTAGATGAGTGATCCGAGGAGAATACTCGGGGCGATAGGAAGGACCTTCATGACTACCAACGTCCTCCAATCAAAGCTTTGATACTGGAAAATTTTAGGCAATTCGACCAGTATGGTAAGATGAAAAAAAGTCTTACTGTGATTGAATGTCGATACGGGCTATTTACAAAAATATGATGCTGTCTCGTAACAAAATCTTCGGGACTTCGTGTTTGATTTGTGTGTTCCGCGTTAACCTTCGACTCGATGTTCCACAAGATACGAAAGTCAGGATCTGCGCATTCTGCGAACGAAAACAGCTCCGTGAGTGTTGAAATCCTGACGCCGGGGTAAGTTGATTGCAACGCTAATGGATAGAGTACAGTTTGAGTAAAGAAGCAGCAAAAAAGCACGTTCAGAAACACACGGAAATCAATCTGGCGTTTCGAACCGCAATCGAGCGTTTGGAGCTGCGCAAGGGTGAGATTGGCAATGTATTTTCCTACGTATGGGAACTGGGTGTCATTCGCGAAAGCAGGGCCAGTGTCTTTGCACTTTGTTGCCACAATGTTTTCATCGTGCTAAGCCAGAATTGCGTGAACCATTCGATGAGCCTTGTATTGGTAAACAGATAGTTACCCATACGACAACCTCGCCATCCTGGAGACGATGAGCAGGAAGTTGCAAGGGCGAAGGTGTCATGAACATACCTTGGTGATAGCGTTGTCTAATTCCAAAGTCGTGGCCCCATCTATTAAGGCCCTATATAATCTGTAGGTATTCTGCAAAGGCCAGAATGTTTACAATTTACCAAGCGAACGCCGGGAGTATGCTTTCGACCGTGTTTCCCCGTCCTCCGCGATGCGCCTGATGAAGGCTTAGCCTACAGCGAGGATAAAGAAAACACGATATTCACCTGCACGTCGAAGTATTTGGATAGCACTCGCTGAAGAGGATATTGTCCTGGAGTAGCCAACACGACCGGCAGTACTAGTACGCTCAATAAAAAAGCAGACATCATCAAAGAGTGAGTCAGAATGGTGATGAAGAGGCTTTGCTGGTAGAATTGGAAAAGACGCAGACAAATTTATAGCCCCGTCTTTGATTGTTGCATCCCGCCCTCAATGCCGAAACGAACGTTCATGAGACAACCCGAGATGTCCTGAGGAGTGAAAGTCCGAAGGCAGGCCGGAAAGGAGCGCAGGTCAAAATTGGAGTCGAAGTCAAATCGTTGTTTCAACATGGGACGAACGTGCAACTGATAGTGACCGAGAAGTATAAATTTCCATTTCGAGCGGAAAGGGATTCTCCGTAGGAATAGTATCCGTAGCTGTAGTATAATGCATAATTGACTGCTGGCAATCGTTGCATTGAGCTTCAAGCATTACTTGTAGAGTTCGTAGATATACTGTTCTTGTTAATGCCTTTTCCTGAAGATGCATCCTTGCCCACATTCGCTAACCCAAGACTTTCCCAGTCTTCCAGTTGCATCAGCCCTCTACAGAAGGAACAATCGCTTCTGACTGAGTCATTTGACATAGAGATGGCAGACTGACCTGTTCATCCGGCAATTAAGATATTCCTTGCTAATATCCCGACAAGCTGTGGATGTACTGGAATTGTTCTTGAGACAATTCACGTAAAGCATCATTTGTTCTTTACATTCGGCTGGGAGGATACGAAAAGTGAGTCAGGACATAAGCAAACTGGATGCGTTCGCGCCAACCATAGTGGTCTAGAGGAAAGGAACCTCTATCTGGAGGGGTAACTTTAAATCCTGAATTATTCGAAGGTGGTCCTCCAAAAGACATGTCGATTACGTAACAGAAATCTAGCGCCAACGTCTTGTAGTGGTTAACAAGAAAGGAAAGTAAAATTCATCAATGATACGAATTCCACAAAGCGATTCAATTTCTGTATATCTACTGATGGTAAGTACATGGTAAAACATAGACAGCGTAATCTAACGAAGGAGTGTTAACACCCTTCTTGAAGACTCTTACTCCTGGTGATGAGTGATGGAAGGTTATGGAGTTGTGTCGACATAAGAAAATATAAGATTGTTCATGATGGCATAAGTAGGTCATCAAGATGGGATCCACCCCTACATTGCCCTACGATCTACTTCTGTCTCTCCTTTCCTTTCGATCCTGAAGCCCCTCCCTTTGAACCCTGAGCTTCGCTGTACCCGTCCGAATCGTTTTCTGAATCGGAATCCTCTACTTCTTGTGATCTATCTGTAGGCTTCCTACTAGAGGAAGCAACAGGCTGCGAGGAGCGTAAATTTGCGGGGCCCCAGAAAGAAGCATCACCTTCCGGAGGTTTGGGCAAATTTTGAGGAGATACGTCAAGGCCAGCAAACCGACTACCTTTCAACATAACGATCTCCTTCAGCCATCCATTCTCCCGCCGCAGGTCCGCCGCTTCCTTTTCCAGTTCATCTGCGCGCCCAGTGAGATCTGAGACCGTCCGCTCCAGGTTCAAATTTCTTTGCTTCTTCTTTATCCGAAATCTAGCTACAAACAAAAAAAAGTTAAGGATGAGCGAAAATCGAAGAGGAAACAATACGGGATTACCAGAGGCAGCAGTATTCCTGCGACGTTTGTCTTCCGTGACGCTCGGATCGGTTGGGTCAGGAGATTCTGTGCGGGAAACAGCAGTGGGTGGCGAGTTCGACGACGTCGCCACGGCCGCGGAAGAAGTGTCTGGAGTGCCCATAGCAACATTAGTGTTGATTTGGGGGAGATTAGGATAGCCTGTGGCATGTGCAGACATTCCTGACTGATTGTACGGGAAGCTTTGTTGCTGCTGACCGAAAGTAGGAGGCGGAGGCCACTGGTACTGAGAGGGCATGGAGCCAAAGCTCGGTTGTAGGACTGAATGCTGACCATATACCTGTTGATTCATCGCAGGCGGGAAGTTAGGCGGAGAATGTTGAGAGTGTTGAGCTTGCAGCAGAGCTAGCAACAGAGCGTTGTAAGCCGGGTCGTGTGATGCATGGGGCTGAGGTAACCCGCCTGCTGATAATTGGGCAAGTAGAAGGGCATCCTGGACGTCGGCTCTAGGCAGCTGAGATCTGTTATCATCACGGCTCCAAATCTCTCGAAGAAATAAGAGAAGGCTTTACTTACCATAGGTGCATTTGAACCTTGTACTTGTTGATTGACTGAATGGGAGCGCGATCGCGTGTTTCGGCGGTCAGGATTGTTATTGTGAGCCGACGAAGAAGAACCGTTATTGTTAGAGTCCCCACCGTCCATATCGAAAGAGAAGACGAGTTTCTTCCAGTGTTCAAGCTCGGAGTCGATGTTTGGGTTTAGTAAACTGGTGTCAGAAGCTTTATCTTGAGGATTATCGAAATCCTTCAAGGAGAGCATCATCAAAGGTAGTTATGGCACTGGGTATGCAGTTGAATGTCATAATAGAAGCTTGAAGGCGAACTGGAACGATGTGCAGAGAACATAGACACGCAATCTATTCTCAGGATTGCGCCAGGCTGCAGTAGCATAACGCAACTGGGTCAGTTTTCCTAAAGCGCCGGTTCGCTTGATATTCCAATTTTGCAGCCTAGAGATCGCGAAGGGAGTTCTTGGCGAAGGAGATGGACGAAAAACGTTGTAGAGTACATTTTGAGGCTTACTTCGACTTGCGGGGTAGAAATCGGAGAAGAAAGGCAATCACTCCGCTTATAGGGCGAATTCGGAATTCCTGTCGCGAACCTGGACCGCCTCTATTCAATTCAGAGGGTTCATTCCATTTTCTATAGCTTCTCCGTCAAAACTCAAAGTTAATCAATATTTACGACTGTACGGGGCGGGGAAGTCCTTCCATGTACAGGCAGAAGAGTCTGGAGAGCCGAGCTGGTTTGATATACAATAGTCACGTGTCAGATCACTCACCCACTTACGCGTCGATGTCGCGTCTCTCTCTTACACTGAACATTGTACATTCCCTCTTAATCTCATCTGTGCTGTAGAAATGGTGGGCATCTTTGAATCACTAGATCATTGTACACACATCCTCAAATGCTCTACAGCTTATCCGAATCAGATCCAAAGATGGCAATTTTAGGCATGAATTCGACGCTAACGCAGACGCTCTGGTACTACTTCAGAAGGTGATTTCTTTCTCAACGGTGTATCGTAACAGCTTTCTAGAGCTAGATGCAGATATTAGAGAGTGCACCCAACGCCGATCCAGACACTGTCACCATTTCCAACCAGCCTCGAGGAGGAGAAACAAAGTTGACAAGCTTGAAAGGACGGACTTTGAAAGCCTTGGGACTGAAGTGCGTACTCATACTCCGCAAACAACATCAGCTAATGGACTACAACAGCCATGGAGATCTTGTCTTCGTACAATACAAGGAAAAGTCTTCAGGTCCTTTAGTCACGGAAACACCAAAATCTAGCAAGGTTGCATCCTCTACCTCGGTGAATGGAGGCCACAGACCTTGGGAGCTTGTACAAGAGGACCCTGTGGATATGTACTGGAGATCAAGAGATGGTAAAATTCCTCGCGAGCGTGACCTTCAGTTTTGCAAACACGGTCCGAAAGGAATGTGCGACTACTGTATGCCCTTGGAACCTTACGACATTGCTTACCATAAAGAACATGGTATAAAGCACCTTTCATATCATGCATATCTCCAAAAGATCACGCCAAAGTCTTCTGGTGCAGCTCAATATATTCCGCCTCTCAATCCGCTCGACTATCGAGTGAAGGTTCCCTGTCCGACTGGCAATCATCCATCCTGGCCATCTGGAATTTGTACTAGCTGTCAACCGTCTGCTATCACTCTCCAGTCTCAACCCTTCCGAATGGTCGACCATCTTGAGATCGCATCGACAAACGTCATTGATCGTTTCCTACAAGCGTGGCGAAGGACGGGGATGCAACGATTCGGGTGGATGATAGGACGGTATGAACCATATGACAAAGTTCCGATGGGTGTGAAAGCTGTTGTAGAAGCAATCCATGAACCTCCTCAAGAAGGTGAACTCGATGGCCTCACACTCGGACTCCCCTGGGAAGACGAGCCGCGCGTACGGAGCTTAGCATCTAAGGGCTCCACACCTTTGACCATCGTCGGGTACATTTTTACAGACTTAGATCCTCGGGAGGATGATCGAACAAAGAACGTTTATAAAAGACACCCAGGCTCTTTCGTAATGTCCTCTTTAGAGGCCATTTTTGCGGCCGCTATGCAAGCAGCTAACCCTACACCTTCGAAATCATCCTCGTCTGGCAAATTCTCTTCGCGTCTTGTGACAGCAATCTTGACAGGAACAGAAGATGGAGCTATCGACGTGTCGGCGTATCAGGTGTCGGAACAAGCTACCGCTATGGTGGAAGCTGATATGATCGAAGCCAGTGTCGACCCAGGTATTGTACGCGTCAAAGAGGAGGATCGAAGTGTAGATTCTGCAAGATATGTCCCCGACGTCTTCTTTTCCTACAAAAACGAGTATGGTTTGGAGGTGAAGAAAAGCGCCAAACCTGCATTTCCAGTAGAATATCTGATCCTCAACGTATGTGTTATTCGTTCTGTTGCGTTGCTCTTAATAATATACTGCATCGCGTAGGTCACCCATGGTTTCCCTCAGAACCCTGTGCCCCTATTCCAATCCACACAATTCCACATTGAAAACCGTCCTGGTCTTGAAAACCCAACAGTCGAAGGGGTTCTTTCCCAACTCTCCGCTCTGGGTGCGCCCGATATCCAAGATAGCCGGCATAGGAAGCCGGGAGAGGCTCAGAAGGTCTTTGAACTGGCGAAATTTTTGAGCGATTGGCATCTTATTGCTTTCCTCGACACTACGCAACTTTTCCCACCTGTGAGTATGACCTGTATAGACCCATATCTCAGTAGAATCGTGCCATAACACTTCACAGGACGACATGAATGTGCTCATGCAAATCGCGACATCGACAACCCTCATGAGCGATCCGAGTCAGCTGGACCCTTTGCTCGCTACAGACGGATGGCAAACTCTGATGACGTTCACCAGGGAGCACGCTCGTGAGTTCAATCTAAAATTTATCTGCAATATGAACGTGAATATTTAATTGTTTGCTCACATGAGTAGCTCAACAAGGCTCGACTCTCGGATCAATGATGGATGAAGATATACCTCAGGATATCCTCGACCAAATAGCGGCGGAACAAGCTGCAGCTTCTGGACCACCGTCTGGTATGGCTTCTGGCGTGGCGTCGGGTGCGGCGACGCCAGGTATCAAGACGTGTCCTCATTGTACGTTCGAGAACGACTCTACGAGGTCAGATTGCGAAGTCTGCGGATTGCCGTTATCATAGTCGAAGTTGGGTAATTTTCCACGGACTTTCCAATGGCGAGTGGACGAAGTAAAAAGATGAAATGTAACATTTAATCGTTTATAAAAATACCGAGCACCTTCTAGAATTGAACGAAATTTTCATGTCAGTCCTTACTATGGTTCACAGGGTACTTCCGTAAACAGGGTACTTCCGCATTTTCGAAAATCTCATATTTTGAACGTTTTAGGTCGATAAATGCTCTCAGACTTTTTATGTAGTACTTTCTAGGTTCTCTATAAACATACTGTACTATATGAAATAGATTGTATTTAGGGGATGCATATGTACAAGACCAAAATACTGTAATATACAAGCGTGACTTTAGATTGAAGCCTCAGGAACCGTACGAAGAGCTGGTAGATAACTGTAAAAATGACATGGGCATTAAGTAGAGGTTCTCATTAGCTAGCATAGCAAATTTAAAAGCAATCCAATATGTTGTAGAGATTCGACAAGCAGATAAAGTGAAGAGGGTATGCGACGTGACAATATTTGATTCCAGCTTCATGCCGTAGCCTCGGCAAACCTCTGACACTCTCCAAAAGCGTGATCAACACAAGTTCTGCCTCAACCCAGCATCAAATGGCCAAGTGTGCCAGAGTGCCGAGCAGCGGCATTGATGTGACTCAGTGTGACCCAAGATGCGGAAGTACCCTGTTTTTCCTCGGTCATGGTCCGACGCTCTGTTTATGCCTTATCTGCTTTAACATGTAAGACAAAAGACAAGCTTAACATGATTCTAAATAAGACTGTCTACTCAGATTTTTATTTACTCAAAAATTTAAGACGTTATTCGCAATATTCAAGAAATCGGAAGTACCCTGTGAACCATAGTAGGCCTTAAATAACACGCAACATGTGCTCTTATCGCGCTGTTAACACCGATCATAACTCGTTCTCGTTTACTCTCTTCCAGAAAGCAGAAATTTGAAGCATCTTGAACGAGTACGACTGATTTACCGTAAAAATTGCCGACGTCGTTTCTTTTCTTTGTTCTTTTCTTTGTCCTCTACTATTGATGACCTTGTACCTTTCTAGGTGTGAAAACCTTGTTTTTGTTTTCTTGCTAAATCAGTGCCTTGCTTATCCTTGTTCCATCTAGTACGCCCACAGCGCCAAATTCATGTAAATGTTAAAATGGCGAAAAGACGCTAACTAGATCTCACCACATGTTAAAAGCATGGTCGCCTCTTCTCGGTGATACTTGGATGCCTACTTTTCGACGGTCCCCGCCTAATTCCTTCCCCACATGCTTATAGAGGAATACCGTCCGCACGCTTTCTTTTACCTGCGTACCGTCAATGACCTCTCTGTACCTTGGGTCCCGTCCCCCGTAACCCCGGCTCGACAGCTCCCCCCATCCAAAGTAGGATCGCCAGTATCTCTACTATCTACGACTTCGACCACGCTATCTAGCACATCATCTTCCCCTCGTAGAACTAAGAAGATACTCCAGTTTCGCGTCCAGGATTCATCTTCATCGCAATCATCATCATCGGATGTCGGCTCGCGAGCCTCGGGAAGGCGGAAACATCGACATCTGTCCTTTTTTCGATCCGTCAGGAAGCGATTGAGTAAGTGACTTTACAACATATTTCCCCGTCAACGTGGCCGGCCCAGGGCCTCTGACTTACTACCCACTCCCAGAGGAGTCCCGATTAAAGATGGCTACAAAGGTAGTGGAGGTGGCGATTGAGCAGTATGATCCTGTCGAACTAGAGCCCATTGTATCGCCGCCCATCCCACTTTCTGATTGGAAGGCTTGGTCATACTACGCGCGCCCTTGCGTGAATGGTGTGGAAGTTGATAACCTCTGTGAGTTATGCACACGAGAAAGTATTTGCCGATTTATTGATTAGTGTGGCGCACCTTTATAGCACCCAGTCCCGACTTGGACGTCGAGCTCGATATACAGGAAATGTTTGATTATTTGAAAAGGTCCCATCGCAGTCTGAGTGGCATGTTCCAGGTTATTTTTAATGCTCGGCTAACCAATGTATTTTATCCTTACAGTCCAGGTGGAACACCGCATCCCGAACGATGGATCAAAGGCCAAAAGCATATTGCTTTACCGCCACGTCCTACACGATGGAAACGCGTCGATCCCCTCGAACCTATTCCGTTCCCCTGGGAAATTCAACTAAACCCACTTCTCACCCACAGTCTCATCACATTCCCGGATCTGACCCCCATTTATTGGAACCTCACCTTCCAAACATCCATCCTCTTCTTCCTTACCGAAGATGGGGGCTTGCAATTCGTCTTGGACAATGACATTTGTCAACCGGCGACCTACCCACTCGTCACACACATGTACGTCTGCGCATTCGCGTTTGCCCCGGACTGGAACACACAGTACAAGCTTCCGTGGCCGATAATGCTGCAGAGTCGAGACGGGATTACCTGCGATGATTTTTTCGTTGGGATACACGATAATTTTCAACAGCATATGAAGAAGAGTGAGTATGAAAAGTTAGGGGAGGAGATGCAACGTAGGGCGATGAGCGCACATGTGCATAATCTCAACGTAAATGCTGACAATTTCATGAAACGGGTTGATATACTAGGTGACAATGTTTTTTTCAGAGGGTTAGCTCCGAGTATGAATATGGAAGGCTGGGTTCTGTTGCTGGGCACTGAACCACCGTCGATGATCAGGCCAAGACCTGGCTTAGATGTATATTAATTATTGTACAAACGATGATTACAATTTTTGCTACTTGATTTACGGATCGGTCACCCAAAGGTCCATCGAGAGAATAGGCTATCATTTACGGGTTACAAATCATCGGTGTCTTCTTAATCCATATCGAGTCCGGGTCACTGAGCTGAGCGACGACGAAAACAGCAAAGCCAATTCGAGAAAGCCCAGTGTGAACCTTCCCATCCCCAATAAATCCAGCGATAACGTCTCTATTAGGCTTGTCGTTCAAAAGAGGCACTCGCACGATGATCCAGGATAGATCATCTTGTTTACTGATGGTTTCGCCAATGGCTACCATATCTTTGTAGGCAGTTCTGGCAAAGGTGCTAACTGCAGTCACAAGCGCAGTGAATTTGATGTCGGATTTATCTTCGGGAGCAGGAATAGATGCAGTGCCTATGTAATTCCAAGAGCATCAGAACACAACGAGCCAAAGACCCAACGTATGAGCACTCGCCTAGAGCAAATAGACGTTTGATGCCATGCTTCTTCATCGCATCGATAACGTTCTTATATGCGTGTGCCAAGGGTTCCCCAGACGGATGGAAGGGACCTTTCTTGACACTCGGTCCCAAAGCACTACATACTGCATCCACACCCTCCATCGCCTCGGCAAGAGATGCAACGTCTGTAAGTTGCCCAGTAATGACACTAACACGACTGCTCGAAGACAAATCATTGGGGACTTTCTGAGGAGAACGGACAAAAAGCACGAGCGAAGAGTCCTGGATAGACGAGAGAATTTCGTGGCAGAGAGCGATTCCAATTGGCCCAGTTGCACCTAGAATAAGAACTCGCATTTTGAACGTGATGGTGGTGGTAAAGGTATGGGAATCTGAGCTTCTACTTTAGCATCGTTGAGAATCGACGAGCTGCTGATGACGAACGTTCAAGACAAGGATCAAAAGCCTCAAATGATCGATTTTTTCTCATAGCATAAAGTTTTTGTCAAGGGTTTTATTTCTTCTATGCAATTGGTGCTTCTATAGGCTCTGTCGCCCAAGACCCTGAACGACGTGCATCTTCCTCCATTTCCAGAATCGCCTGCCCAATTTCTCCTTCATTCTTTGCATCCATCTCAACCATTTCTCTTTCGTACAGCTTCCCAAAACGCTCCACAAGCGCAGGAATTTCATCCTTCAAACTGATTGGCCGCCCTTGAACTCCTTCAATAGACCCAGCTTTAACATCAGCCAATCCACAAGCCACAATCTGGTTAAACCATGTAATAGGCTCCGAAGTGACGTTCATTGAAAACCCGTGTGTCGTCAGGCGGTGGCGTACCTGGACGCCAATGCTAGCAATTTTGGTTGTAGGGTTCAGAAAGACGCCAGTATGCTCGGATGCTGAAGGAGTAATTCCATGTATTTCGCTAAGATGAAGCTCTAGAATCTTCTGCATACGACAAATATAGTCTCGTATGCCCATTGCTGGCGAGTAGCGGGAGAGATCTAGAAGAGGGTAGCCGACAATTTGACCAGGACCATGATAGGTGAGTTCTCCGCCTCTCTGGGTATTGATAAAGTCGGCTCCAATGTATGTTAAGCGTAGTTTGTCATCTCGAATAGAGTCTTCGTTCTGTCTGCGACCTGCAGTGTAGACTGGCCGGTGTTCTAGAAGTAGCAAGACGTCTTTGTGGGCACCTAGTCGGCGCTGACTGAGCTGGATGGCGTGTAGCTGTTCCTGAAGAGCCAAAGTCCTCGCATAGGGTAGTGGTGTACGGAAGAAATGGTAGAACACTGGTGGAAGACTCGAAGGCATGGAGGGAAAGACCGGCTATTTCCATTTTAGGACTTGTTTCCGTACTCTCATGACATTCAATAATCTATGCAAATTTGTACAACATCTCTACTGGGACATCTACCTTCGACGCCTTCTTGTTATATCCGTCTAAAACGCGCTTTCCAAACCTGGAGATTACTGAGCCTTTAGGCTTTTGCTCCAAATCCGAGTCCTTTACGTCGTCAATGATTCTATTCTCAATCGGATATTAAACCACTCAACCTGCTTTACTTGTTCTTTCGCAACTAACGTGGGTGACTCGGAGTTAGTCGTTGCTTGTTTGGTCTGGAGAATGCGAGATTTCAGCTTGACCTATCAATGAATTTTAGTGGGATGGCCATCGATTCGTACCAATTTAAGGTCATTAGATGCCTTTGAGTCTAGGGCGCTCTGTCCCATCGTTGGTGTGACTGGGGTGTCGCTTTTTGGGCTCTTGGAATGAAGGCGTTAGCACAGGGTATCAGTTTATATGGTCTTGGAACTAACCGAAAGCTCCGGCGGCGTCTTGTCCATGGTATGGGGGAATGTGATTCCTTTGCGAATAGTACGTCCATTATCATAGCTCGCGAACACCTCTGCAAAATACTCACTGTATTCAACAGGTGCGTAGCTTCTCCGCTAACAAAGAGCCTTCCAGAAACAAGTCTAAAATGGGAGATATAGAGCGAACCCTCAAGTCCTCGAGTCCACATCATTTTATAGCTTTTCGCTTATCCACTATGAATATTCCTGTCATTATCATTCTTTAGACGACTTAGTACTGTGAAGCGTGCGCTGGTCTCCAGACCAGCCAAATCTAACGCCGAGTAAGTCTCCAGACCGAAACCTGCCTGCTAGTCGCTAAAATTAACATTCCGTACACCGAATTTAGACCTTAAAAAGTATGTCAAAGCTGTGCAAAAGAGTCTCCAGACCAATATAAATAATTTCCCGTCGTTCCGAATGATGTGCTTCAGCGGTGCTTCAGATCGACCTGTTGCAGTAGGAGAGTGTCTCCAGACCAATGTTCGGGTAATAATCCAAGTCTCCAGACCAACCAAATCTAACTCGGAGTCAGTCTCCAGACCTATACACGTCGTTTTGAACAACATCTCCCGGGCTCAGACCGTTGCATTGGAATCTCCAGACCAATGATGACTACGCTCATGTCGTACCTTGAGTCCCTGGACCAATCTATTCTGGCTGCGAGGTATTGACAAGGATGGTCTGAACAAATTTTGAAGTCTCGGGCCGTTAGGCCACCAATTTTGAAGGCATTGTAGCGACACTAGGTCTCCAGACCGATTATCAAGCTACAACCCTTCTAGTTGCCCGGGGCCGATGGTTCATGGCCATGCATATTCAATGCCGTGTGTGTGTGACAATAACGATAATATCAGTCCTCTCATTCGCCTTGTCGACTCGATCATTACCGTGGAGACTGCTGGTGAGTGTGTACCCCAGCTTCTGTCATGTTCCACGGTTCTACGGAAGACACCCGCCTCCCGAAGGGCCTGAACGGTGGCATTAGTTTCAAGTCTCAAGGTCTGTGTGGGTCTTCAATCCTACTGAACTTGAAATCTCATAATAATACAAATATAGAGTGAACATCGTCGTCGGAAGTATTGTCCATGATTCATGCGTAGTTTCTATACAGCATCTCCACCGGAACATTCGTCTTCAAAGCTCTCTTGTTGTATCCGTCGACGACACGCTTTCCAAATCGAGAGATTGCAGAACCTTTAGGATCCTGTTCCTGCTGCTCGTGTGAGTCTTGTATTATACTGCAAATTCAAGACCGGACTACACTGACTTTTTCTGGGTGCTCATTTGCAACCAGCGTTCGTGACGAATCGTTCGTTGTTTGTTTGGACTATCCGATAGTGCGATGAAGATGAATGAATAGAAGTCAGTGTTGAGGGTAAGTTGGCACTTACCAGGTTCATTGAACTGTTTACACTCGTCGACTGTGTTGGATTCTTGTTATCGGAGTACATGGGTGATAGCCTGGAAAGAGGAGCAGCCTCGGTAAGATTTCCCATCTTCGATATGTGATGCTCACTATTTTCTCAATCTGTTTGTAGAGGCAACGTTCGGAACTTGAAGCCTACGACAATAATATTCTTGTTAGAATGGTGCCACGCAAGAACAAAAACGCGTACTGACTACCGTGAGGTACAGTCGGACACAACGTAGAGGTAATCACTGAGCAAGGAAACACGTTCAAGGGCGACCGAAGACTAATCTGATTAAACTAAAAGAAATGAGGCGCAGCCTTTATATGTTGCCATAATGCTGTTGCAAAAAAATTAAAGGGACCGCCGTGGATCTATCATGCACACAAGTAGGTTGATTTTTGCACCGATATGCATAGTTCATCTCACGGTGCTAAGAACTTTTTCTCATCTCGAGCTTCTTCGGACTCTTAAAGTGGTTATACTAAAGCCTCTCAAGCCTTCTTGTAGACCTTCGATCCAAGTCAATCCTTGGCTTGTGCCTTGAGCATGGGTTGTAAAGTTCACTATGAGGTCAAAAATTGAGCTTGTCGTCTTCTTAGACCCGGTCATAGCTGGTGGAATGCTCTTGGATCCGATTCTGGTTTTCTCAAGCGTGCTAAAATTTACCTCTTTTCGCTCCGCGTGCACGAGGTTCTGTTGTCTCTGACAAGACAGCAGTAACGAACTACGCTAACAACGAACCCGCCAAGTCTGTGGCAGTGGTATCGCTACATGCCTATTTGACGATACGGAGCGCCTTTCGTACGTATTTCTCTCTACTCGGATGACTATACCACTCGCGGTCGCACCCGAAGTTTACTATACGGTGTGTGTGTTACTGACCCCGAATGCGGGGAAGATTCAAGACAACTCCAAGGAGTACGAAGCATCCTCTCTATCGGCCGAACTTCATCATGGAGAATAGTAGCTGATTTTGATGTTGGAAGCGTCTGCAGGATGCACGAGAATCGGCCGAACAGAATTCCGACTGCCGAGGATTTGGGTGCGTCGATAATACGAAAAACATTGTTTAACTATGAAGGGAAGCCTGATGGTGATGTAGAACTTCTCACTCAGCAATGAGCGTGACAAATAGTACAGGTCCTCCGAGGCGCTAAGAATTTTAAGCCTCGCGTTCAGGCCGATACACTTTCAAATTTTAACTTGAGAAGTAGTGTGAAAGAAGAGGTCTGACATATGCGGGACGGTGGCTAAATAAGGACAATCGGAGCCGCATACTAATTGGAATCTTCTTGGGGATTTTTTTTCTCTGGGACTGCTACAAGAGTCCGATTGAGCGTTTATTGTCGGACTGGAGCTACCGACAATCTGCCAATCCCTTCCAAACACCCTTCCAGACACATAGTACCTATCGAATGCCATCTTGTTCCATTCCATTGCTGGCGTAGTTGTTCGTGATAGTCCGTCAAAGGGATTGAAGTTTTGGGTACCTAAATGACACGTGACAACCGTCAGTCCGACAGAATCAGCCTTCCACCAGATACCAGATCCTGATCATAACCAGCTTCAAGTTCAAGTTCGCATTTCCTTGTGATTTGAACATGAATCCTTCACTCATACAACGACATACACTACGATTCTGCCTTCATTACAGTGATTAGGACACCATCACCAAAAAAATGCGCAGAAGGCCCATTTCCACCTGTTAGCACCTGTTCCTCTAGTACCGATGTATGGAAATCAAAGTTCCCTCAAACGGACAAAGAATTTGAGCTTACACAAAATTCTTTATCAAGCTGAACAGGAACTTCCCCAAATCGTGGCCCAAAATGTCTCAAAATACGCTATTCCACAACTTGATTCCATCATTCATGTACATGATAACCACCTTCCATCTTAGATGCTCGTGTATCAGGGTTTGCCGGAAGCGCCATTGATACATACACAGCCCTCAATGCTCATCGATACTGGTATATGTACTCCAACATTGTCCGGTACTTGACTTCGTCCCGCTCCAACCCTGTTCTCCAGCTCGCTCCCACTTCGTTCAGTTTAAAGTTCGTCTGCAGGCCAGATAAATACCAATTGAGTGTTTAACGAGATTCAACGGTACATACATATATTCTTAAGCCAATCTCGCACAGACTACAGTTCACTCATTCATAGCCTTGTTGCAGTGACGAGTTTACAAACATTTCATTTCAATTATTCATATCAACACACAGCAACGCTCGTTCAGTATGTGTTTGATTACCCATATTTTTACCATGCTCGATTCCTGATTTGACCTCTTCAGCACTTCAGTTTGCGACTCGAACCGCTGACGCGTCACGGTCATTTCTATATCTATGCCGCGTTTATGTGCGATATTCATCATTTTCGCCCTTATTCTTGGTGTTATCTCTTTCCCTGTGGTTCGTCACAGCATTGTCTCGCATGTTCGGCTCGAAGGAAGAGTAGGAAAAACAGCTAGTAATCATCCTATCCTTTCTTTAATGGAAAGAGTCTGACGATAGTATGAACATTTTCGTAGCTTTATTGACTGACATGCCAGTCAAGCTCATGCGAGAAACACCATTCTTCAACAGAAAAACTCGTCAAATAGCGTGGCGTTTGATTGGCCGCAATCCTCTGTGTGCTAATAGCAATGTTGGCCAATATCCTGACAAGAAATTCTCGCGGGAGAGGTGGACACTTTTCATCGGTATCGATGGCTTTAGAGTTATTCGCGAATCCAGGGGCAATCTTACCCCCACACGTTTCTCGATTCCCAGGAAGAACGCAAAAAGGCCGAACGGATCTCAGCCTGAAGCTAAATCCCTTCCAATGCTTGGCGCTAAGGTTTCCTTTGGGGACAAGCAACTAAAAGAGATGTTCTTTGCGGAATTACTCGAGAAACCACTGGATCCATCCGTCCATTCGAATTTGGATTATTTGAATCATATAGTTCAAATCATGCTCGATAGGAAAATGCTTTTCCCTTGGATAACGCAGAAGGACGCAGCCTTAGTGCCCTTGGATAAATCGCCAGCAGTGTGGACTGAGTACTCGAAGAAGATGTATTATGTGGGGGGTAATGCAGAAGGTGATGACCGCGGCATAACCTGCTAGATTGCCCTCCGAAAGGAACAATTTCTGGTCGATGTACTAGGTGTATGTAGGTGCCCCGTATATGCATTTGGATTTTCAACAAAATGCGGGGAGTGTCCGAATCCATCAAACTCGAAGATCCAGTTTTTCGAATCAGACGGCGGGAAATATATATGTAAATTTCTATCTTGTAGTTATTTGCCCTGCTTCAGGCCCTTATGTTCATTTTATGAAAGCGAGCCCGGACGCGACCTGACGCGCCTGGAAAAGCAGGATGAGGTCCTCAATCGTCAGAATAACGACTATTTGACCAATAACTAGGCAGTGATTTACCAGAATGCCCATTGTGGTCACCAGTCACTAGTCACTCGCGAAGTAGCGCTGATCTGATCTGCTTATGTGCTTCTAGTACTTCCCTTGAACACATCTTTGACATCCCACCACAATCATCTATCATGAAGAGAGGTTTCCTCAATAGTACGAAGGTAAAACAGGCTGTGTCTACTGAAGCACCCCCTGCGCAGCTGGTCCATGACAATCAGGCTTCACCTTCTCCATCTTATCCAGTGGCGAGCGAAGACAAGTCGAAAGCAGATACACCTGGTGACGGTGTGTTTATCAATCTATCCATTTGGGTGTTATGTGACTTGGCTTCCAAGAATGTAAGAAGGCTTTGAAGGAAAAACAGAAGTTTTCTGATTACAAGAAGGACCAACGAATCGTGTATCATCTTTGCTTGGATACGGAGGCTTCTGGTTTGTTTTCGAATCTACGATGCTAGTACCGCTAAGAACACGTCGTTCGTGTCACAGGACCAGGCGTATTGTCAGCTAACCAACTCATTGAGGACTCGCCTAGCGACATGCTCACTTATGAGCCCAGTGAACTGATTTGTACCACTCAACCTGCCGTGCCCATCGACGCCACACGTGAACAATATCCAGACGGCTGGACCGAATGTCTCATTACAGGCTTGATGAAGCAAACAGTCTTGCAAACGCCCTCGTTTTGCCAACCTCTCTCACAGCCTGTCCATATCAGTTACCGTGTAGGAACAGCATCCGTTCCCAATGGTCCTACTTCGAAACCCCTTCCTGGGTTATATGCGACCAAGAAATTAGAGATGGGTGATCTCATCTTGTCAGAACGTCCAGTGCTTATCGTGCCTGCGATGATGAGGGCCGGGGAGATTTTTAGTGAATTGCTCTCTCAATTGGATAACCATGACCAGTCTATATTTGTGAGCAATCAGTGGCGGGAAAAGTTGGAGACCGTTTTTGGGAGGTTGTCGAAAGAGGACCAGGAAGAGTTTTGGAAGTTGAGAGATATTCGTCAGAGGAATGGAAAAAAGAGTATTGATGGCATCGTCAAAGCGAATGGGTTTGCGATTTTGGGACTGGTTGACCCTGGTTTGTCTTTTGCCAGAGCCGTTTCCTGGGCTCGGTTTACTGTTTTTATACAGGACTGGAAGACAATGACGGCGCATATAGTGGTGTTTTTCTTGTGTTGTCCCAGCTAAATCACAGGTGGGATTTATTCATGCCGATTTATCTTCCGCAGAACTCATTTTTCAATAAAGTTGTCGACCTAACGTGGAGCGGTACTGGGACATGTCTTCATTCTCCATGCAGCTACGCGCGATGCGGAAAATATCCAATGACGAAGAACTCACTGTCTCGTATATTAACCAGCTAGAACCCTTCGCTGTCCGTCAGAAGAACTTGAAATTATTCGACATTGTATGCACCTGCCAATCCTGCAAGAAGCCCAAGATTGGAGACAGACGCAGCACGCAGTTTTTCAAAGGAAAACTAACCACCGACGAATTCCTGAATTGGATCACAGACACTACTCTGTCCGATGACCATGTTATCAAACGTGCTCTCGTCCAAATCTCGCTTCTAGAGGATGATGGTCTCGAAGACTCGCCGTACTACCCGGATAATCTAATGATGATCATGCTTTGCTATGTGGCGCTGGGGGACAGTGAGAAGGCAATGAGGTGGGGGAAGAAGTTGGGTAAATGGGAGTTGTGCAAGCATGGGCCAAAGGATGTGGATAATTATGACAGGCCGCAGTGGTATATGAAGCATCAGTGGTGGAAGTTGAGAGTCATTGCGTGGAACAACCAATGGGCTACTGCAAATGCAATGAAAGAGAAGATGAAACAAGGATGAAGTTTTTCCTTTGCGGTGTCATTTACACCACCTAGGATTTGTGTTGTGTGTACAGTATGAACTTGAAACTTATGATTTCCTCGGCCAAAGCAGAACCTATCGAGCCCAGTTCAGTCTAGATGATCTCTCTAGTTCAACGGAACCACGAGGCACGCAGTCCCAACTACTGGATCAACATGTCCGTCCATCAAGCATGTGGTGTTTTAGGCTCGCTATTCGTACAACACCCAAACTCTAAAAGAGGATGTTCTTTTCGGAATTACTCAAGAAACTAGATCCTTCCGTCTATTCAAGTTTGGATTATTTGAATCATATAATTCAAATCATGCTCGATAGGAAAATGCAATTCCCTTGGATAACACTGAAGGACGCTGTCTGAGTGCCCTTGGATAAATCATCAGCAGTGTGGACTGAGTATTCAGCTGTGTTCAGAGAAGATGCATTATGTGGGGAGTAATGCAGAAGGTGATAGCTAGATTGCCCTCCAAAGGATCAATTCCTGGTCGATGTACTAGATGTACGTAGCTACCCCGTATTGAAGTTTACATTTGGATTTTCAACAAAATGCGGGGAGTGTCCGAATCCATCAACTCGAAGATCTAGTTTTTCGGCTCAAACGGCGGGAATTATGTAATTTTCTATCTGCTTCAGGCCCTCATCTTCAATTTATGAAAGGGACTTTGGACGCGACACGACGTGACCTAACGCGCCGAAACTTGGAAGCAGCATGAGGTCCTTAATCATCCGAGTCACGACTGACAGATAACTAGACAGTGATTTACCAGAACGCCCATTGTGGTCACCAGTCACTAGTCACTGGCGAAGTAGCGCTGATCTGATCTGCTTATGTACTTCTAGTTCTTCCCTTCAACACATCTTTGACATCCCACTAACCATCTATCATGAAGAGAGGTTTCCTCAATACTACGAAGGTAAAACAGGTTGTGTCTACTCAAGCACCCCCTGCGCAGCTGGGTGATGATAATCAGGCTTCGCCTTCTCCATCTTATCCAGTGGCGAGCGAAGACAAGTCGAAAGCAGATACACCTGGTGACGGTGTGTTTATCGATCTATCCATTTGGGTGTTATGTGACTTGGCTTCCAAGAATGTAAGAAGGCTTTGAAGGAAAAACAGAAGTTTTCTGATTACAAGAAGGACCAACGAATCGTATATCATCTTGGTTTGGATACGGAGGCTCCTGGTTTGTTTTTGAATCTACGATGCTAGTACCGCTAAGAACACGTCGTTCGTGTCACAGGACCTGGCGTATTGTCAACTAACCAACTCATCGAGGACTCGCCTAGCGACATGCTCAATTATGAGCCTCACGAACTGATTTGTACCACTCAACCTGCCGTGCCCATCGACGCCACACGTGAACAATATCCAGACGGCTGGACCGAATGTCTCATTACAGGCTTGATGAAGCAAACAGTCTTGCAAACGCCCTCGTTTTGCCAACCTCTCTCACAGCCTGTCCATATCAGTTACCGTGTAGGAACAGTATCCGCTCCCAATGGTCCTACTTCGAAACCACTTCCTGGGTTATATGCGACCAAGAAATTAGAGATGGGTGATCTCATCTTGTCAGAACGTCCAGTGCTTATCGTGCCTGCGATGATGAGGGTTGGGGAGATTTTTAATGAATTGCTCTCTCAATTGGATAGCCATGACCAGGCTACAGTCGTGAGCAATCAGTGGCAGGAAACGTTGGAGACCGTTTTTGGGAGGTTGTCGAAAGAGGACCAGGAAGAGTTTTGGAAGTTGAGAGATATTCGTCAGAGGAATGGAAAAAAGAGTATTGATGGCATCGTCAAAGCGAATGGGTTCGCGATTTTGGGACTGGCTGACCCTGGTTTGTCTCTCGCCAGAGTTGTTTTCTGGGCTCGGTTTACTGTTTTTATACAGGACTGGAAGACAATAACGGCGCATATAGTGGCGTTTGTCTTGTGTTGTCCCAGCTAAATCACAGGTGGGATCTATTCCTGCCGATTTATCTTCCGCAGAACTCATTTTTCAATAAAGTTGTCGACCTAACGTGGAGCGGTACTGGGACATGACCTCATTCTCCATGCAGCTACGCGCGATGCGGAAAATATCCAATGACGAAGAACTCACTGTCTCGTATATTAACCAGCTAGAACCCTTCGCTGTCCGTCAGAAGAACTTGAAACTATTCGACATTGTATGCACCTGCCAATCCTGCAAGAAGCCCAAGATTGGAGACAGACGCCGTACGCAGTTTCTCAAAGGAAATTTAACCACCGACGACTTCCTGCATTGGATTAAAGACGCTAGTCTGTCCGATGACCATGTTATCAAACGTGCTCTCGTCCAAATCTCGCTTCTGGAGGATGATGGTCTCGAAAACTCGCCGTACTACTCGGATAATCTAATGATGATCATGCTTTGCTACGTGGCGCTGGGGGACGATGAGAAGGCAATGAGGTGGGGAAAGAAGTTGGGTAAATGGGAGTTGTGCAAGCATGGGCCAAAGGATGTGGAAGATTATGACAGGCCGCAGAGGTACACGAAGCACCAGTTGTGGAAGTTGAAGGTAAATGCGCGGAATAATCACTGGGCTACTGCAAATGCAATGAAAGAGAAGATGAAACAAGGATGAAGTTTTTCCTTTGCGGTGTCGTTTACAGTACATAGGATTTGTGTTGTGTGTACAGTATGAACTTGAAGCTTATGATTTCCTCGGTCAAAGCAGAGGTTAGTTAGCCCAGGTCAGTCTAGATGACTCTTTTCACACTCACTATCGGTTGACCTTTATCGTCTAGAGCTCTCTAGTTCAACGGAACCACGAATTTACAAGAGAATACGTATTTGAGGAGAGGTGCGACTATCAGAGAACTGAGGCTGATCGACAACGGAAGCATCGGGACGGAAATAACGGAGTTGAACGGATTTAGAATAGAACTTTTCCAGACTTTTCCCCAAAAGTTTCTTGTTTTGTTTGGGGAAACGCCTGGCAACATCTTTAAACTTCGACAGTCATGTCAGGTAAGCATGTTGATATTATGGCCTTCTATTTCTCAACTAAATACATGATGTTCGTCAGAGAAACCTTTTGCTGTTGTTCCTCTGCTGTCCAGAGCTCTTCACCGCATCCGTACAACTCCTCCGCGTATTATCGCCTCTCCACCAACCCGTACGTTTATAGCGTTTTCCTTATCAGTCTCGATGCTTACTTGCTACCTGTAGAGCCTAGAAGAGCTGCAGTTTCAATCCTCATACGGGTCGTTCCTTCCCCTCACGCTCAGCCAGCAACGTTGTCTGCGCAACCAACACTTTCCGAGTTTTTTGAACTGGACTGGGTGAAAGATCCTAACGCTCGCGCTGAGATACTTTTTCTCAAGAGAGACACGCCGCTACCAGAAGAAACTGCTCACTCACAACCACAAGCCCACAATCACAATGAAGCTCATGTAGCGTTCCCAGGTGGTCGAACAGAACCTGATGATGAGGGTGGCATGTACACAGGTGCTTTGTGTTTCGTTCATACGATTTGTTGACGACTCATCTCGTTGTTCCTTCTTCCTTCTCCAGCTCTCCGCCAAACATGGGAAGAAATTGGCATTGACCTCGCCGAAAAAGACTACTTGTCAATTGGCCAACTCGATGACCGCGAAATCACCACTTCGCTTGGAAAACGACTCCTCATGATTCTTTCTCCTTTTGTGTTCCTTCAAGTAACACCAAATACTCCAACTCCTGATCCCGTACCGTCAACTACGCTGTACTGGGTACCTCTAGAAACCCTTGTGTCACCGGTCACCCCGCCGCAGTGGTCCCAAGTTACGGTTGATGCCGCATCGCGTCTTGCCCCAAAACATTCAGTTGCTTTGAAACTCCTAGTTCGGGCTCTCGTAGGAAGCATGGAATTCCCCGCCATAGTCCTGCACCCTTGTTCATCGCTGCCCCAGACTTCCAACACGGAAGCTCCTCAGATTCTCAAACTTTGGGGACTCTCGCTGGGAATGACACTTGACCTGATGTCATACATGATTATGCCTTTTCCATCATCGTCTTCTAACCTGGGAATCAAAGCAGATACCAAACATGGACCGAGTTCCCGCGCTTCATCACCCTTCTCTTCGTCGGTTATGTACCTACCATACCATGGCACACCGGAGGGTCTGCGAATGGAAGCCGTCGCACCGAGTTTGGCTTCTGTTTTCCCAAGGTTCTCCTATCCCGATGTGAATTTCTGGATTTGGTGTGTTTTGTCCTACAGTATTCATGTTCGCATTCACCTAACGCGTGTTGTGCTCGTAGGGTATTCGGTAAGCGCTATCGTGAAGTTGTTCGTGGGTGGGAGGCTAGCATTAGGTCGGGGGGCGTAAATGATCGACGGTGGGTAACTCTTTCGATAAAACCATGTTCTCCCTTTTCCTAAAAACTTTGTGTTTTAGGATCAATTGGTCTGGACAAGCGTTGAGTACCTTCTACGCTGCGATCCGTAAAGCGTTGGTCGTCGTTATCGTTGCCCGGGCGCTGGGCATCCTCTTCGGACTGGCGTTCACAGGCTGGTGGATATTTCTATCGTAAACGTCCATCAAGTTTCTTAAACTTCATTTATTCCGCGGCTTTCCCTTTTCCCTTGGTGTTTCTTAAAAGTGGCGTCTTTTTGCATAGGATGTTGTATGAACTCTGAACTCTCTGCTGAATCCTCCCTTCATCTGACTTTTCTCATTTTCTACTTTACTATTCCTGTTGTACTTTGGGTCCATATTTTGGTCATGAAATTTATGCCTAGACATGATCTACATATTGTTATTCACACCGTTTTGCACCGTCAACAATGTTGAAATTCAGTTCCAGATCATGATTTCTGAGCAGTCCTGAGTCCATCTTTCTGAGCAGACACATGAGCCTGAGGAAGTAAAGCTCACGATCGAGAAAGAGGTCAGTAAAGGAACATATTTTCATCGCCGCGGTCAATCCGGAACGGCTCGAATTTGTGGTATTCGTTACCGCAAGAAAGGTGCACTGTGTTGATTTGTAGCTGAAGGGTTATTCGAAGGATTAATGACTTCTTTTCGGATTGTTGGATGCGGCGGAATTGTTAAAGGACGACTTTCTATGGAAAATCAATCAAGCGCCGAAATGAACGCCAGATAATCTGTTCTTTTACCATCACCACGCAATGTCATCCACAACTAGGCCAGTCGTTTTCATGGACATCAACATCGGCGAGACACCCGCAGGACGTCTCAAAATGGAGCTTTTCAGTGATATAGTGCCCAAGTACTACCTACCATATAATCACTCTACAGAATAACTTGTACTGAATTATGACCCGTCCAGAACAGCGGAAAACTTCAGACAGTTGTGTACAGGAGAATTTCGGTGCATTTGAGAATATTCATGGCGAAGGTGTCAGAAGGCTCATCTAGAATTTGTTCGTTGATGCAGAGTCAATTCACGACCTCAAGGTTATAAGAATGCTACGTTTCACAGGTACGCACCAAGTCATTCTCGGGAACGATTGTGCAGCTTATCATCTCCTACGTTTTCAACATCAGAGTGTATGCTAATCCATTATTCTCATGGACGTCGACATCCTGAAAAGAGCTAATCAAAGGGCGTCTACCGCAGTGTGCCCAAATTCATGTGTCAAGGTGACCGATACCCATCCAGACAGGAGATATTAGACTCTAAATTGATTTCTGTCCTCACGTTTCATTTTCTTGCGTCGTGTCGCGTGTCGATGACATAGGCGGAGATTTTCTGAAAGGTGACGGGACGGGATCGTTTTCGATTTATGGTGACGACTTTCCGGTGAGCATATCATGTAACCTCTTCAAACCTTCCAGAAGACATCAATTGACTCTCGGGCTTGCGTTCCACAGGACGAAAACTTCCAAGAGAAACATACTGGTCCTGGATTATTATCCATGGTTCGTGAGGGTTGTCCCGCACCCATAGTCATACTCAATCTGCGTCTTCTTTCAGGCAAACTCGGGTCCTAACACGAACGGCTGTCAAGTACGCGCTTCGTCCACCTTCACTCTTTTCTTCTGACGTATCACTAACTCGAATCCGTCATTGAATTCTTCCTTCCTCCCATTCTTCTCACTTGCTTTCTAGTTCTTCATAACTACTGCTGCATGCGACTTCCTGGACGGTAAACACGTTGTTTTCGGAAAAGTCATCGATGGGATGCTCACCTTAAGGAAAATCGAGAATGTTGCAACAGGTCCAAACAACCGACCAAAGTTAGTAGTGAAAATCACTGGTGAGTCCCTTTGCCTTGATTTTATGCTTTTAACCTCCCCATCCTCTCCTCTGCCTTGTTGCGTCGTAAACTTATTTTCTCCTCAACGTAGAATGCGGTGAAATGTGAAGAACAATGATAATGATACATTCGCACCCAAGGAATGGTCATTTTGCAATCAAGTATTGTTAAATGTTGGCAGTAGTTGTGACATTAAGCATTACTGAAAGTACCAAATGTTTTGGCAACAAATAAGACAGTATGATTCTGAATAGAGGTTACTACAACCAACTTTTCAATGATCAGCAGCAGCAATTGCAAATAATTATAGGAAACTCCAACTCTACTTTCGATTAGCCGATCGATAGGTAGAACAATTCTCCAAGGAACCAGGGAGGCGACATATCCCCCAAGCATACGATGACAACATCATCTTCAGTGGAGAATATGGCACCTGATGCGCCTTCAATAATCCCTTTTGAAGACAATGTTTTTAGACAAAATGCTGCACTTTTTGTGACTTTTAGTTATCACTGCTCAGCACAGCAGGACTGTGAAGGCCGAAAAAATCTTCATGAGCGGACCAATTTTTCCTTGTTTGACTTTTCCCAACAGCTGTGCAGTCAACGACTACTTTCTGACCGGGCTGAAGTTCCTTTACTAAAACGAAGAAATGAGGTGATAAATTCTCCGGAATGAGAACCTGGTCTGTAATTTTGATAAGAGAAATGTCGATATACTCGAGGTGTTTGTTAGATAGAGATGGTTGGGAAGCAGGGGTGGCTGCCAGCTGGGAGAGATTGAGGGAATTCGTGTGATTAGAGAACGGTTCGGAAATTGACATGGTCATAGAAGAGCAGCGACATTATTTGGGTTTCGGCTTTGCGGATTGTGGGTGGTGATTTCGATTTTCTCCGCGAGTGAAGGAGGTTTTTGCCACTATATGTGTACCTCTTGCGAGTCTCCAAGCCGTAAATGCTTGGATTTGATATCTTGTGACAACACGGAGCGATCAGGAATCTATATTACATTAGAGGTACAGAATGAGTTTAAGGGAAAGAAGCAACACACTCATAACTGCGGCTTTGTTGTATCATCGGCAGCATCATTTGGGACGAAACTCTAGCTTGTAATGTGCCATGGTGGGTTGAGTTGAACTTGGACGCTGAACACTAGAAATTGATTCTGAAGAGTTTGCGGAGGACGATGATGAGGGGTTTCGGATAGTTATACTAATGTCCCGTGGTGGAGGACGATCGGTTGATCTCTTGGCCTTCTTGAAGTAGAAAGAGCGAACAAGGGCGCCCAGTTGTGTTTGGATCAACGTAAAATAATAGAGTATATGCGCAGATTCAGACGGATAAACGTGGTAATGAGCATTACTTATGGAATCACATTATATTTCGAATGTTGCATTTGTCACCTACTTCGTTCACAACATCGCTCACACCTAACACCTAAACAGTCCTAAACCCCTTTGCAATCCACTCCAAAACGACAGGGGTCAACCGATTTTCCAACGGCGTATCCGAAAATAAGAAATCCATGAAGACGTCGTCATGAATTCCCCCATCCTGCACCAGAAGAATCGCATCCGAATAATACGGCCTGATCTTCTGTTCGAAGAACACCTGGATTTGGTCTGAAAGCCGTTCCTCTTTCCCTGCTGTGACTAGGATCCGGTCGACGACCGTATTGGGAAGGTTAGAATACCAGTTATCAGGAGCGAGAACTGGTTCAGCGTATGGAACGACTTGCGAAAGGTCGTCAATTTTGTTTTTGATGTTGGAGATGGTGTTGACATAACGTTCACCCGCTTCTTGTAAATTTTTGTAAACAGTGACATCGTAATCCTTGCTTTGGAATGTGGGTCCCCATTGATCTGGGTTGGAGAGGCTGACCCAGGGAGATATCATAAATACTCCTCGGAGACGAGTACCTGGAGGTAAGTTGGTCGGAGGGACCAGAGATGAAACAGGGAAAGGATGGACCAAGTGCGAGAGGAGCTGTGCGACGAGGTTACCTCCAGCAGAGTCACCCACAATCTGAATGTCGGAAGGGTTGCAGCCTTCGGATAGAAGGTATTCGAGTGCTTGAGTGGCTTGATAGAGTTGGGTGGGAAAAGCTGCATTTGGGTCAGAGCCGACAGCTTGTATGAGAGTCAGCAAATTTTGCTTTGAGGCAAGAGAAGATAGCATACAATACGACAAAACCGCGATACCAATCTTGAGTCCTTGTTTTTCCCATTCTAATTGAGCGTATTTCCAGAACCTAAGCATCATTTCTGTTACTTGAAACATGTACGCTCCGCCTGTTATATAAACATTAATAAATGTGCCCATGGCATGATATAATTCTCCCGAAGTAAACTCACCCGGGAAGTATAGTAAAACCTTCTCAGTCCTCTTAGGACCTATCCAGAACACACGTCCTCGTTCACCCTTTCCCTCGTCGTCAAAGTCCAACGGCAACTCGACCACTAGTGCTCCAATCTCAGGCTGGTATTTCTTCACCCATCGTTGATATTGATCCAACCCACTCCCGACAAAATATTGGACTACTGCGAGAGGCAAGTAAGCGGTGCTTGCGCGAACAAAGGTATCACCGATACGACGTGTAAGAGTTTTGGAATTGTAGCTATTGGCACGGAAGATAAAAGGAGCAAGGACCGTCTGGAAGCATGCGAGTGCTGAAGGTGAATGTTGGGTTTAGTAAAGAATGAACTTTAGATCGAAGTTCAAGTTTTGACTCACGTAGGCTGATAGTGAAGAAGAGAATTATGCTAAAATAGTTGATCCAAGTTAGAGAAACAGTTTTGCCGTCACGGGTGTCTGCGATCATGGCACACCGAGTCCAATCGATGTTCTCTTAAATTCTTTCTCATGAAATATATGTGCGGTACCGGCTGTCGATATGAAGGACACTCAGGTCTGCTCAAGTCTTCGGGTCCGCAAAATTATCCACCAACCTACTAAGCAGGTCTTACTACTATTCTCACCCAAGTACACTGGTGAGCGATGTTTATTTGTGAAATGTGAACTAGAGTTCGGCCCATCCACTATCTGAATCTTCTCCACCGCTGACCAGAGCCAAAATAAACACGATCACGCTAGCACCAAGCCTCATGCCGAGTCCACGATATAACTGCCCAATGCCCGTATTCCTAAACCACCCATCATCCTCCTTCACTTGCACCGTCTCGTCCTTCAAACCACTTCGGCTCGGTCTTCTCTTTTTTGTACTTGTGTATCTATTCGCAGGCACATCCGACCGTTCTTCAGTGATAATCCGCCATAACGCATCGACCACACCGTGATAAGGCGTAGGCCTTAATTCGACACAACCTCTAATCGGGTTCGCATGTCCCCTGGTTTGTACCTGCAGTCTCCGCCTAACAGTTTCGAAAGGTAATGTCAGCAATAACCCCACACAGCTTCCAGTTAATTCAGCGATACCCCATGCGATTGGGTTATTTATCTCGGTGATATGTGCACGGCCGACGTAGGAAGCGATGAGTCCTGGGAGAGCGAGAGCGACGAGAGGGCGGAAGGCAGAGTCGATTATAGCGGGTATGAGGAGGTTTGGGTGGAGGTAGATGCCTTTGAGTCCACCTTCGTCGCGAAGAATTTGGTTTAGGGCGTCTACGGGTCCGGAATAGGTCCGGTATCTGGGAATGAACGATTGAACGATCATGCGTGTACGGATTAAGTCAAGAGGAGAGAGGATGAGGCCTGTTATTAAGTGAGAGGTCACTGGTAGAATAATTGGTGGTTGGTCATATAAAGTTGTTGGAGATAGGAAGATGGATTGGAGGATGTTGTGGATGATAGGTTGAAGCGTTGAGGATAGTACTTCAATGACGCAGGAGGTCAAAAGCCCTATTTGAAACCTATCAGAGATATTTTACGTTGGTAAGAAGAAAGATTGACCTTTCCACAATGCCAACCAGCCTTCGCCCCGGAAGCGACCTATTCGTTTGATCATTCCCCATACACCGTCTTGTGGTTCGACAGGCATGATAAACTCTGGCCAAGAATCCTCATGTAATGCGTGCTGGTATTCTTCTCTGCGTACATGTGTGGAAGCAGGTGCTGCTCCTGGATCAGCAAAGTACGATTCGTCTTCGCTGTCTGTATCGCTCGTCTATTGATACGTCAGCAGCAGCAACATGGCAAGAAATCGAGATGCGCATACTTCTCCATCTTCCGGCACCTCTTGTATACGTTCTGGATCCTGAACATCTCTCGGGACCCATTGAACTTGTAAAAGTAACTTGCCGACCTCCCAAGGCATCGCTATAGCTGTACTCGTGTACTGAAGCATAGCAGACGCCAGCACAGTCTTGACGACGTGCATGATATCAATGTCAGAGACATCGGCTAGGTCAGGCGAAAGGTCAAAGATTGAATTATGAGAGGCTCGAGGAGATTTCCATTGGAATGAAGGTGTGCCGGAGGTAGGCTGGGTGGAGTTTGTTGCTGCTGCAACTGCAGCAGCTGCTCCCGCTGGGGCTGGCGGAGTAAATGACCAGGCTGAGGACGGGTTGGAATAAAGATCTCGAAGGGAAGAAGAAGAGTTCATTGCATTGTTCAAAGACTTAATTAAGAGGAAGAAAGAGTCAGGAAATCAATCATGTCACGCTCGGGCTTTCCGGATCGCAGCTTCCGGTGACGAAGCTTCGGCCGGATTTCCCCGACTTTTCCTTACCATCGTTCAGAACTTTCCTGAACCGTATCTGAACCGTATCAACATTCCATTCCACACGTCGCTTTGATTGAAAGTATTTTGATTCTTGCCAGCGGCAATCTTCTAAAATAAGTAAGAAGCGAATAAGCCTTTTTGGGCACCGGAATTCGATGAAGTTTTCAGTGCTGCATCAACAGCTTTGAGGTTCCTGTTCAATCCACATAAATGTTTCCATATTGCGTACTTTATTTTCAATAAGCTCAGTCAGCTACATTGCAGCTTCAAAGTTTTCAAACTTGAAGTTGAGCAGAATTCCGGCCCAACTTTCTCGGAACCCCCTCGACGTTCGTTCGACATCGAGATTGGAAAAAAAATTAAATGATGCAATTGATGGCCGGCGCTTACCTGGCGTTTCTGACATCACCATCATTTACACCACAGCTTCAACTTGTGTATATTTCGTACCCCCACCATCCTTGATTCTCTCTTTTCTTTTTCTCTCTTCTCACTATGGCAGGCGATGGCAATGGTGCCGTCAACGGCGCAGAAGACCAACTCAAGCACGATGCCGCTAAAGGGCGCGTCGCTGTCCACAACTTTGACCCAGATGCCTCACCGGCACAGAAAGCCGCTGTTGCTGGGAAGGCCAAGGACCAGCTCAAAGGTGTACAGCAGAAATCAGATGAAGGAGGCGGCGAGAGAGGTTAGATAGCTTCTACTACTATCTTCTGGTTGGGCACTCTAACGTCGGTGCCACAGAGGTTCAGATTGACCATGGAAATTCAAACGTCATCCCAACAATCAACATTCAAGACGTCGACGGCGAAAAGAAGATGCAACAAACCGACGGCAATGTTACCACCGATTTAGACGACACCACACCATCGCCGCCAGGCGCCATGCCTGCAGTACCCGCAGCTAACGTACCCGAATGGTATCAGGTCGGCTGGCGCGCAGTTTCTGGAATTGATGTTCCACCGTTACCAGAAGGTGAAGAGAAAGATCATTCGGTCCTGAACGCCTTCCTCGGCGAGCAGTTTTACGGTGATTGGTATCACAACGCTGCGATCATCGTCTTTGTGCGTGGATAAATCTCACCCGAACCCAGAATAGCTCAGCTTACGCCACTTACCACATCCTTTCTCCAGGCTGTATTTGCTTCTCACTTCCTAACACGTTTTCGTTTCGGATGGGGCTGGCTGTTCATCATCCTCGCGGTATGCAACACTTATTACACTACCTCCATGGAACGAACCCGAAGACGGTCTCGTGATGATATCCAAAGAGAGTTAGTCAAGTCGCGTCTAGCTTCCGAACACGAAACTGCGGACTGGATCAATAATTTCCTTGATCGGTTCTGGCTTATCTACGAGCCAGTACTCTCAACGACTATTGTCAGCTCTGTCGACCAAATCCTCAGTACAAACACTCCTGCTTTCCTAGATTCCCTACGACTGAGTACATTTACTCTTGGAACCAAAGCTCCGCGTATTGACAAGGTCCGGACCTTTCCAAGGACAGAAGATGATATTGTTATGATGGATTGGGGTATTTCGTTCACCCCGAACGATATCTCCGAGATGACGCCCAAACAAGCTGCAGGGAAAGTCAATCCAAAGATCGTGCTTTCAGTCAGAGTCGGCAAGGGTCTCGCCTCAGCAGCTATGCCTATCCTTCTTGAGGACATCACCTTCAGCGGGCTTATGCGTATTCGTATGAAGCTCATGTCGAATTTCCCCCACGTTCAGATAGTGGATATCTGTTTTCTAGAGAAACCTGTCATCGATTACGTTCTCAAACCGATTGGCGGAGAGACCTTTGGATTTGACATTGCCAATGTTCGTGACGTTTTCATTCATTCAGGTTGTAGGATACTTTCCCCTAACTTTTTTTTGACCTTCGCAGATGCCAGGCTTGTCATCTTTCATTCGGGATATGACTCATGCCACTCTCCAGCCGATGATGTACGACCCGAATGTGTTCACTCTGAACCTGGAACAACTTCTTTCGGGCACCCCTCTCGACTCTGCCGTTGGGGTCTTACAAATCACCCTCAACTCTGCCCGAGGCATCAAAGGTACTAAGATCGGCGGTGGTACTCCAGACCCGTACGTCGCTATTGCTATAAACAATCGCGATGAATTGGCACATACCAAATACAAGTCCAACACGTACGTCTCTGCATTGTCGACCGCACATATGATGCCATCTAAGTGTCGGTATCTTTTGACAGGTACAACCCTACGTGGATGGAGACCAAATTCGTGTTGGTCAATTCTTTGTCGGAGACATTGAACTTGAATCTGTATGATTTCAACGACCACCGGAAAGATACCCTTTTGGGTACGGCTACGTTCGAGTTAGCTCAGCTTCAAGAAGACGCAGTTCGCGAAGGCCTTACCTCACCCTTGCTGAAAGACGGCAAGGATCGAGGGGAGCTCAAGTACGATATCTCCTTCTACCCCGTACTGAAACCCGAAGAAGGTCAGGAGGTTCCGGATACTAGTAAGTGTATAATTCTTCTCAGTTATAAGCTAATCTGACATCTGCTCTGTCAGAGGTCGGAATTGTTCGTCTCACCGTGCACCAAGCCAAAGAGCTTGACCACACTAAATCCCTTTCTGGCGACCTAAACCCCATCGCCAAAATATATCTCGGGAACAGCGACACTGCAATCCATGCCACAAAGTGCATCAAGCATACCAATAGCCCAGTCTGGGAAGAACCACACGAGTTCCTATGCGCCGACAAAAACTCCTCTGTTATCACAATCAAAGTCATCGATGATCGTGATTTCTTGAAAGACCCTGTGGTCGGGTATATGTCTATCAAGTTGGCGGATCTGTTGACAGCGAAGAGCGAGGCAAGGGATTGGTTCCCGTTGAGTCACTGCAAGAGTGGGAAAATCAGGCTGAGTGCGGAGTGGAAACCGTTGAATATGGAAGGAAGTTTGGCTAGTGCGGATCAGTATACCCCGCCGATTGGTGTCGTGAGGCTGCATTTGGATAGGGCAACTGATGTGAAGAACGTTGAGGCGACGTTGGGAGGAAAGGTGTGTTTTTGAGCGTGCTTTTTTATTCAGAGCTTAAAGTGCTGATGGAATTTTCAAAGAGTGACCCGTACGTTCGCGTTCAAGTTGCCAACGTCACGAAGGGTAGGACAGAGGTTGTCAATAACAGTGGGTAGACTAAACACCCATAATTGGTGTATTTCACTGATTCTTTTATAGACTTAAGCCCTGTCTGGGACCAAATTCTCTACATACCTGGTACGTATGCAGCCAACATGATACGATATGTTCTCTTGACGTCGTTATAGTTCATTCTCTGAAAGAGACGTTGCTACTAGAATGCATGGATTATCAGCATTTAACAAAGGTACGGGAGCCTATCCACACGCGTTACCTCTGTTATGAATACGAATATCGCAGGATCGTTCCCTCGGATCCGTGGACCTTCACGTTGAGGAACTTGCAGTGGAACACGACGACGTCGAATACCCTTTCAAGTCTACCGGCGTCAAGGAAGCTACTGATCAAATTCGCCTCGACAAGGGCGGAGGGTTCAAAGGAACCCTGCATTACAAGGCAGAATTCGTACCTGCGCTCAAGCTCAAAGGCGGCGTTCAGTTCAACGAAAGCGGCACTTCTGCGCTCACCAAGGGCGTTTCAGGATCCTCAAGTTCAAAGGGGTCGAAGGATTCCGATGCTGGCTCGTTCCGCAGTGTTGGATCCAAGGCTGATGAAGCTGGTCAAGATGTTCCGAATGGTGTTACGATCTCTGAGCCTTCTAAAAAAACACACAACAAAGGGGCAAAGTCGACAGATACGACAGCAACTAATGCGACTAGTGGGACTGTGGGTACCAATGGCACTACTGAAACTTCTGACGAGGCGCAAGGCGAGTCTCACGACGATGTGGGCGTCGAGATGAGTAAGGATGAGCTGTTGGCTCAGCGTGAGTATCATCATATATTCGCATGAATTGTAACTCAACCCGAATCTCAGAATCCGGTATCATTGTCTTCAACGTTGTCTCCGGTAGGCTGGCCAAAAAGGCTCGGGTCGAGATGTTGCTGGATGATGGTTATTGGCCATGCTTTAGCACCAACCGTGCACGAAGTACAAAGGCGTCTTGGGGTTTCGTTGGGGAGGGCTTCGTCAAGGAACTCGACTTTAGCCAAGTGTGGATCAGACTCAACGAGGCCGAGGAAGGCGACAAAGATGATATCATTGCTGAGTGGCGCGGTGATACCAAGGGCTTCCTATCCTCGACGCTGGTGAGCTGGGTTTGGTGATGTGTCACTCCGCAATGCTCTGATCAAATACTATCACAGGACAACGCTCAAACCTTCACCTTAAATGACTCGGACGAGAGGGGCACATCGACTGTTACACTTGAGGCGCGTTACATTCCCGTGCCAGTCGTTCTGGAGCCTCGTGAAAGCATAAACAGTAAGTAGTCATTTCTGCATGAACAGCTTCACTGCTCACTCTCTTCATAGACCAGGGTGTTTTGAACGTAACGTTGCTGGATGGTCGGGATATTCATGCTGCTGACAGAGGAGGTTTGTTTACGTTTGATAAATGTCGTTTCCACCTTTTTTAGTTGATTATCATTTGCAGGCAAATCAGATCCATTCGCCGTCTTCACTTTGAATGGACAAAGAGTTTACAAGTCCCAAACGAAGAAAAAGACACTAAATCCAGATTGGAATGAACAATTCCCCGTATCAGTCGTGAGTACTGTCATTTGTAAGTGGTCTTTGCAATATCGTTGATGAATTACATCCAGACATCTCGTGTGGCTGCTGACTTCAACGTGGAGTTATTCGACTGGAATCAGATCGAGCAAGCAAAGAGTCTTGGTTTCGCTCAAATCGATTTAGCTGAACTTGAACCATTCCAAGCAACAGAAAAAACGTTAACATTGACGTCTCATAAGCACGGCGATAAAGGTCACCTTCGTGTACGACTTATGTTCCAACCGGAAGTTATCGTTAAATCTCGCAAGAACACCTCGACGTTCTCTACTGCTGGTAGGGCGATGACCCAAATTGGTGGATTGCCGATGTCTGCTGGCAAAGGTGTTTTCCATGGTGTTACAGGTATCCTGAAGAAAGGGCACAAAGGAGACGGTTCTGACGACTCGTCGGTCCCTGATTTTCCCGCTGGTCAGCAATCTCATCCTGTCGGTACATCGGAGCTTGCGACCTCAGCTGGAAATCCATTCCCACCCTCTTCGTCCTCTGAAAATCTGCCAGTTTCATCAAACAATGAACCTGGGACACTTCGCGTCACCGTAATAGATGCGAAAGACTTGGCAGGAGGTGATGCAAAGGCGTATGCCGTTATCAGAGTGGGAGATAAAGAGCAAAAGACTAAACACTCAGGCAAGACGGCTAGTCCCGAATGGTATAAACTCTTTTCTTGACCTTTTTGTGCATGTGATGCTCAACGTTTCTCATCAGGAATGAATCATTTAACTTCGCCGCCAGTTCGTTAACACCAAAGTTGTACGTTTGGATTCATGATCATAAGACACTGGGAAAGGACAAAATGCTAGGTGACGCTGAAGTCGATGTACGTTATTTTCACTCTTTGCAGACGGTAGATAAGGCTTACCTGTGCACATAGATTTGGCGTCATATTTCCTCTGAAGGAGTAACAGCCGCGGAGGTCACTGTGGAATTGCACAACGGTTCTGGACTCTTACGCCTTCGTTTAGAATTTGACGCTTCCGTTAACCCACTAACGCGGAGGTCGTCAACCTCTTCAGGAGATCGTGCTAATACGTCCAGGACTCTGTCTATCGCTTCTCCGAGTCGGTTCAGTATCAGTGGGCGGCGCAGGGGAGGCGAAGACGACTAGTCAGCCGTCTAAATTATCTACCACCGCTCGTTCCATTCATTTCGCGTTCGGGTTTCCCCATGGACTTGACCTAAAATCCATATGTTACGCAAGCAACGGCGAGCAATAATGCTTGTCACATAATATGATACACTAAACCTCTCTTTCTTCGAATATCGAAAGTCCAGGCTGGGAGTTGCGAAGTTCCTTTGTTTTACCATTCCATGAACTCTGCGATGTACAAATAGGATACCTGCTGTATTGCGTTTATTTACCTTTGAAATTCAATACCTAGTCAAAACAACATTCCAGCCAGTGTTGAATTCAGCTTCACCCATCTGATATTCTCTGGAGTCTAGTAAGTTGACAGGATTATGGATCTGCTACTGTAGTACTAGTGAGAGCTAGTGGGCGGAGTGCCTAGCATTTTGAGCAGCCCAATGTGACCCCCTATTGCAGCCCAGAGACCCTCCTTCTACAAGCCCAGAATAAATAAATCCGGAAACGCTGTAGATACTGCGTAATTGCTCACAATTTCATACTTGACACCAAACTCAATTGCAGTTTGACGTACAATCTTCGCTACGGCAGGAAGGTGCTCCTGGGCAATAGAAGGAAAGAGGTGATGTGCTACCTAGTAGACAAGCATAATTTTGAATCGAGTGGATGAAGAGGAGAAAAACCCACTTGATAGTTCAAAGAGCCCGAGAAAAACGTCATGAATGGTTTATCATGACTGAAGTCTTGTGCAGTTTCCACTTGCAGACGAGCCCAGTCCACATCGATGTTCCCTGTTTCAGGATTCACTTGAGGGAATGCTACACTATCAACGAGATGTGTCGCTTGGAAAATCATTGTGACTATGATCGAGAAGGTGAAACTGCGAAGAGGTTCAGTAAGATTTGGAGAATATATCAAATGAGCAGACACTTACTCTGTCAAGAGGAATGCGGTGATGACTCGTAGGGGTGTGGCTCCCAAATACAAGGGGAAAGTAATCCGGGTCATCAGGAAAAATATCTACGTGATAAAGGATTTTGATGGCTCATGAGTATTATTAACTTAGATTGCAAAGAAAGGCCAAACTTTTCCCCCCCAAAAAATCAGATTCTGAGAGGCAGTAAAGGGATTGACTTTGAGTGGACCTCGGCGCTATTGAGTTGAAGTGTCAATAAAACTGAAAGACAAAACTTGCCGGATTGTGAGTCCACACTCACCCCTCTATAGTAGTTGCACATATCTCCAATACGGATAGATATTCCAAGAAAAAAATACAGGAATGGTGAATATATGGACTGGAATCTGTAGATGGGGGAATATTTTTGAGATTCCTTGATGCGGTAAAATTCCATGTCGGACGTGTCAATGTCAGAATCAAAACCTTCCACATTTGTGAAAATATGGTGGCTCATAACATGTTGATATACCCTTTGAAGAATGAGCGAAAGCTTAATCTTTGCATGTTAATACACATACCACAAGGTGCTTGAACATCCATTTAGAAAATCATGTCCCATCGCAAGCAGTCTCCAAAATGCGGGGCTATAACTGACTGCCCCATGAGAGCCATCATGCATAGCAGAAAGACTGTACTGAGCCAGTGCTGCTCCGTAAGCAATTGCCATGATATAGAACATCAATGCAGTGTGGAGAAATGTTGTCCACTGCAATGAATAAAAAACCAACAAGGCAATTGTGTTGAGAAAGTATCTGACATATGCAAACGGAGAGCTTCTCTGATCTATTTTTGTAGATCTAAAATAATTATTGACTCGTTCTTTCAGTGTCAAAGAAAATTCATCTTCCGGTGGGAATGAAGGGACATCTTGCCCCGATAGAATTCCTATCTGGTACTTGAGTAGAACTTGATGCTGAGCTTGTCCGTGATAGGATTTGAATACTTGTGATATCTGGGGAGAGAGTACGTGGAGTGAGGATCAAAAAAAGTATGATCCAAGCATAAAAATCATACGTCTTTTCCTGCAGCCATATATAAAAACTCCCATCCACCTGGGTGCTTATTCATGAACTCTGTCAAATCATACACCTGCATAGATGTAGAGATGAACTGACACTATGGCAAAATAAAAAAATATACCCACTACCCGATCAACAGAGACCCAAACTTTATCGTATTCGCAAGCTGCCCTCAGTTCTTCCAGGGTTACAATATTAGAGGTGAAATCTGGCGCAGTGAGCTTAATGTCCGAATAGTGAACATGCATGCTGCAAATTGAAGTCATCAGCGTTGCCGAAGAAAGGTGGTATATAAAGAAGAGTAGAGACTTAAGAACAGGTCTAGTCTTCAGAAGACAACAGAGGCCCTATGTAGAGCAAGATCAAATCCCGGGTTTGCTAATGCAACGAGAATGTAATAGTGGCGATTAAAGCGAAGTTCTCTTGCTTTTTATACGTAGGAGGGCTGGATGTCATACCAGGTCATACTAGGATGCTGTCATTAATGCCTGTTGGGCGCATGCCAAAGTGTACGGTTTGAACGGGTCGGAACTAGAATCAAAAAGTTAGAATCGTGCTAGCTACGTGAAGATTGGACACCTCGGGATTTCAACCAGTGCACCTATGCACCCCTGTTTATAGAGGTTGGTTCCCGTTCCTGATGTTGCTTGTACATTGTTGAAAATCAGTGAAAATCTTGGTCAAAAGGGCGCTTCCAGGCCTTGGCACAAAATTTTCGGTCAAAAATGGTTAAATCTTGACCTTGACTCACCAATTATCCATATTCACAATGTGCTATGTTTTCTTGCTCAAGATTTGAAACCAGTTTGAAGTTAAGCTCGAGAAACCTGCATTTCGTGAATTCGGAGAAAATTGGAAGCTCCCATCCAGAAAAATATTGGTCAAAATCAAGCCCAATTGGAAGAACTTACTACCATGACCAAGGGTCTATACCTGTACCGGCAAGGACAGACTAGAAACTTGACTTGACTTGGACAGACACACTAATACTACTGACTAAACCGGTTCGACTACAAAGCACACAGTAGTGAAACGCAATGGATCACCCTTCATTTAAAATTATTCAGTGACAGTTCAAGCCTGCATTCCACCACTAACACCAACTGCGGGCACATTGCCGGCGGGAAGGCGACCACCAGGTCTCCTTCCGGGACCTGATTCACTCAGACCTCCACGTCCACCACGTCCACCTCGGAATCCTCTTCCGCCTCTTCCACCTCTCATATTCGGATGTCCACCGCCCATTCCGACACCGAACCCTCCAGGACGCATGCCTCCATGACCAACGCGCCCAGGTTCTCCAAACGTCGCTACATTCTTCACTCGTTCCTCTTCACGCCTTGCCCTAGCAACCTGAGCCCCGTTCATTCCAGCCGCACCACCACGAGGGCCTGCACTACCACCTCCGCCTTGCCCAGGAGTAAGAGAATCAAAGAACGATTTGGACGGGTTATATGCTTGTGATGTTTTTGATGTTCCGACAGAGCTCGATTTCTTCCTGCTCCCGTCGTCGTCTTCCTCTCCAGAAGAAGTTTGATCAGAGTCGTCGCTATTATGCGCCTTGACGAACCGCCGGTTTGAGCTCTCGAAGTCAAAATCTGTCGTTGGCACTTTGAGCGTTGCACCGCCAGGTGCACCTCCTCGACGTCTGGTGCCATTGCCGTGGCCGTTTGCTGGTTGCTGTTGGGATACTCGGAGGTCACCCAAGGCGCGCTCGACAGTCTCAAGCGAAGCTGTCGCTGTGTGCAATCGTTGAGCTCTTGCACGTGCAACAGCAGCAGCGGAAGTGGATCGTCCTCCTTCTCCTGCGGCTCCGGGCGCTGGAGTTTCCTGGGTGTATTGGGATGGCGCTGGTTGCTGCTGTTGGAATGGTACTGGCTGTTGAACCGAGGGGGGAATCTGAGGAGGAAGTTGCGAAGAAGCGCCTAGCACAGCTGGATCGTCGTGCACGCTTCTTCCTCTTGGAGGTTCTACTGACTGATCGACAGCGAGGTCCTTGACCTCTGAAGCGCGAAAGATAATGTATTCGTAAGGGTCTGGGACGGGGGGGATAAAATCTTGGGGTGGACGTCGGTTTTCTGTACCCATAGAGTACACTGAAAGCGAAAATGAAGGTTAGGATAGGTAGAATAAAGCAATAAGATATGGAACAAACCTTTGGATAGTTGAATAGTGCTCGCTGCCGGGTCAATCCCTGCCAGAATACCCCGATATCGCACATCTGAGTGCGAAATGAGCGAAATAGGTTTCCTACAATGACAGTTATAAGCAAAAATTACACCTTTGCTTTCGCGACAAAAAAGACATAGGGAAGAGAAACACGTACCCAATAAAACTCGTCGCCATCTTCAAAATTAATCGTTCACCTTCTTTTTAAGGGGTTTTCTTTCAATGGATACCCTTATTCCTTCACGGTTCTCAATAGAATCCGAATTAGCTGAAGAAAACAAGGAATTCACAGTTTGCAGTATATGAACAAGACAAAGAAGGTATCGGCGACACGCGGCTGCAGATCGTGGGAAGCACTTGGTGAAGCGCGGAGAAGCGCAGAGAAAATTTCTCTTGGTTTTTTCTACGGAATCGAGCTGTTACATTTAGTACATAATCTAATATTTCCCCATTTTGGTGGAAGTAAATCCGCAGAGATACGATTACGGGACCTTGATAGGTTCGATACTCCAAAAGCTCTCCGCATATTCAAGAATCGCCCTGTCCGAACTAAATTTGCCCATCTAAATGAACCAAATGAGTAGTAAATCGCGGTGAAAATCTTTCTTAGACAATATAAACCTACATTGGCAGTTGTCCTAATCGATTTCTTGATCCACTCTTCTTTGTCGAGGTACGCTTTGTCGACCATGTCCAGAGCACCGATGTCTGATAATTGCGTGCAATTCAGAATCGCTTTACGGTCAGTCAACATGAGACGTACAGGAGTCAAAGTCGTCTGTGAGGAGATAAAAGTCGCCTTGGCGGATCGTGTTGAGTAAACTATAGAGCAAAATGAGATGAGAGCGAGTAAGGAAGCTCAACGATAAGTGTCTACTCACGGTTCATACACCTCACCATCTCCAAACATCCCACTAGATATCTTGTCCAAGACGTTTGCCAAAGCGGGGCATTTCTCTTCGACAGGAACGGGGCGATACATATGTTGATAACGAAGGTCCTCGACAGCACTAATCACGGAGTAGATTCAATCAAAGGATTTGGACACAAGTGGCAAAACGCACGGAGTCAAGTGTCCAAAGAAAACTAATCGTTATGCTCTTTGCTCAATATTGCAAGACAGATCAAGGATGTCAAGTTACGCACAGACGTTGTTCTCTCCGACAGCCTCCGCAATCTCGATGTTTGCACCATCTGACAAAGTAGTAAGCACTGCTACAGAGGTTAAAGTGTGAAGACTCTTTTGACTCACCAACAGTCCCCACCAACAGCCCTCCATTCAAACAGAATTTCATGTTAGACGTACCTATTCGCAAACAGTAAATATACACAGTTGCAGGTACAAAGACAAGACAAAATAGAAAACACACCCGATGCTTCAGTTCCTGCAGTGCTAATATGTTGTGAGATGTCCGAAGAGGGAATGAGAACCTCCGCCAAAGAAACAGAGTAATCCGGGAGGAAATAAACGGTGAGTAGGTCGCGGGTGTCAGGGTCAGCGTTGATAACCCTAGCAGCATTGACGATAAGGCGGATCGTCTATTCGTAGGAACCTTGTAAGCTCTCAAAAAAATACAGGGCCTGCAAAAAGGAAGCGCACCAATTTCGCGATGTAGTCTAATAAAGAACTTCAGACGCTGAATGGTAACGAAAAAGATGGAATGACATACATCCAGGTGCAGCTTTGCCGGCGAAAAAGACAACTCGAGGGTTGACTTTTTTGCGCTCTGCAGCCGACATTTGCTTCAGCCCCAAGTACCTCTAATGATGCACAGGCATAATTTCAGTAAGATTGGTTGATCAAGATGTATCGTGTGGATGACGTACATGTATAACACCAAGGATGTTCAAGGTTTGTCTCTAGCGAAGAAAATCATTCGATAACTGTTTCGGCAGATGAATTGACCTTCTACACGTACCTTGTACTCGTGAAGACGCTGTGATAGTGGAGAGTCAGGACATCAATATCCAACGTACCTGAATGGGAACATAATTTACCTTGATCTGAACATCAAACATCGCGTTCGTGTTCACCGTCAAACCCAAAGTGGTTTCGACGTGGTGCGCCAACCTCTCCTTGTTGCGCTGCTTGATTGCTGCCCATTCTTTTCTGAAAGCTGCATCTTCGGCGTATGGCAACAGTTCCTTCAGCCTCTCGAGATCTTTGAGCCACACGCTTTTATCAACCTTCAAAGTTTTGGTGATAAGTGCACTGAGCTCGGGGTTGCACTGCGACGATACAATGTTAAGGAATGAGCCGTGTTCTCTGTACACTACAACGATACGTGCGCACCTGGTCCAACCAACGACGGGGAGTGACTGACAGCGCGTGTTAAGCCAATATGATGCTAATGAGTATTGATGAGAAAGCACTCACTTCCATTGGTAACGTTGCTAAACCTTTAGCGAACGTCAGCAAGATCTAATTCGATAACAATACACAATACTTACTTGCTGAGGCCTTCAAACTCCACGAAATCCTTCAAAATGGTCGTCCTCACGAGTTCACTGTGCAGCTACCATTGCAAAAACAGCTGAGCAATCCCAGCGAATGTGATGAGATCTGTGGTGCGTACCTCTGCTACACCGTTTACTTTACGGCTTCCTGTATTGTTGTAGGTGAGATGCTGTTTATATGAACAGGTATCCTGAACTTACCAATGCAAGCAAGATGTGCCATTCGGACCTGTTTGGGGAAGCCCTCTAAACATAGCGTTTCAGATTCCGGTTTCATGCAAAGGCTTCATGACAGACCTTCAATCAGGGACATCCTCGCTAGTCTATCTCTGTCTCCTGGGAACTTCTTTTCGACGGCTTAAAAGAACTTGTCAATAGCGTCCCCAAAGAAAGGCTCGTTGGTTTACCTTGCAAGAACGACCTTCATTGTATGTAGCTGCGATTAGCTTTCATGAAATATACATACAGAATCACATACAAATTCTATAAACACAAGATGTTGTTAGTGTTTCGAAATGTCCGACGTAAAGATACTCACGATATCGTAGATAATTTGCATGTGTCTGAACAGAGTGAATATCAACGGTCCTCCACACAGAATAGACATAGGGGAACAAACCTCGGCAAGAGGTGCTCCATCAAAGGAACTGGCCATTTCTCCAAAGCTTCCTACAGACGATTGATAATTCAGTGAATACACTGTGAACGTGAACGAGTGCCTACAGGAAGGACGGTATGGTTGGTGTAAAACACAGTGTTAGTAACAATGTCCCAAGCTTTGCCCCAAGGAATCTCTTCCTCGTCAACGAGAATACGCATGAGTTCTGGAATGGCTAGGGTCGGGTGAGTCTACGAAGATCATTGAGTTTTTGCTAGTGAGTGTTTTACAGTGCCAGAGACACACATCATTCAGTTGGATAGCAACATCTACGATACAAGACTTCAGCAAAAAGTAGGTTCGGTGGATAGTATAACCTTACAATCGGGGAACTCGGAGAATGGTTTTGCGATGTTTTTGAACCTCCTAACGATGTCCGCAAGGCTTGCAGCGGTCCAGAAGCTAGTAAACGTTCTTGAGTAACATTAGCCGCCACAAGACACAGTACATACTATTGTTGCTTCAAACGAAGCTCTTTTCCGACTAGGCACAAACGGGGCATTTGAGAGTGATCATGGCTTTTCAACTAGAAACCGACTTACATGTCCTACATGCAGACGCATATTCAACGAAGGTACACGCGGATAAGAAGAATCAAACGTACGTGTGATCGTTGGGGTACAACACAGAGGTTATCGCTGCTGCACTGTTGGACGATTCAACAGCGTGTTCGTAGTCACCAGCTTTGATTCGCGAAATATGTGAGTTAACCGTGATTGCAAGTATGTGGTACACACACCATTGAAAGAATTTAAGTCAAAGCCTCTTTTCGGTTTACTTTCCCAAAGCCTCAAATTGTTGGTGTTTTTGGTGTAGCAACCGGGTACCATCACGTCATAAGCGACGGCAAGAACTTCTTGCCCTCCGTGCCAAAGAGCACGCCCTCCTGGCAAACGATCTGCGGTACCGTAGAAACGCACCTCATAGGTAACGTCGAGGCGGGGAAGCTGTGTTGGGATTAGAACATATTCAGCCCGAAGACGCAAAAAAGTGTTATCAAGCTATAGATAGCTTACCTCCCAAGGATTTTCGCCTCCGGCCAACCACGGATCGGGTTGCTTTGATATGAATGGTGAGGCAAATCGACTCAGCTGCTAAGAGATGAAGAATATACCTCTAATTGTTGACCTTCCGGGGAAATTAGCTAATGAAAATGACAAACGACACAAATGTGATAAGGCTTGTAATGTATACCTGCTGGAATATTCCATACTGGTATCTCAGCCCATATCCCCATACGGGCAACTCCTGGATTTATATTTGAGGAACCGATGAAGTGCGAAATGTTCAAGGGTTACCTGAGAAGCTGAAGAATCAAGGTAACAGGCAGCAAGGCGTCCGAGGCCACCATTCCCGAGCGCGGCATCTCGTTCCTGCTCCAACAGATCCTCCATATTAAACCCGAGTTTTGTGATGCCTTCGCGGTACTGATCCTTAAGACCGAGGTTCAGGAGCTATACAATGACATGAGCACACTATCAATGTGAAAAGTTCTGATGAATACGCACGGCATTATCGAAAGTTCGACCCATTAAGAACTCAAGAGAAAGGTAATACGCCCTCTTGGGTGTCTTTTGCGTATAGTGAATTTGCGTGTCATTCCAGTTGAGCTATGATGGTGGTGCGCTAAACGTTCCAAGGCGCGTTCGAGGAAATAGATGATAACACACGATAAGATCATCTCGCACGGAAAGTGCAGCCGCTTGGTAGGCACCAAGATCATCTGAGCGGAACGTCGTTAGACTATGTATTCAAGAATGAGAAACATACGCCACCTAAATTGTAAGCTTGACGTGCCAGAGAGGTCTGAACATGATTGACGATGGACTTGGTGATAGAGGGAACATCTACACAACGTTTAACTCTTGCAATTGATCCATTAGATCAATTCACTCACCAGTGTTAACAGATCTCAAGGCCTCTTTCCAGACGCTTTCGTCACCTCTTGGCCATTTCTCTTTGCCTGAATCATCTGTTTCCGGGGTGTATCCTTGGAGGAGAAAGATAAAAAAGCAGTTAAGAGCCAGAAAAGTAGCTTTTCACGATGACCAGGGCAATCACCTGTCAGAGTCCGTATATGCCTCCTGGGCCTTGCGGGCTTTCCGATAGTCTTTGGATCAATGACAGAGGTCATGGTAGGAGTGGACAAGATGAAGAGCTCGAGGTTCTCTGCAATCCTTCTTTATGAACAGTTCTCGGTCACGTCATGGGTAGATTGGCCAGGTACATCAAATTCAAAATAAATCTTTCGGGCCAGAAGAAACTAGAACATCGAACGCTCCACAAATCAGAAACTTTTCTGCTGACCGTACTGAAATCCTCGAAGCAGAGAAGCCTTAATTATAGAGCCTTATCGTTTACTACCACGGAATTAGTGCGGGGCATTTATATGCCATCCTTAGCAAAGTTCAAACAAATCTTCGAACACCTCAACAACTGTTCATTATAGCTCGGATAGGTCAAACTTTTGGAAAGGGAAAGCAGGATACGGTAAGCCACTTTAATACGAAGACCAGGGCCAGATGGGTAGTGACACCTTGACCTGATTCCCTGCTTCAACCCGAAGTACTTTTTCTCCGTCATGTGCCTCCAAATATCCAACAATCGTGTTCTCCTGTAGAACCCATTTGCCTTTCTGCTTTGAGAACTCAGCCTTCACATGTCCGATGAATGGACCATTCCTATGTGGTAAGTGTTTTGCTTCAACACTGAAGGAAATCCCTTTCGTTACGACAACGTCCATGCTGTCTGTGAATTTATTGTAGGCGTGTGCTGCGATTACTGTTTGAGGGTGACGATATAAACCATAGGTAGCGCCAGTTCTGAATAAACCTGCAACGAGGTGTTTGGCTGCCTCATCTGCTTCAGGTTCTATAGGGTCTTTGCGGTCCATATTTGTGAAGGTGAAGGGTACCCAAACGCACGAAGCCTGGTCTCCATGGCCATTGCCATCGCAGGTACCTGGAGTACTGTGGGTGACCTAAGGCTGACCAGTCAGTCAAAACTTCATTTAAAATATCCCGACCAATAACAGCTATATCATATGTTTGACCTGGTATTAATTCTTCGTTAATAATTTGTTTTATTCTAGACTTTCAATCACAAATATCTTCAAATAAACCGTATTCAGAAGGAGTAGGATATAATTCCCGCTACCTCTTTAGAGGTTGAAGGGTTTAGTAGACCCTAATTTTTCCAAATTATCCATCCTAGTCATCATTTTTTAGTAATATATCCCCTTTTAGCGATCTTTTTACTGTCAGTTGATTAGTCACTTCTTGTGCTCGCTCTCGACAACCATCATCTTCTGGTGACAAAAACTGGGTGTTTCTCTCTTGACAACCTTCGTCTTACAGTAAAAACTATCACTCCCAGTGAATAATTCCCACTACCTCTGTAGAGGTTGAAGGGTTTAGTAGACTCAGTTTTTTTTTGGTCATTCACTTTTCAAGTTGATTATACTACTGCTGGAGACAGCTGGAGACTCTGGGTTGGGCAGATGCATCTACATGCGGCGCGCCCCATGCGCGCCGCTTTTTCTATCTACAATACAAGTACATTAGCCATCACCAATCAAGGTGTGGTCCCATTGTAGTACAGACCTCTACAAACACTACCTCTTACTACTCATCCCTGCATCTGCGTTCAGTCCATCTTGTACTTAGTGCTCACACAGACACACATTGACTGGTAGCGGGCCCTGCCGTTCACCGGCGCTACTTCGTTATTTAGCATCACCTAATTTAAATTTTGATTCCTCTTTACCTTTTAGTAAACCTTGATATGGATTAGTTTTAATAATCCCCGTTTTATAATTAACAATATCTCTTAAACTCAAATTCACAAGTATTATAGAACATCATTAAAATGAAAGAATTTAGATGGATATCTTGTCTTGAAAGTCTTGTATGTAACAAAATCCGGACCACAATGTACTTACAGAGATTAGAGCAGCAGGTTCACCTGATACTGGAGCGGCATACACGATAGAAGCAAGTACAAATGCAAGATAGACAATATTGAAATGCATGTTGGGGATTAGAGAGCACACAGAATTGAGTTGGCAAACAGCGGCAAGATCAGGTGGATATTGTTCTTCAAGTCGAAGTCGAGACTTGGATAGACAGAACGGCAATGAGAGGGTCTAACAAGGGCCTAGCAGTGAAAAGGTGAGTGGTGCCAGGCAAGTTCAAGGGAGATATGGACTAACCGATTGGAATGGCAGAGAATGGCAGGTTGACGTCAACGAATCGAAAGCAACTGGGATTCCTTGACCAGCAAGAAATTTTCAATCGAGAGTTGGGATAAGTCTTACGAATGCGTTCAGTATTTATGAGCACATTGTAAGCGCTCGACTTGCTCAGTTGTTGCCAATCTTGAATTGATGATAGATCGATCACACTGTACAGATTTTTTTTCGCTCATAAGATATCAAGCAAGGTGAAATGAGGTTGTTTCATTGAGGGTTGATGCGATAATATCGCCATTTTACGCACAGTCGCACTGCGATAGGTATATCTTCCTTTCCTTTCAAGCGCAGATATTGATGGGCAAGTATGCTGGAAAAAACTGTTTGGTTTCCGATTCTACAAGTCAATACAAAAATTCAGCTCGATTCGGAATCTCTCATCTTTTCCTTTATATCTGCGATGTCATTGCTGTCGTGTTTCATCTCAATTGAACCCTGGTGTACGTGCCCATTCCCGTTTGACATGGTAGACTGTTGATTGTCCGGTCGACCATGTCGATCTCCAGCAGCAACTGGATGCTCTGATAAACTATCGCTGTTCATGAACAACCCGTCCGTGACGTCCCGTCGAATTTCAATGTAGTCGGTGGCGAATTCACCAATCTAATCGATTTTTGGATGAGCAAATATTGATAAGTATTACTCAGAGAAGTCAAAAAAGATCTTACCTCAACTTCGTCCATTCCAAGGCACTCATCCTCGGGAGTACTTCGAAGCTTCAACCCAGGTATCATGTCAATAATTTTAGCCAGTGCGGCGGTGACGAAAAAGCTATACGAGCACGTAGCACAAATGTACGCAAACTGGATGTAAAGTTGTTTCCAATTGTGATCCATAAAGCCACCAGGAATAGACGTGTTGACACCATCAAGCCGGATAACTTCATTCGTCCCAAAGAATCCATTTAAAAAGAGACCGACGATGCCACCAACAGCGTGTTCTGCGAACAGATCCAAAGCATCATCGATTTGGAAATGAAATTTTACTGAAAAGCAATGAGCAATATACTCTTTGCGAACTTTGGGGAACATTACATTTGGTCGCCAGATTGCACGAAGCACCCGAAACAATCCCTATGATTACTGAAGCCCAGGGGTGTACGAATCCGGACGATGGTGTGGCTGCAACGAGACCAGCGATAGTTCCAGAGCAGAAGCCAACCATACTCCAATGTTTCTCGTATCGAAAATCCATTATACACCAAACCATACCACCAAACGCAGCCGCGAGCATGGAATTCCATATAGCCACGATTGCTCGAAGGTTTGCGCCACTGAGAAATAGTCCTTGTGAATAAATGCGAGATGACCAGCAAAGATTGATTTGCTACATACAAGGCGGAACCACCATTGAAGCCTAACCAGCCAAACCAGAGCAGAAATGTCCCCAGACAAACGAGTGAGACGTTATGGGGGCGAAAGTTGAGCAGTTCCTTCTCCTGTCTGCGGCCTATTACCCAAGCTAACGCCAAGCCACTGACGCCGCTACCTATTTCGACGGGACCCCCACCTAAATAGACGAAAGTGTCAAATGACCATCGCACGGGGTTGTAATTGTGGAGTTTGTGGCTCGCCTGCGAAATCAAGTACTCCCCACGAAAACGCCCAACCGTTCACCCCCCATACCCAGCAAGCCAGAGGACAATATACCAAAGTCATCCATGTAAATGTAAGGACCATTGCGGGCAGAACTCGGCCACGTTCTAGATTCTCTTTCCGTCAGAACGGAATAATCATTCATTCGGAGCAAGGATCTACCAGCGATACCGCCCATCAGGATACCAATAGTCACGCATGCAAATTCCATCTGAAAGAAGCTGTATAAAATTTCTGGAATAAGAGGTGATCCGGGGGAAGGGTCTCCGAGCACTTTCATGAGCCCAAAGTTGCGAAGATTGCCGATGTAGCCATTCGTAGCGGAAGACGAAAAGGCCAAAGAGTAGCCCCAAAACCACCACTGGAAGATACCAACAGCGTTACTCGCTAGGAAGGATTAGAAACTACGAAGGAAGAGTGAATCGACAAAGGTATGTACCTGCGACGGCCCATATCAACGACACTATCAGGAGATGTTAGAATGCATCGCATTGCACATAAAGAGAGAAAATTGATGCACAAGCGCTTTTTCGACGAGCGAGGCCGGAGTAGAGGAATGCTAAATAGTATAAGTACACTATTCAGGATCAGTAAATTCGATGCCCACCTAGACCGGGAACCATGAGCAACACCATTGCGCCGGCAACGATAATGAACGATACATCGCCGCCATTGAAACTACATAAAGTTTGAATGAGCAAAGATAGGTTGTTCCACTCTGTAAGTAGGACGCACGAAGTGGAGTCGGCACCTAATAAGAAAGTGGAGTAAACTTGTTAAATTTTTTGTATCTGATATCGCATAAGTTGAAGCACGTACGAAGCGACAATGAGCTATAGTTCTTAGGGACGGCGCGCTCAACGAGTTCCATAGCAGCTGTTCGTGAAAGTCGTGTGATGAAAAGTCGCGGTTTGACTCTTGAACTTGGGGAATCAATTGGCGGAATTGGTGCGGCAGAAGCTGTCTCTAGTCAATAACTTGAAATCTAAGCCAGCAGAAAGTCAGGCGTACCACATGTTTCCGAACCAAGAAATATAGTCCCCTATGACAAAGTAGTTATCCAATGTCGTAGACGATCAGGATTCAGGAGATGTCATGATAGGCGCTCAAGCGCTCATTATTTATCGCCGTTCAACGTTTTTAGGATTGAACATCGAAAAATAAGGTGAAACAGCAGAAAAGTCTGAGCTCGTAGTACATGCAGTAGAGCTAGCAGAGCATGAAAAGCATGTACATATTCAATTACTACATTATGGACATTATAAATACCATGATTGTCATGCATACGTATAATCCAGATCGACAAACGGTAGCGGTGAGCCCGAGGTACCTGCCATATAATTAAAAAGTAGTATTGAACATGTTCATGAGAACCAATGAAAGATAAACACGACAATGGAAAAGCTCACCAGCGTGGTGTATCATCTTATGATCCCTATTCTCTTCATTCTCGGCGCTCTCGTCGTAAACCCCCTCGCCCTCCTTATGACCCCACCACATCGTCATATCAGGTGCCCAGTCATCGATGAGATTAGCCAAGGTCTGGATATGACCGTATGCAGCCGGTTGAGACCCTCGAGGGTTGTGCAGAGCCATGACCGTGACAAAGGCGCAGAATAATGCTAGGAAGAGCATGAGGTACCATGTCTAAAAAGACGTTGTTTATTTGAGATGTGAGCATGAACATTTGAAAGCGTACCTGGACTGAGCGCATAATGACCTGTAATGAGGATTGTGTGTCGGATCCATCATCTTGAGGATGGTCAGGATCGCCAAAGTAAGCAATGGTACCTTGAAGAGTCAAGCAAAATCCGAAGACCCAGTCTACCAGAATGTATAGGCATCTCAAAGTCAACAGCACGAGAAGTACTCACGAAGGAAAAATTTAGCAATTCGCAAAACATCACAGGGCCAAAAATTGATAAGAGCAAGGATAGGATTCGACGGCTTGGTCCCTTTCCTATGAACAGCTTGCCTCCAGATATACTCGTCGCGTAACACATCCATGATCATCTCGGAGCAATGCAATGCAAGAGCAAGCGCTCCCTGAGCTACAACCAACGCAATATAGCAAATGATCCACGAGGAAGGCGAAAGTGGCGATCCAGTAAAGCTTGGGCCGAACACAAACGCGTTCGAGTTATTTGTAGGTATGAAGGCCCAGGATCCGAGACCAGGAGTGTCAAAGTTGGATACGGATTGGGTATCGCCATGCCACGCCGCGACGATGACACCTCCCCATACTCCGCAAACCACGACAGAGAGCCACAGCGCCCTAATTACACGTCTGATCCCCCGATGCGCTTTCCATGCGGATGGTTGAATGAGCGAAGGTTTCTTCGGGTATGGTTCCGCCGTAGAGCCTTTGATCTCCAAAACACTACACATACATCGACCTGGAACCCGGGTGACCTGTCCTTCACGAAGAATCGCAGCCAATAAGACAAGGGGTGACGAACTCCAGGTAATTATACGGGTATAATGTATTCCCGCAAGAGCGATGGATGCTTGGAGCACAATAGAAATGCCCAGTACAAGAATTGGAACGGCAGAAACACAGAAACTTTCCCAACCCTCATTCGAACATCGGTTCGGCCCAAGATTCTCGGAACAAATTTTCGCAGTGAATGTCAGCTTAGACAGCGATAGCGAAGAATATGCGAGGATGTGGAGCAGTGCCATTACGGCGTTACATAGTGTTCCGTTCGGGTGAAAGGTACCTATATCCTCATGTGTGGGGGCAGTGAAAAACCTGAGATTGGTGTTAAATTGGAGAGCGCGTCTTCGCTTTACAGCGAATCCTCGAGATAATTGAGTAGAGTGCGTCGCTAGCGTAGACCTTTGAGTGACACCATGTACGAGCCCTATGGATTCATCGCAGAAGGTGTACACAACAGTGAAGGCAAGACGCAATAGTTCAGGGAGAACAAGCTGATGCGACGCGTCAGGGAAGAGCGCGACCATCCCTGGTATGACGTTGTAAGTTGGAGGCCCACCCGGCCATGTTGGAGGTAGTACAACATTGTATATGTCCCGCTTGGCTGCAGCGATGTAGATACCACTTGCGACACAAGCTAACCCAATGATTGCAGAAATGGCCAAGCATATAAGGCTAATGGTACGTGTAGTCCCACTACAATCGGCAGGCGGGTCTCTTGGACTGCGTGGTGAGATCAAAGAACGGCGAGAGGGCAATCGATGAAGCCTTATCGACTTGGTTGGATGAAGAATTTGCTCGCATAGCTTACTGTTTGTTTTTGATTCCATGCTGCTGGTATCGGGGATTAATGATAGTCATGGAATATTATCAACGCCAGCCTACTCACCTATTTCGATCCTCTAACTCCAAGTTCTGTTTCGACAGGGTGTCAAGTATTGATATCAAGGATCATGAGCTACCACACTATAAGGTCTCCAATTCGAGTACAGCATGAGTGGCTGACGCTGGCAACGGTGAATGACATTGTATTGCTTCACAATCTAGTACTCCAGCCGGGGTTCCTATATGAAGACATCATGCTGATCCTTTCCCTGTAGAGCACAGTTGTCTCCCTTTGAAGTACATTTTGGAGTGTTCTGGCCTTTCTTTGTGGCATAAGATTCAGAAGGACGAGAATTTGGCATCAGTCACGTTTCAGAACCGTTCTATAACACTTCTATAACCTCGACTCAAAGTGTCAAGAGGTTTTAACTATTTGGGACATAGAACCGCTCCGAGAAGATAGTATTATCCAGGGTCAATTTACAAGTTCTTGCACTGGTCTTACAGTAACACTAAATCCTAGCCTTCATCTTCTCTAGCGTAGCCGCCAGCTCCTCCTTCTCAGCCTTCCTCTGCGGCCAACTAACATCAACATTCAAGATAAGACCATCCTTCTCACTCGTCTTCGGAATAACATGGTAATGTACGTGATCAACGTGCTTATGAACAGTCAGAAGATAGGACTTGGTTTGGCATAAACTCTAAAACTACTCGCACCTGGAATGCTATTTTCCCGTTATTCTGATCACTCGACAATCAATTACATGTACTGAATGCTGTATTGATTACACAGGAACTTACCTGGAGAACATTGTAAGCTGAAGCTCCAGTAGCCAAAGCGACCTTCTTGACCACTGGCCCGATATCTGCCAAGTACTCATCGGGGAGGTCTGCAATAGTCACAGCATGATCTGTTGTGGATGATGAGAATGAGCTCAGAACGACTGTCGTCACGGTAACTAGTTCCTTACATTTTGGTATCACCTGGGTATGGCCTTCAGACACCGGACTGATATCCAAGAACGCCAGACTAACGAATCGATAATCATTAATCATTAATCATCCATCATCGCGCGGAATCTGCAGCAAATGCTCTCTTGCCTGTGTTCTGTTTCATAGACTTTGAAGCAGGGAATCGTTCCTGAAAATCCGATGAAGATTCACTGAGATCATGCAACAAGGGGGGAGGGAAGCAGATCAATGAACCTTTCACTATCATGCAGAAGAGACATCTATGAAACGGGATGGAAGGCGAGGGGTCAGAATGGTAAATAATGTCAAGGATAATTCCAAGGGGCGTACTGGTCGTCTGAGTGTGACATCGAAGGCGTAGCCGTGTCCAGCTATATCGAGCTATATCGAGGTTCAATCTAAGAATTGCAACTTCAAATCCACCTCGGTCCTAAGTAGCTACTAAACGAATATTTTGGTCACGTTATAGCCTTTTGATCTGCTGCTAGTTGATTCGAGTTTTGGGGTGTATTATGTTCCCTATAGCATGAATTTGAACATTCATTGAATCAAAGAAAGCACCTCTTCGCTGACGTCCGTCGCCAAACAGTCCTGGCAGATGAACTTAGTAACGTATAGTATTCAGATGATAGGAGTTATATGTACGTATCTACTCATATAGTATATTTTTTGCGGACAATCATAGATGTTTCCTAAATCTCACCGATTCAAACCCGTTGTAACAGTATACATAGCAAAAAGCATTATCCAAAGAAGTTCTCACTCAACAATCCCATCCAAACACGAAATCACTATCCGGCGCGGCAGTATCTTTAGTAGATCCAGAGATCCGTGGTCCACAGATACTCGAACTGAATTCTTCATTGAGCAGCAGATCCACGACGTTGCGAGATGCTAACGTTTCAGTTTCCATAGTGGATATAAATCTAAACGAGAGTTGGACATGAGTATCGCTGAATTAGGCTGAATTATTCGGTTGATGCAACTCACGGCTCGAAAGCGTTAACATAGAACAGTCCATGATCCAATTTGACGGGAGGGAAACTCGACGTAGGTGGTAACTTGGGATACGCGTCGAATTCTGCTCTATGCACCCAGCCAACTTGATCGTTGAATAAGGATTGCAACCATTTGTCTTCTACAGGTGATTCGCTGAAAATCTTGACGACCCACTCGTCCTCACTGATTTTTCCATGATATGAAATCGAGTTGAATTCGGGAGCCTTGCGCCCTTGACGGACGCCGTCGTACGTGGTCAATAGCATACTGGGAACCTTTTCATTGGGAGACAAGGCTAAATATTCGCGGTTGAGGTTTGGGGATGTGGTGGTGAGGAGCGTAACATGGAGATGGACATAGGGTTGTTCGGGGATTTGAGATGCAAGCGTGGACGGCAACTCAATGTCGGTTTGGTGGAAAGGTGCTGCAAGGATGACAGCTTTGTAGCCGGTAGGGCCTTTGGCGCTGTGGACCACCCATGGTCGAGACTTGGATTCCTTTTGAGTGATGCGGGTGACCTGAAGATAAATTAGAAACACGAGATCACGGCGGCCACGAAACGAGCATGCCTTTGTGTCTGTGAAAACATTGGCACGAGAATGGTTCAAAAAGCGCTCAAAGATCTGCCAGTTGCCACCCTCGATTTGGGAGGCACCGTTGGCCGCGATACTGCAAGCAGCCTCGAGAGCATGGATTGAATCAATATTCTACGAATCTCAATGAATGACAGATGAATCACGACGAAGAGGAAATATACCTGGCCATAATTAACGCGACTAGCAGCCTCGATTAGTTCAAATACATATTGTTTGGAAACACCGTTGGATGTGAAAAACTCTGCGCCAGTACTCTCTATCAGATTCTTCCAACCGAACGAATGAGCAAGATCCGTAATGTTGTCCCATTTTGGTGAATCAGCAGTGTAGAGTGTGGAATATTGCTTGAGCATTTCAGCGACACTGTGAGGTGAAGTCGTTAGTATTGTATAGTTGGAGAATCAATGTGACTTGCAGTTTTTCTGCACGCCTAGGAGGCATAACTCCATATCTCCAAAGGACTTTCAGCGTGTCCCACCAGTGATTCCCTAGCTGAGATGATCTTCATGAAAAATACCATTCCGAAAATAACAAGACACACATTGAGTAGAAGCTGTTCTCCATCCCATATACCCAAATCATTGTCTTCTTTGCTGAGGTCTCGCAATGTCAAGTTAAATTCCTGAGCAGCTCTCCACAAGTTTTTATTGGCCTTGACGAAGATGGAGGCACCCAGTTCGACAGGTTCAAATGTATCGTTGCCATGAGGATATACTGTAAGACTTCCTATACAAGTAAGGTCACAAACAGCAGGAAAGACTATGATCAATAAGAGCCACTCACTTCCACCGATACGAGATGTCTTCTCATACACGTCTACCTCGACGTCAACGCCAAAACGTTCTTGTGCTTTAGAAATCCAGAATGCAGCAGAACTTCCTGCGGCGCCTGCTCCAATGATTGCAATCTTGGGTGTCCCACGGACAGGTTCGTCATCTTCTGGAGGAACGGTGCTTTGGAAGAACGGAACTTTGAATGGGAGTTGGAGCGCGAAGCTGGCCGAAACCAAAGACAAGAATAACAGAGACCGCATCGTTCACGGTTGAGGCAAAGACTTGCGAAAGTTCCTCCGTTGCAGCGTGCCGGGCCGGTGTGTGGGAACTATATTAGACGCCCAGTGATCGGGAACCGGGTGCGGTGAAATGCACCTCATGTATACAGCCTCGCATTGAGCTCCGTACAATGACCACCGCTTCTGAACCTGTGGCTAATCTTCTATCTATTCCACCAGAAATCATACATCACATCCTCGTCTTTTGTCAACCTACGGACGTTGCGACCTTTGCCAAAGTCTGTCGTATTAGCTTCGATCTCGTATACTCTGGGAATGACCAATTTCTCTGGCGAGAATTGTTTCTTAACAATTACGATGATCCTCGTAAATCCATCCAGACGCTTGTAGTTGATGAAGTATCAGCAGAACCATTTAAATGGAAAGATGTACTGCAACGTAGAACGGAGGCAGAACTCATAGCACGACGAGCACAGAATGTAGAATCTCATGAACGACGGCGAGCACTGGAGACTTTCGTTACTGCAGCATTGCAGGCTCTTCCCGCTATCAAAAATTCAGAAGAGAAAGAACAGCCTTCTTCCAATCTACAATGGCTTGATCGTGTGCTGCGGGAAACGCACATGCTCAGTCAACCCATCCTGCAGACAGACTCGGATTCGGAGACGATCCAACTACGCTCGCGCCTGAGGGCCTACGTCTCGCTCACTCACGACCCGTCCGACGAGGAGGAGTCTACGAAAGTTGTCGCCGCTCGTCGTATCGAAAGTCGATGTTTCGTCTACGATATACGAAACTACAAACCCATTACTCACTGGGGCCCTTTTCTGGCCAATGGTTTCGTCAACTGGCAACATATCGAACATCTGGGCAATGTAGTTCTAACCAACCTCCGAGAACTTCCCGGCTCGTGGGCCACAACCGTACCATCCTTGGGCCTTGAGAACACGCAAGCGTTCTCGGCCCCTGGACCGTGCTCGGATATCGATTGGGCAGGAGTTGAAGGTGCGTCGTCTATAGTCTCTTATCTCGGAACCCCGCAACCGATTGCTATATTTAGGAACCTGGCGGAGATATGTCTGTTTCATGGACTATCGGTAACGTCTTGTACATTGTATCGACTGAAGATTCTGGACCTGACTGTTTGGATGGAATCCAGTGATCTGTTCGGTTCGTGGCAATCTCCTTCGTCCTTGTGAACGAACTAATTTCCGTTTCTCATAGCTTTCAATGTAAGAGCGTGCGCCTACGGTGTATTTGTCAATTCTCAGAAACCTTTCCCAGTATTCCAACGTCGCACATGGACCTCGCAATGCTGAATTCTTCCGCGACTCTCGCTTTCGAGAAGCCACCCGTCTCATCGAAATCAAACTGTACCTCGTCTCCCGAAGCCAACTGCGCTTCTATACTCCCTCTCCTGACTTAGAAGACCTCAAAACCCGCTACCCGACGCTCTTCTTCTGTGGCGTCTCTCGCGGCGTGAGTGGAAACGAAGCCAAAGTTGAGGGCAATGTCTGTATCGGCATCGACGGGACGATCAGATGGACTTTTGTCAGTGCTTATGTTGGGATTCACATTTCTCTTGGAGAGAATTCTAAAAAAATCTAATGATAGTATGATTTGATACAGGGCGCTGTACATGATTTGAGCACACTCTGGTGGTACGTCTTCTGCTTCAAGAGGAGATCGAGTGTCAGCTAAATGTTCAGCGTCCAATAGCTCGAAAGGAGTACAACTTGGTGGTATCGCCAGCGCAGCGGGTATTGTCGGTAGTTGGGGCACTTCGGTGCATGACCAAGGTTCGTGTTGACATCTGTCAGTTGTATTTCCAATGTTCATTCTTCCATAGGTGACCCAGTTGGTAGGTCCTTGATCTCCCACCGTGGCAAAATACAGGTTTCGCTGATTTTTCAATCGTTGCAGGCCCTTTTTGGTTGTGGAAAGTACCACCTGCCCATTCGGGCGCTCTCATGGATTTTACATAAAGTGATCTACATATATGAAGATTGGACTGGACTGGATGGAATTGTTGTATGCATACATAGCAGTCATTCATACAAGTTGATACAGTTATTGAACGAAGATTGCTTGCTGCTGCATATGTAGTTTGTCTATGAATATCTTACATCTTTCTCCACTCTTGTCCAAATTTACCTAATTCCTTGACCAGCAGCCAGACTCGGAATCACTTTGACAAGATATCCTCAACTCTCTTCACCTTTGCTTCGTTGCCCGTGCCTGGTGCGATTTCTCGATCTGTCCGTGTACCAATGCGGATATCCGTAGCAATACGAGGAGCGCCTTGCGCATGAACAGCGAGATGGCAGTCATGAATTGCCTTTGTTACTTCAGACCATGGTCCTTCTGTTTCGAGCGAAAGATGACGGGGTTGCAAGGTTGACGATCCGGATTTCGAGGACGCTCAGGACGATATCAGGAGCAGGAATTTGTGGACGGACCTAGATTTGTTCCATATCCACTAGTAGCAGCTCGTTAGCAATTCAGAAAACCAGAACTCGGATGCCATCTTACTGCATCTAAAGAAATGCAAATAAGTACACAGCAGACATCGACGAGTAAGAGTCAGACCTTGTATTTCAGCCCTGATTTTTCCAGAATCCTCTGACACTCCGCAATATATCCAGCGACCTGGTATATATAAGTCAATCGCCAACCTTCGATAATCGATAACGATGTTTATCGCACAGAGGGTTCACCGGTACCCATAGGAATAAGACAGAAATCTTCAGCTTGACATTAATTATTAATTTGAGCATGCCCTGGAGAATTTCGCACCAGCTACAGCGTATAGATCGTTAGGCATGGTTGATTCGTTGAAATTTGAAAAATTGATCAGCTGCTATACACAGCTTGAGCTTGTGGGAAATTTCCTCACATCGAGCTGATGACGTCGAATCTTGACTTGTCTGAGTATCTTCCGTATATATAATTACTCGTCCGTCTGCTATGTCTTTTTCAATAAAACCCCCATCTATTCATTGACAACCATAACACACTCATGGTAGACAAATTGAGCAAAGGGCAAGAAGTATCGTGAGTGGATAGCCATAAAGTTGACCCCTGATGTTGAGTCGGATCCAGGTGGAAATGGGGTGGTGGAAATCCCTCTGGTGTTATCGAAGAAATCGTGGCTGACGGCAAAGTAGAGGTCACCAGCAACAAAGTTAGCGTTTTTACTTAGCACTCGTCCCGAATATCTTTTCATGGCTCAAATTCAAGGGGAACACTGTCACGCGTACTGCTCGAGGCGAAGACGATCCTGCGGTAAAAATCAGTCGCAAAGGCGTAAGTTCCTCAAAATTCTTCTGTGAGCGTTATGAATTACCGGCTCTGCAGAACGATGTCGTAAAATTGGCGCATGAATTGAACGAGGTCAAAGATTCTGAATAGTTAGCAGTGCGAATGTAACTTATATGAATGACCCGGAACACATAATCCTTCATCATGTATCTCCCTTGTAGAGACTAGAGCAATTCAATCATCCAGGATGAAACGGTGGCCAAGCAGATCTAATCAGCTTGTTCTCAGAAAGCACGTACGCTGACAAGCCTCCACAAGCCCTCCATTCTAGATCAGTATGTATGATAGCTACAAGCGATTGCTTGAGGCGTAACAAGAGTCAATATTTGAGTACCACTCTATGTCTGCATGCGCTCAGAAAGAGCCACAAACCATCGTCCCAATATCATCTGCGCCAGAGCACGCAAGACTCTGTTTCCTAGCAGCTCGAATATCCCCAATTGAAATGTTTGACCGGTCACACATGCCTCTAAATATACCTCGCTCGTCCTTCCAAAGTACCTCTGGCTTATCAAATTCTTTCACTAACCCCTCCTCCATAACACATATACGATCATACCCAATAATTGTTCGCAGGCGATGTGCAATACATAGCAAGGTGCACTGCGAAAACTCAGACAGCACCGTATTTTGAATGTTGCGATCCGTTTCGAAGTCGACGGAAGCTACGTGCGCAAGCAATGCAGCGATACCAATCAGTATTCTGCGACTCAATGCAGGAATTGGACACACCCGTTGCCTCGTCCATGATGATAATCTTTGAGTCCTTTACCAATGCTCGCGCCAGACTGACTAAACTTCTCTGCCCGACAGAAAGATTTGCTCCTCCCTCCTCAATCCGGCTATCCAGTGTTAACCCACAATCCGTTATCGTGTTATCCTCCTCTTCAATTCCGGTGGATTTTCCTAGAGAAGAAGTTCCGGATTTGGTTGGTTCAACGAGATACGAGCGTCTAAGAGCATCCCACAGACGGGCGTCGTCGTATTGGCCGAATGGATCCAAGTTGGATCGGAGATCACCACTGAACAAAATCGCATCTTGAGGAATAACTAGTACAAGGACGAATAAATAAAATGAAGCTTTTGAGGATAAGACCCTCGTACTGGTGAGTGCGCGGCGAAGGTCTCTTAGACCAATATGCGAGATATCGACGCCGTCGATCTTAATATGACCAGATAGCAGCTCCATCGTTCGATACAGCGCCATCGTAACTAGGATCATATGGGTGCGTACCAGTAACGCATAAGTGTTGTGACTCACTAGTCGATTTCCCTGCTCCGGTTCTGCCCACAATCCCTACGTGCTCTCCGCCGTTTACCTTGACTGATATTCCTTGCAGCACAGGGGGTAAACCAGGTCGATACGTCGCCACAATATCTTTCATCTCAATTGCTCCAGCAAAGGGCCATTCCGGTGGGGGTTTGTTCTCCGGTATCTCATGAGGTGGCTCTTGTTCAATCTCAGTCGCATAGTAAATCAACCTCTCAACGGCGTTCATGTTATTTTCTACCTCGGCGCTTTGCCGTACTGCCCATCCAAAAGCCTACAAATTCAAGTAAACTATAAGCGCCTTAGACATGCGACAGGTGTAAGCAAATATACCTGTTGAACCACAAGCATATAGGAAAGGACTACCCCTGTCTCCGCAGGTGATATACTAGTCCTCGTACCGACTGCGAGTATTGCAACGGCAAACACCATCAGAGACCCTAGGAAGTCGAGTCGGACACTGAGCCAGCGTTGATTGGTGACAGTGAGCCAGTAAGCACTTCCGAGTTCGCGATCATCAGCTTATATCATAATTTCAAAGGGAGAAGGGATCTCACCGGTTCTCTAGGTTGATCCTAGCTGCATTTTCCTTCTGGAACCTTTCCGTTTCCCCGTAAGCCTGGATTGTCGATAGACCAGACATTGACTCAGAGAAGTGACTATATAATTGTGAACGGAGGATTGCATCTATGCGCTGAAAATGAATACATAAGAAGTCAGTCCTCATGTGCCCTTGTGAAAACATACCCTCAACTCTCTGGCACTAGCACGATAGAATATCGCGATATAATAATACAGAAGTAGAATGAAGACGATGGCGATGAGGAACCATGGGAGAATGATAGACACCAGGACGATAGACCCGATGACTTGAACAGCGGTGCCCAGGAACTGGCGCAAAGCCTCTCCGAGAACATTATCGAGGGTGTCAATATCTTTGCTGAAACGGTTCATGATGCGGCCGAGGGGCTGAATGAATAACGGTGAGATCATCCCAACTGTTAACATTGAAAAAATGAACCAACTGTAGTGCTATGAAAAGAAAAAGAAGAGTGAATTGAGTTCTTGTACAAAATCTTTACAGCCAGACTGACTCGAAGAATGCAATGGGAGCGTGCACAACCTGCCTCAGAGCGCGCTTGAACCAAAATATTTAATAGTAACTAACTTGTAAGAGCTCGCAACATACCCTATGCATAACTTGTGAAGCGTTGAATGTAAAAAGAGCAAATACAGCTCCCATGGAGAAGAGACCAAATGCCTGAAGTGAAGAAAGAAAAAGGGTGAGCAGATGATATATCAATCAATTCCCTTAGAGACTCACCTGAGCAAAACCCAGGACAGCGTAAATACCCATCTGCAGCAAGAGATGAGCAGCAACGACATCGCAGTATGAGACAAGACCTACATAGGCTCCTCGGGAAATGTTAAATTTTCTGCGGTCCGAATTAGTACAAGCTCTCACCCCGAACGAAAGACATACTCATCCTCCCAGAAAACGAGCCTGCCATGATCAGATTGATTGTTAATAGATTGATGAACAGTATAAGCCTAAAAACGTTTACCAATACGGACTAAGCACGCTAGATCCCTGGAAGAAGCATACGGCAACAACAAACAAAGGAAATGTGTACCCCAGACCGCCGGCTTCCAGGAACTCTATGTAGACTTGCGAACATCCAGAAATTTAACAAATGGTGTAGATTGCAAGCTTTCATATTCACCTTTAATATCGACAGACCCTACGTTCCTGTCTTCGCTTTGCATAAGCTTCTGTTGTTGGGGCTTTGCTTTAGTTTGCTCAGCCCGTTCACCAGCCGCCTCATCAATTGCCTTTTGCTCATTTTTCACTTCCTGTGTGTCCCTCTCTTCCATCTCCGAGTCGGACTTTCCGGTCTGAACTTCCTGTCCCAGTACCCCACTACCTCCAAACTCATTCACAAATCTTGCAAAACCTTCTTCTCCATTTTTCCGCATCAAATCTTGATACGTTCCTTGTTCCACGACCTGCCCTTGCTCTATACAAATCACCCAATCAACATATGGCAAGAAATGTAATTGATGCGTGACAAGCAGTCTTGTCTTCCCTTTGAGCATGTTTTGAATGGCATCAGTAAACACAGCTTGTCCGACATGAGCATCAAGCGCAGAAAGGGAGTCATCAAACAGGATGATGGGAGTTTCGAAATAGAGCGCGCGGGCAATGGAAATACGCTGACGCTGGCCTCCGGAAAGGGAGATACCTACAATTTTTCGAATCTTATGTAAGCACTCAAACGTGAAGTCGAAAAGCAACTACGAACCTTTCTCTCCAACCTCCGTCAAATCGCCATTCACGAGCATTGCAAAGTCAGGTAACAAGCTTGCGGCCTCAACAACCCTCCAATACATCTCCTCAAAGAAAGGCCGTCCAAATGTGATATTATCCCGGATGGTCGCACTCTGAATCCATGGGATTTGCGGACAATAGCCGACCTTTTCACCGAACACTACCTCTCCCCTATGTTCACTCTCCCCCTCTTTGAGAGGCCCATCTACCACAGGCATGTTGCCTATCAATGCCTGCAGCAAACTCGACTTTCCTGCACCGACAGGACCGACGATAGCACAGAGTTGACCGCGTGGAATGGTAAGAGTGATATCGTGCAAAGAAAATGCCGGGCTCGAACGTTTATCTGGCGACGTGGTAGACGAAGCCTTTTCATTATTATTATGCTGATCGTCATTCTTCCCTTTCGAAATATTGTCCATCGCCTTCCTTGCCGCAAGTCCGGCATTCGGAGTAGAGCCTGCAGCAGCGGAAGTTGAAACAGTATCCGACCAGGTAAATGACGACCGCCTCACTTCGATAGCGTTCGGTAAATTCGGTTCGATACGAAGGGGTTTAGTCACTATTTCCGCCATCATGAGCGCTTGAACACGTTGAATGGCATTGTAAGCGTCCGCTACGGATGAGAGGGCAACAGCTGAGTAGGGTAGGCTAAGTGTTAATTCGCTAGGACGAAACTGTTATTTTCTACTCACGCAAGAAAGTTAATGGTGTCCTTAACAAATTAAAAAGCGACAGTGAAGAGAAAATTATGGCAGGCTCGAGCTCGTGTCCGGTCGACGCGTAAACAATGAAAGATATAACTGCAGCTAGAGTTGGAAGAGCGAAGCCTAATGCGTTATTAATCGAACGCCACATGAGACGTGTACGGAGAAATCTACAAGAATGTCAGACTGTGAGCTGACGCCGGAAATCAAGTAACTCACTTCATCTCTTGATTTCGGAATTTGTCAACACGGTCCAGAAAAGGGAGCTGATCAATCAATATCTAGTAACGAGCAGATGAGCGAAAATAGCACGAGGGCATACCTCCCAAGCAAATAGCTTGATGACCCTCATTCCCCCAAGCAACTCTTGTAGTATATTGATTCGTTTTTCGGTCCAGATCATACTTCGTTTTCTTTTCGAGAGGAATCATAAGAACGAGGTCACAAGGAAGATTCAACACCTACCGAAGCTCAAATAATCTCTTCGTGATCTTCCCTTGCGCTGGGCTCGCAAGGACGAAAAACGCAAATCCAGGCAAAGCACTATATCCAAGGTTAACACAAAGGATAATGAGGCAGATGATCATCTGCACAGGAGCGGTGAACGTCATATGGAAATAAGGCATGCAAAAATCGATCCGCGATACATCAGCGCTGATCAGAGCAGTGATTTTGCCTATAGTGTAGCCACCCGCAGATCGAGAGCGAGTCGTGAGCTTGGTAGCACGGATGAAAAGAGCATGGATTAATGCTCCACGGAGGATGACACCAGTGGTATATCCCCGGTAATATGCTTGGGCGTTGCAGAGGAAGATGACGATGAGAATTGCGAAGAGCCCTACACAAAGACCAATGCCTGGCCCAATAGAAGGAATTCCGGAATCGTCAGAGACATCATTTTGAGAAGTGGTTGCGAAATCGATAATGGCCTAAAAACGATGGAAAATAAGTACAAGGTTCGATGGAAGTTAGACAATAAGGTCACCTTCAGAATCAAAGGACTCAGTATGGTACCAACATCTGCTAAGAGCCTAAAGAATCCGCCAGTCCAGAACCAGAAAAACACTGCGTCGTTACAGGCCATCGCGAGACTAGGCTCTTTCCTTGCCTTTGTTGCCCATTGTGCCAGCTTAACCTTTTTCTGGCCTGTAATGGCCCACCAAAATGACTTGTAAAGTGGTGGTGCAACCTCGTCCATGTCCAGACGATGATTGAACGCCTTTGCTACGAGCTCCCTTTTCTCAAAGCTCTGCGTAATCCGATCGGCGAACATTTCCGCCGCACGTTCATGGCCAAGATCGTACAAGTCCTCTGCTACGATGGGTCGTGCATAGCCTGTAGCTAGGAGAGGAGTCATCCATTGGAACGTGCAGTACGATAGCCAGGACGCGGTATTTTCTGGCAAAACATCAGCATCATCCAGAGACGCCCGTGGTGGGGAGCTTTTGGAGGAAACAAAGGGAACTCTGGAGTGCCATGGACGATGAGGGTAGACGAGGGATCCGTTGCTATCAGTAGAGACTTGCACCATGATCTGATTCTGGTCCAATACAAGACCGGAAGTCTAGAGGTTTTCAGGTGCAAAGTTTTCCATAGTTCAGCGTTAGACATCCATGGGGACTTGAGCAGTCATTAACCAGAGTATGAGCATGCATGGTTCTATGTCACCGTCGTGGCAATGTGGAAGAGCATAGAAATTACGGAATTCTGGCATTTGACGGAACTTGTGATATTATCTGATAAGATTGATTTCGAGTTGAGCTGGTTCACCCCGGAACAACCCTTAGGGTACGCAAACTACTAAAGGAGACGGTCGCATGTACATTCTATCGACTCTATGAGACGATCATGGTCTAGGATAATGAAAATTTCCCTGCCACGAAAAAGAAAGAACTACTCCAGTCATGTACACAATGTAGATTAATACTTGTAAAATTGAAACAACCGCTACTTGAAGATAGGTGCACATGCAACACCGATAGGACAAGGCTTCCAACACGAGCTGTCGAGTAAATTCCAGCCCGCCGAAGAGACTGCCCCGGTCTCATTGAAAACATTACACGTCTGATCTTCATTCTCTGTCGTCAATGAAACTAGAACGCTGAGTCGGTCTTCCATCACCGAAAGATCTTTCGCAGTCCAGTCCTACAAGTAACGAGACAAATCAATGGGGTGTTACACATGAGATTTAGGAGAGAGACACACGAGGGAGGATATCTGCTGGGATGACTGTAACACTGTACATGCAGAGCTCAAGCTAGGATAGCCTGTGCAAAGAGCAGAAAGTAGTTCGTTGAGACTATAGAATATATCAGCATTAGAGCAAGAAGTATTTAGGGAGCCCAAGTACTTCTTTTTTGCATGCGCCAAATGCTTGGACCCCGGTCCTAGGACGGTAAGTAACGAGACGACTATATCTGCCCTAGTGTTCTCGTCTGAGCTTTGATCCGAATCACATCTGTCAACCAACCAGAGAATCCATCGCGCCAGAGTTGAATCATAAGATGGGTCGGGAAGTGCATCGTTCTTCAATGGAGTTGTTGAAGTCGCCAACAAGCGGGAGAGCGCGCGGTTCACGAGGATAGATAAAAATTCTGGATGAAGTGCTTGCACGTTCATGAGGAGAGGTGTCCAGATTCGTACAGAATTCTCAGGTGGACAAAACGATTCGGGTGGAAAGACTCGTTTTCTGCGTTAACGTGAGGGAGAGCGGTACCACTTATGAAGAATTGACTCCTCACTTTTTGGATAGCGGAACAAGACCTCCCTTTCCTATTAAAACGTCGGAAAATACCTCCAAAGCCCACTGTTCTCTGGCATTACCGCTTGACTCCGCCCCATCAAGCTGATCCCATCCCAGACCTCCGTTGACTACATTGGCAGCAACTGTTGCTTCTGCAATCCATTTTTCTATATTCTTGAATACGTCGGTCATTGCGTGCTTGTATTGTTTGCTCAAAGAAGCATCTCGTGTGGTAAGTTTGAGTAGACTTCTGTATTCTTTCAAGATTGGTTCCAGTGGTCGAAGAGGAGGAGCTTCGGGCTGGGACGCCGTAGATGGATCCAGCGTAGGAAGCCAGTAGTTATGAAGGAGCCATGTCATTGACTGAAAGGTATGTTGAGACACACGAGAAACAATGAAGATGGTAACATACCTGACGAGCGGCCTCGCGAAGAACTTCAAGACTTGGAAGATCCTCGTGAGTAGCGGCATGCCTGAGCTCAACGAGCCATGCAGGTAATCCAAGTTGAACTGCTATTGCAGCAATGGATCTAGCATAAATCCCGAATTGAAGAGGATCAACCAAGCCGTTTACCATTCGGATAACAGCGGCGCTGTAACTGTACCGCAAGACCAGACTGGAGGCATTTGAACAGTCATCTTGGACAATTACGGATAAAAGACTGAGTGTTGATTCTATGGCATGAGGAAGGGAGGTAATGGCTTTCCAGGCTACAAGCTAACGAGCCTGAGGATAAACAACTTGTTGATAAAAGATGCGGAAGGTGTACCTTGTTTACTGCAAAAATCTTGGATTCAAGATGACTCTCGTCGGCGTAGATGGCTGCACAGACCTCATCCAGCTCTCCAACAGAGGCCCAGGGGACTCGACGAGGTAACTTCATGAGCGCACCTGTCGAACGTTTTTAAATCTAATCACTATCACGGAACACGATAAGATAAAGAATGCTGAATATATCCACTTTAGGAAGGTTGAACTTTACACGACCCGCGTGCGATTCAAGGGTTCGCTCCCATCCACTACGCGACACCTAATCCCTGCCTAATCCTACGCGATGCCCCCTTCTCTGGACATACGAGGCGATATTGCTGCTGCACAACTTGCCTTCTACGCGCCAATTGCTATCATAACATTCTTCCTCACCGTTCGTCATGCATTCGAGAAGGATGCAGGTCAGAGTGATTGTATAATTAAATATCCCTAGCTAACGGAAACATTCTATAGGCTTCTTCTTCCTATTCTTCTTCTCCATCAGTCGGTAATTTGCTTTTCTGTTGATCATTTGGGCTGATAGTCGACATCAGTACGTATAACTGGCGGAGCACTTATTATTGCTGCTGAACTAGTCCAACCATCGGTTCTCGACCTTTTCATCGCCGCATACATCTTGTTTCCTGTTGGTTTGGCTTTTCTTATGCTTGCCTTTGTTGGATTCCTGGGTCTAGCGTTCGTATTGTGCTATACATAATGTTTGATCAATTCGTTCGCTAATTTTATGCGATTCATTTAGCGGGCAACATACCGTCTCTGAATACCGGAGGACAATGTATCTTCTACGGTTAATAGCATTCATTGCTGTAGTCGCTCTTGCTCTCAGTATCGCCGGTGGTCTACTTGGCACTCATATTAATCCCGATGCCCACACAGGCCTCATCCTAAGACGTGTAGCTGCAGGTATATACGGCGGGACATTTGTTCTGCTGGTTGGAGCGACGTTCATGAGCTGGTCCTATTCGTATCTGATGAGATCATACCGGAGAAACGTAAGTTTGTTGTGTTTCTTTCTTGTACATCCCTGAACTGCTCTCCAGCTTCTTGGGGGACTTACGCTGGCCCTGCTCCCTTTGGGCGTCAGAGCTGCGTATGCAATCTTAGATGCCTGGTCTTCATCCGATATCTTTGGCTCCGAACCTTCCTCCAACTCCACCCTGGCACAACTGAATCCTATAACTGGAAATTTCATTTTCTACCTCATCCTAGGACTAGTGATGGAATATATTGTGGCTCTCATCTGCCTTTTCTTCAGCACTATTGGAATGCAACGTCGTCATCGTCGCCACCGTTATTGAACGAGTCGGAAGGAGAAGATTCACGAAATTTATGGATGCTTTATGAATATATGATGATCTGTACGCGGACGAGCTGGACACTCGGCGTTTAGGGTCATTTCTTAGGACATGTCATGCTCGACGATATCGTAAGTTGCTGTATACGAACACCTTTGTATCTGTAGTCAATTTCCCAATGACACGTTAACTCAAAATTATTGATTCATGGAAGGAACTCCTCATGAGATGGAAAGACGAAATGAGGAACTAAATTGTATAAACGATGGAATGGTACAGGTACAACAGAGTGGAACAATGATAAACTGTTTGGACTGCATAGTCAAGCATCTTCCATACCGTCTCTAAGAGTCGGTCGTTATACCGGGAAGACGCTCCGGCTTAATTGCGCCCTCGTATGTTTGTTTTTCCCTTATACCGTGGTACCCTGATCCAGAAACAAGAAGAGTTGCTGTACGATAATGCAAAGCTCGGTGGAGGGATTGAAAGAAAATTTTTCTCGCATTCAAAATTTATAGTGTCAGCTTTCGTGGGAATCCGCGGACCAATTCAATTCAATGCTCATGCCCACTGTATGCCCACTGTCAGTGCAACTTTAAAATTATTACGAGCGATGCATACTGCAAACGGTGCATTGAGTCCCACAGAAATTTTGAAAATAGATTCTTGGCTGATTCTTGGTGGCATGATCTTTGAACCTCAAGTATAAATAATAACCGATTACGCTAGAGGACCTCACGAACGATGATACCCAAAATTCGCTCTGTTTTTCGTCATATATCACCTTCTTCACGTCGTAAAATGACTACCCACAACACCAACGCCGCTTGCTGCACGATTCCTCCAGTTCTCTCTGATTATACGCCCAAAGGCACATTCAAGAGTGTCGGTAGCTTCAACAAGGTCTATGTTACTGGTCCAGAAACAAGCACCAATGCCATCGTTTGTGTCTACGACATCTTCGGGTGAGCAACGCCAATACTTGCTGGTAGATGTCAAAAGACTTAATATCAGCGCTACAGCTTTTATCCACAGGTATGTTCTCGATATCTGTGATAATGACTGCCTTGATTCATCATCGATTTGCAGACCCAGCAAGGTGCAGATATCGTGGCATCGACTTTGAAAACAACAGTCTACATGCCCGATTTCTTCGAGCCTGACGGTCCTTTCCCTCATGATCCCTTCCCTCCGACTACCGATGAGGGCAAGCAAGCTTTGCAGAACTTTTTTGCTACCACAGCCAATCCACCTAAGAACGTTGCCAAGTTGATTGAGTTTGGGACCCTTTTGAAAACGAACGGGGCTGCAAAGGTTGGCGCTTATGGATTCTGCTGGGGTAAGCCTATCAATATCATTGCAAAATCGTCATTGGACCTTTAGCTGATAGGCGGGGATTGGTAGGCGGAAAGGTCACTGTATCTGCGGGAGGGGAGAATACACCATTTTCTTCTGTTTCCATTATTCATCCTGCGTGAGTTGACCATTTTCACGCCTGCGTTCTTAACTGAACACAGTACATGTACACAGAATGCTGTCGGCTGAGGATTCGGAAAAGCTCACCATACCTTTGGCGATTTACCCCTCGAAAGATGAACCCAAGGAGGAAGTAAGAAGTTATCACACACTCACATAAATGATGATCCGTCTGACCTTTCATTCAGTTTGAGAAAATCGTCAGCATTTTGTCTGAAAAATCCTTCGCTTCCCTTTGTGACCACAAGTACTACTCGACAATGTGGGTTCTCTTGTTCAACATACTACCCTTGATTTAGACGACTGTCCTTTCAGGCATCACGGTTGGGCCGCTGCTCGGGGTGATCTCAAGAATGAGGAGAACAAGAAGGAGTGAGTTCAACAACTTTTCTTATATCAGCTCTAACCCGTGCATGAAAGGTTCGAGGACGTCTACACAAAGCTCGTCAACTTCTTCAAGAAGACATTGGCTTAATCGGCTGATGCTCAAGTTCATGCAGACCCGGAGGGGAAAGAAATCAATTATGCTGCGATATTTCCATGACGGATTGTTCTCATAGTGATCATAACGATGGAACAAATATTTGATTGCCTTGTATATTAGTCGTTGTTCAGGAGATCATCTACAACCTCGCCAGCACGACAGCTAACCACACTCAACAATGTGTCGCTGAGTCCGTGAGTACTTTCCTCCAAGCCCTGGATATAAATCCTGGCCTTCAAACCCTCCGCCGATCCATCTTGCATGGTTTTGGTAGAAGCCATTGGAAGCAGACGGTAGTTCCTGGTAATATAAAGCTTCACCACCTCCGTTGGAGATGATTCTTGTTTGACTACATTTTCCGCGCCAGGGGAGATCGGAGGAGTAGTAACAACTGAAGTCGGAGTGCTAGATACACTGGAGAGGGGGGAGTCCTGAGGTTGGTCCAAATTTGCAGTGTCGGCTACCCGCTGCGCGAACGGCACCAGCTTAATAGGAATATCACTGGCAGAATCGTCGATCCCAAATCGTTTTCCAAGACGATCCGAAGCGCGGAGCATCTTTGTCCAGGAGTTGCGCTGGTATCCAGTCGCACACACGACGGCGTCATAAGATTCGTTCTCGAAGACCTCTCGAGTTCGTACATTTTGAAGCGTGAAAACAAACTTTTTAGAGCCAGTGTCGTACTTTAGAGAAGGGATATGCATGTGCGAACGAATAGTGATACGAGGGTGGGGGGTGAACACGGTAGAGTCTCGGGCTCCGATGGCTTCGTCCACCTCTTGATCGTAGATTATCTCGTACAACTGCCGAATTTGCTTCAGTGGGTAGATTCCGCTAAACATGCAGGACTCACAGCATCGATTGTACGAGGATTGACAACTGAGTAATTGGTGGCCTTGTACTCAGCCATGATACGCTCACGACCTTGCTCGCTTGTGCTAAACCAGTCGTTCGTGACTATGAATTGCAATAAGGCTTTGTATTTTGAAGATAGACGTGAAGAGCGGCGATTCTCACCTTCGGGATCGAAGATTTCATTGGAGAATGGAGTGTCATCGCTAGGTTTCAAGGAACCTTTACGAAGAAGCATGTCAACTTGATGACCAATTGGACCATCGCCAGCAGGAATATCATTGAGGAGTCCATGCAGGTTCATGGTAACCTCTGCAGCTGACTGTCCACCTCCAATGACAGCGATTCTTAGAGGTCTCTGCCTCTCCGATGTTATACTCTCAAGCAGCTCGCCTATGCGATGCTTGTATTCTGAGCTGTGCAGGAGAGTTGAGCGCGCCACAATGGACGGCTCTTTGATGAAAGGCACTACCACGTTAGGAATACGCGCACGTCCGCCCGGTGAGACGACGAGATTACCTGGTTATGACCATGATAGGGCGACATGAACATGACATATAGGGATAACTTGTGCTTACGAGTAATAAAGGAGTTTAGCTTTCCATCGGCAAGAGTTATGCTCGTCACAGTAATCAAACCGTCCATAGATTCATTGATAGCTACGACCTCCTGGCCATAGTTCACGTTTACGCCCTGGGCTTCGACATAGCGAGCAGCCCATCCAAGATAATCAGCAAACTCCTTCCTGGAAGGAGTCAAAGAACCTCGGTTGATGAATGCAGATAGACGTCCTTGGCTATGTAAATAATTGACGAAAGTAAGGGGCGATTGTGGTGAGCGAAGCGTCGCAAGGTCTTTCATAAAACTTTAGATCCATCGTCAGTGTTGAGGTAGGTGTATGCTAATGCAAATACAACATGCCTAATTTGCATTTGGGCACCTGGAAGAAGCATTCCAGGATGCCATTGAAATGATGGATGCTTCTCAATGAAAAGAACCCTCTGAAAAGACGTTTCTGTATCCTAGAAGCATGAAGTTTGTCGGCGTACTCTCGGATTCAAGGAGAAAAACTTACATTAGATAGTGCAGTCCATTTTTCGACAAGGGCTCCGGATATCGCAATGTTCGAAGGACCAAACCCAATACCAATCAGGTCGTACACAGCGGGATAGGTTGACTCTGTGCCAGTGGACATACTTGTTCGATACTAGACACTTAAACTTGAGGTGCAAAGGAAAGATTTTTCAAATTTCTTTTAATGTATTCCTGTTTCTGAAGCACCATGTTATTGAGTTATTGCGAAGGTCGTTTATTCCATGACAATCCAGAACCCAGCCATAAAACATGAAAGTCGAAAGGATATATTTTTGAACTCCGATGATTCGGATACATGCCATCAGGCTCTCTACCAAATCATACCAGCCCGGTTCATCCAACAACCCGCTTTTATTTTTGCAGTTCCTCGTATCGGCACCTTCGCAGTTGCCAATGAACTTGATACGACAGTTCCGCATGCTTCAGTCAAGATGACTTAGTTATTCCTGCGAAAATCATTTTCAAAGTCTGCAGTCCCTCCGAATCGAAACATATCTGACCTCCAGATCTTTTCTTGATTCGTCCACTTCCTTCCCTTCCACATTATCACCACCACCATGACTACTAGAACTTCTGGCTATGTGCGCGAAGAATTTGTCACTCCGCCTGACCATACTTTCACTCTTCCAGACGGAATGCACGTCCGCTCCACAGATATGGAAGGCCTTATTCAGATTTATCTACGCAACCTTTCTACGCCTTTTGCTTCCCTCGAGATTCATTCGCGCTCTTTGCAAACCAGTCCCCATGGAATTGTGAATGCTGATCGCGTTGAACATAGTCCCGCCTTCTTACTCAAGGCTGTCACTACCTCCCCAGTGAGCTTGAGTGATGTTTGGGCCATCCTATATGCTTTATGGATGCGTCGTTCGGACAAGGAAGTCATCCCGCTTGTCCTCGCTTCCGACCATCTTACGAACGTTGATGAGACCTTAGCCTACGTCACGTCTACAGGGCTTGCATTTTGCCCTCCCGATGCTGAAACACGATATGAGCTTCTTCTTATACGTGCTTCATTCTGGCAAGGTGCTGGGGCACCCGTTGACAAACACTGGCTGCGCACAATGATCCCACGTCCCTCTGTCTCCGCAACACCGTTTCCATTTGTACAGTCCTTCACGCGCGGAGAGCATGTTTTGACTACCCATCCCCTTCGACCTCCGAAACCTATTCCTGGTTCCATCATTTACTCGCGCTTTATTTTCACAGTTAATGAACATCTCAAATTCACCCACATCGACGCTAACAACCCCAAACATTTCGAAGCTTATTCTCGATGGCAAAACTCTGACCGTGTCAATATTGGCTGGAGAGAACGCGGCTCTGACGAAAAACACAGAAAGTACCTGAATGACCGTTTGGCTGACCCTCACATCATGGGATTTGTAGTAGAATGGAATGGTGAGCTTGCCGGCTACGGTGAAATGTCCTGGGTGAAAGAAGACCCAATGGGAACCTACGTAGGAGGTCTCGGAGACTATGACCAGGGTCAGTTTGTCCTTTTTGAACTCGAATAATCGTGTTCTCAATATTTACATAGGTACTCATCTTTTAATCGGCGAAGAAAAATTTCGAGGTCGACAGCGGTGTGAGTTATGTCACCACTTACTGAATCTTATTTGTTTAGGCCAAATCCTCTTGTAATCTAGTCACAGCTGTAATGACCTCCATGAAACACGCGTGCTTCCTGCGAGATCCCCGTACGAAGGTCGTTGTTGGAGAACCACGAGCCGACCTCCCGATCGTACCGCGACTGATTGCATACCTTCCTCAAGAATTAAATAGGGTATGATTTTGTTTTCTTTTAACTGACAGAAACAAGATTCGCTGATTTCCAACCACTGTAGGAATTTGAATTGCCCCACAAACGCGCTGTTTATTTTGTATTGAGGAGAGAGCGTTTTTTCCAAGCCGCGATGCTGGATTGAACCAATGATTTTTGTCGGAATAGGATACTAGATCATTGGATAGATTACAGTAATGTGAATTTTTTTGGAGTAGTCCCGTGTGTCAACCAACAGTTGTAATTAATATTGAGGCCTAAAGGAAACTGTCCTCTGTAGGGAGAAACAATGAATTCAGGATACAAATTGGCGGGAATGAGAATCAAAATTCCAAATACGTGTTGTTAGTCTGCACCTGCGCAGTGACACTACCGAGTTCCATGCACTGTACCATAAGTTAACTTTTCAAGCAGCATTTCTGGTACCATATGCATCATCTAAGCTGGTCGGTTCATTCGAATAATCGTTTGGTTCACGTCTTTCGTACTTCCCGAACTAGTAGATACTGAGTTTTTCAAGATCCGAAGAGTTCGCACATGAATTAACTTGAGGATTGAAGTCTGCTATGGTACTTGTACTAAGAAGGTACATCAATGGTCGGCATGAGAGTAATTCATATTCTTACTGGCTATACCTGACGAAGAATTTTTCAAATTTGGTGTGCCACAGTGGAAGCCCTCTTCTCGTTGACCTGACTTTACTCTTGTTGCCATGAAGAAAGCAGAAGCAGACCCACTGGCGCAAGCCTATCTGCACAAGGTCAATTCTCATCCCGGTGTATACTGTATCGCCTTGAACAGGCCGAAGTCGAAGAACGCGATATCGGTCCAGCTTCTGAAGGTTGGGATCTCTTCCGCACTCAATACAACCTTAAGTCTTTCGCTAACTCTTCCAGGATTTGCGCGCAGCGTTGAATCAGGCCATATCGGAAAAACTGTGGGTTTGCATTTACTATATCGTGCGTCTGTTATCTCTGAATGACGGTTGTAATTTGTAGCTTGAATGTCTTGATATTCTACTCCTCGACGCCAGGCGCGTTCTGCTCGGGAGCGGATTTGATTGAGAGAAAATCGATGACCGACGCTCAAGTACGCGAATTCCTATCCAATATTAGAGAGATTTTCAATTTCATCGACGACCTCCCATTCCCCACCATTGCGGCCATTGACGGTCCAGCGCTGGGCGGCGGCCTGGAGCTTGCATTGACCTGTGATTTTCGTATAGCAGGTTTGTGATTTTCGAATTAGTTAAATGCCCGCACTGATTGGTTGTGATTTGTAGCGAGCGACGTCACAAAGATGAGCTTTCCAGAGGTCCGGCTTGGTATCATTCCAGGGGCAGGCGGAACCCAGCGTGCACCAAGACTCATCGGGATGTCGAAAGCTAAAGAGCTGATCTTCACGGGAAGGAACCTGACCGCTAGAGACGCGCAAGATCTAGGTTAATATTCAGTCATTATACTTATAGAAAACTATTTTGACCCACGTCCAGGTCTGGTGGATTACGTCGCTGGTTCTTCGTCCACGGCGTTTGAACGTGCTCTTGAGCTAGCGAAAGAGATGTCTTCGAGCGGTATGCTTTCATCACGTCTCGCTTGTCACAATGTTCCCTCTGATTTAAGCCTACAGCACCGCTGGCTCTTCGTGCAGCGAAATCAGCCATGTCACGCTCGCTGGATACTCCGTTGATCACTGCTCTAAATCACGAAAGAACATGTTACGAATCGCTTTTGGACACGAAGGATCGATTAGAGGCACTTGTGGCATTTCGGGAGAAGAGACGACCCGTCTTTGTCGGTGAATGAATGATAAGTGGGAAGAAAATTTGAAATATTTGTCATATACCGAAAGTCGACACGCAGTGTATTCCAGCTACAAATTCTTCTTTGTAAAATGCATACAGTTTGTCAAAAGATATTGACTTACCTGAGGACTTAGGAGAGAAGACCCATTGACTATCAGATATCGAATGAACAGGATTCCTTTGCCGAAGGATTTGCCGTGGAAAGCCATGTAAACAGTTCTTGATCGACCGTGCCGTGTAGTAAATTTCCTTTCCTTTCCAACAGATTATCACCATTGCTAGCAATGGTGCGTTAATTGTGTCTTAAGCTGAAAGCAGAATAAAGTACTTCGCCGGGTGATATTTTCAAAATTGGCGCACGGGCCAAGTTCTGCCGAGTTCTCACACTGTTATTATCTTTCTGCCACATTTTCGATGATCCTCGCAAAGTTGCAACGAGTCGGAACCGGGGACTCAGTACTCAATACTCAGTCATCAGCAGGAAAATCGTGCTCTGCAATAACAAAAACTATCTCCAGCTGACATCTTTCCCGGTGTTCGTCAAATGCATTGCAATTGATGAGGATTGATATAATTTGCCTTGGTACATGTCCAGTCCTAGGAAAATCGCTGAAGATGGTGAAAAGAGTCAAGGAATCATCGGAGTAACACGGAGTAACAGAGTCAAGCTCATTTCAATTCCTACATATCAGAAAATGTACAGTAATACATGCACATGGAGGCCTCTCTTGTGAATTGTGACCCGCGAGATTATACTGTGGAGTCCAAACGGTACTCATAATCCTGTCGCAATCGTTTCGAAAACCCAGTCCGGAAAAACCTGGATCATAAACCCATTGGAAAGTGAGTACTAATCAGTACATGCATGATTTTGATTCTTGAACAGACGACGGTCGAGAAGTAACCCGCCGAACGCGGTCCGAACCTTTTGGTTTAGGTCAATTGCCTGCTCGAAACCACAATGCACGATACACTACTCGAATCTCTTCGCAGGCATACTGCTGTGGTACCCTCTGTTTATTCATTGAGGTTGCACAATGAAAACCGTGAAATTCAACTTTAATTCTTCCCCAGTCCACTTGCGATTTCCCTAGAATGTCAGCACTCGCAAAAGAGTTCGCAGACTACACGTATCTGGCACTACCTGACTTGGGCACCGGTACACGCAATCCTCTGCCAAAAGTACATTCGATCACAAGGAAAACTTCAGTAGACATCCGTGAAGTTGGTCTGTCTCACCAAACACTCGTTCGCGCATCTTTCGCGAAGTTAATCCTCTTATACCTCGACACTCATGATTTTTTACTCGCCGATTCCACGTCGAATTTGTATGTTCCAGTGCGGGCCAAGATCGACCCCAATAAAACTCTGCTACAGTTTGCAGAGGGGCTCGAGAATTCTGCTCGCTCTACAGAACATGTCACTTCAGAATATGTACGCCAGATTCTCAGCCTTCCTGAAAATCAAGACCCTCTACCCGTCCTCTATACTTGGGTCCAGGAGGAGTTTCCAGCGAATGTGAAATGTCCTATATTGCTGGAAGCGCAGGTTCAAGACGGTAATCAATTAATACTCTATCTACGTTGCAATTCCACGGTAATGTCCCTCGACACAGCGAAAATATTCCTGGAACAACTCTGCGCCACTGTTTCATTCATTTGCGCATACCCTAGTGCACCCTGTAATATCGCAATGGACCTTCCAATACATGTCTCATCTGCATTAGAAGCTCCCTATGATCCAGACGAAGCCGAGCTCACATGCAGTTGGTTGACACGTAACGCTTCTCTAAGGCCCGACGCTATAGCCCACGAGATATACTCCAGTGTTAATTCTGTCCCGGAGATGTTGACGTACGCGTCGCTCAACGGACAAAGCAATCGTCTTGCCCGTTGGCTTGTAAGCCGGGGTCTACGAAGAGAAGACAAAATAGCCGTTTGTCGAGCTCGCGACAAGTACTTTTATATCGCTCATGCGGGTATATTCAAAGTTGGTGGATGCTATGTTTCGGTAAGTTGAAATCTATTATCGTCAATCCCCGATTGCTCACTACGTATACAGATCGATCCTGAACTTCCGGAAGAACGTAAGAAGTATATTGCAGATGATAGTGGGTCGAAGTTTGTTCTTACCTCGGCGGACCAAGCACCCTACTTCGGTGAACTTGCCATCGTACTTGATGACTTGTCTGTTCAAGAAGAGGTGCTTGGACACGATGCTGCGGACATCTGCCTGGCTGAGCTGGACTCGCTAGCCTATCTGCTGTATACATCAGGTATGAAGAATTCTCCGACTTCATATTGCCGATTTTGCTGGGACTAAACTGTTCTTTAGGCACGACTGGAATGCCCAAAGGTTGCCTTCTGAACCATCGGGGGTTGTACTGGGCTATCATTGCAATGTGTAAACTTCCCTCGAAGGTCACGAACCCCGACACCGACAAACGACTTGCTCTTGCCTGTATGTATTATATTGCTGTCTGTACTAGTATAAATTTTGACGTTTACCAAAATCAAGCTATCGCATTTGATGTTCACATCTCTGAGATCTGTCAAAGTTGGTGTCTCGGCATTCGTCTGGTCAGTGGACCTCGATACGAGTTTCTCGCCAACCTCCAAGAAAATATCATTAAGATTGGTATCACTCATCTGGGGATGGTCCCTAGTATGATTGAAGCAACATTGTCGTCTCCAGATGATCTTCCTTTGAAATATCTCGTCTCTGGAGGGGAAAAAATCTCAGATGGGGTACGCTGCGACTTTGTTCGATGTTTATTCGAAATTGACTTTCCTCGATGCAGCTTCTTCGCAAATGGGCTACGTCGCCGAAGTTAATTTTGGCGAATTTCTATGGGTGAGTTCAGCATTAACGCAGGCAAGAATATTCACTGAAGTACCTGAACTGGCAAGGCCTACGGAAGCGACAATTGGTTGTACGTCTCGTCAAATCACAATAAATGATCGAAAAGAAAATATTGGGCGTCCTTTTGCTTCATGTCAGGCATATGTCGTGGACTCTGCAATGAATATCGTTCCTAGAGGCACCCCGGGGGAACTCGTTGTGGAAGGACCACTAGTGGGGGTTGGGTATCATAAGTTGCCCGACGCTACAAATAGAGCTTTTCTGGAATGGCCACATCCCGGATGCAGATGTTATCGTACGGGTGACCTTGGTACGTCTTATTTTATGCCTGTCGCTTTTACCCTCTGACAGATTTTCTCATGCAGTCCGTCTGATGCCTGATAATACCCTCGAAATCATGGGTAGAATCGATACACAAATCAAGCTTCGAGGTGTCAGGATTGAGAGCGAGGGTGTCTCGAACGTCCTACTCACAGCATCTCCAATTCCTATCGACGCTACTACGTTGGTCAGCCTCCATCCCGGCCTTGGTAGCGCGGAGGTCCTGGTCTCATTTGTCGCTGTCTTAAATCCGAATATTACTTTCTTCCAACGCCGCAGCGAGCTACCTGTTGTTACCGACGAGGCATTTTCCAATTCCGACACCCTCCAGAAGATGAGGGACGCAGCTATTCGAGAGTTAGCTGTGTACATGCGGCCGTCATATATAATTCCACTCAATTTTCTTCCTCTCAACATGAATGGAAAAACGGACAACAAGATACTTTCTGCCCTTTTCAAGGAGACACAACTACAAGATCTTATTCGCTTGCAAGGTCAGGCTTTCGCCCAAATTACTTCCGATCTTACATCAGAGGAAGCTCAGGTAATTGAGGTGGTTTCCCGAGTCACCGGCCTTGAACCAGGTCATATCAACCAGTTCTCTAACCTATTCGAGAGTGGGTTGGACTCTCTGAAGTTTCCTGCCCTTGCCAGCGAACTTCGAAAGACGTTCATGACTTCCGTCACTGTTGCAGAGCTAATGCGTAACCCTGTCATTAGAGATGTAGCCAGACTCATCCCGCGGAACGATCCCGACTATCCTAGTGGGGATCAAACAAACATCGTTACCGAATTCGCGGAGAAGTGGAAGTCTGTCGCAGATGGTATCTTCGAACCCTCTTCGATTCAGGCTGTCCTGCCTCCATTCCCTGTACAGGAGGGCATCTTGTTTCGGTGCATAGCATCACCACATCTGTATGTGCAGCACTTTATGTACCGGTGTCGTAAATCTGTGGACTTAAGCAAGATGAAACGAAGCTGGGAGGCTGTAATGAGACGGCAAGAAATTCTTCGGTAAATCACTTGTGTCTTTCTGCTTTTTCCAATTTAATGATTATCCATAGAACATGTTTCATCTTCGATGGAACCCTATTACAGGTTGTTCTTCATGATGGGGTCAATCCACTCCCGTGGCAGTTCTCTGACTATGAGGACAAGGAAAGCTCAAGTTTCCGTGATTGGTTTCTACGTGATCAGGCTTCACATGTGTCCACCCGAATCAATGAAGATTTCACTACACCTCTGTTCGCCATTGGAATCTACAGAAACTCGTCTGACAAAGAAGTGTATATGGTAATTTCTATCAACCATGCCCTCTATGATGGATTTTCTATGCCACTTCTTGTCCGAGAGTTCCGTCAATGCTACTTGGATGAAGAGCTTCCTGAACCAGTCCCGCTAGTACATATGTTACACCCGATCCTATGTCAGAATAACGAAGACATGAGAGCTTTCTGGATATCTCAATTCGAAGATGTCGACCTTCGAGCGCGAGCGATTAGACATCCGTCATCAATCAGTCCACCAAGCTTTTTATCTCACGCCTTAGATGTGCCCCTTAGCGATATCCAGGCCAAGAGTCACTCTCTCCACGTTACCTTACAAGCACTTTTCTGTGTGGTGTTCGCAATCTCAGGTCAATCTCTGTTTGGATGGAATCATAATGCAATTTTTGGAGTGTGTTTTCCTCCATTACTGATGATTTTACGGTGCTAAATTTATCGTGAAGGTATTACGTGCTGGACGTTCGTTTGCAGCTCAAGGTATTGAATCAGCAATCTGTCCATTGGTCTCTGTGATTCCAACCATTGTCGATCTTGTTCCAAAATTGTCTTGGTCAAACTTACTGCAACGTTCGCAAAGTTTCGTCACCGAGAGTATCCAACATGAGCAAGTTGCTCTTGGGCAAATTCAGAGATGGCTGGGAGTGACGGAACTTGTGGATGTCCTTTTTTCGTGCCGTTTCGACACGGGTGAACAGGTTTCCGATGTGATTGAGCACATTGGAACTAGCCGTTCGTCACCAGAGGTTCGTCGCCATCTGATACAGCCAATTCATTGTTTTGAATTAAATATACAGTTTATCTTTGCTGTTGAGTTTGTATTGCAACCTACCGACGATGCCATCGAGGTTCGAGTTTCCTTCACCGAACCCGAGATAACGCCCCCCGGTGTTCTATCCTTGTTCGCACGGTTAGAGCAAGTCCTCGAAAATGTTCTCAGTCACAACAACGATATTGCATGCGACTGTATCATCAACCAGCCTGCAGTGGACAATGTGCAGAATGCAAATCTCATTGACGAATCTTCCTCTAGTGTCGAATTGGAGCTGATCTTACAGAAATACATATCCGAATATCTGGGCATCGAACTGCCTGCGCTTCGTCCTACCACTTCATTCACGTCCCTCGGTCTCAGCTCCATTAAGGCTGTCTCTCTGTCGCGAGTATTGCTTCAACATGGCATCAATGTATCACCTGTGGACATCATCCAAGGCGACCAAATCCAGGCAATTGCTAAACGCGCTCACGCTTCTGCGTCTTTCGATGATGCACCGGAAACCACGGAATGGCTGAATGATATGAAAGAGAGACTGGCGAATGAGTTGAATGTAGAGAGGTTGAAACTTGACCCAGAAGACGCAATTGTGATAACGGGATGCACATCATTGCAGACTGGTATGCTTGCTCAGGTACGAATCAGTACAACTATCAGCCTTTTTCTGGCTAACCATGTCTTCACAGACAATTAACTCTAGAGGGCTACTATACATTCACGCTTTTACCTTGAAATTGGCTTTTGACTGCGATGTCTCTCGACTACGGGCTGCTTGGCATGAAGCCGTTCAAAATTTAACCATTCTACGCACGTCCTTCCATTTTACCCCCATCTCAGGTCAATGGGCTCAGGTTACACATTCTATTACCGACTTTAAATGGTCGCACTCAACCCAGGATGAATTGGGCTCCGCGGCGGTTGATTTTATTACAACCCTTGCTTTTGACAACGAAGAAACCTTTGCTCGTCCTCCCGTTTATTTTCGACATGTATCTGCCGATATGGAGTACCTAGTCGTGGTTCTGCACCACGCTCTATATGACGGCCTATCTCTTCCAAAACTATTTCATCATGTTCAACAACTCTACCTATCAAAACCAGTCGATGTGTCAACTCCATTCAATCAAGTAGCTGATACAATCTTGATTGCGGAAGGCAACGGCACAGCTTTCTGGACACGACGATTAGAATCTGTAAAGCCTTGTCATTTTATGGTGCAGAGTAGATCTTCCGAAGAGGCGTGGCGTGCTTCCACCACGCTTGAAATCACGACCGCTGAGATAGAACGTTTTTGCCGCAGATATCATGTCCATCCCCAGGCATTAGGTCAAGCAACATGGGCGAAAATCTTATGTATGCGGGAAATCCGCTCGGATATTATATTCGGACAAGTTGTTTCAGGGAGGTCGCTCTCCGGGGCCGATAACGTTATTGGACCAGTCTTTGTGAGGCATCATTTCTTGTAATTGGGTCCACAACATTAATAGTACACATAGAACACTATTCCTTGCAGAGTTTCACTGATCAAGGGACAATCCAACCAGCAACTTGTCCGCGACATTCACAGATCGAATAACGACGGACTACCATGGCAGCATGCATCATTACGCTCCATACAACGGCAACTTAATCTTGGAAGCTTATTCGACACACTATTCCTCTATCAACCACACGTCGCTCTCACTCATGAAAATCCTTTGTGGCATCTCATAACTCGTCAAGACATGCAGGAAGGCAAGACTCAGGTGAACTTTCGTGCTACCGCTCTATCATAAATCAGTCCTAATGTGCTCTCAGTATGCTGTCAACATTGAGTTGCACGAGGGCGAAGCGTTATACAGAGTCTTTGCTTCTTGCTCGTCGGACGCAATGACCCAAACCGAACTTGCTTCCCTTTTAGCACAGTTCAATCTACTTTTCGTTGAGATAGTTCGATCTCCGAATGCAATTACCTTGCAAGACCAAGCACGAATATTCTCGCGCCCAATTAAGGTTAGCATGCCGCTGACTTCATCGAAAGCTAGTGGGGATCCTGAGGCTGTCATCAAAATATGGTCTCCCACGCAGCAACAACTTTGGAAAATCCTCATCGACTTCACTGGTCTTCCTTCCGATGCTATCCGTCCATCTACTTTCCTCATTGCAATAGGTATCGACTCAATATGTGCTATACAAGTAGCGTCTCTAGCCCGTCGTGCCGGAATACCTCTCACCGCCACAGATGTTGCTCGTAGCCCGACCGTCCAAGATCTTCTGTTTCTCGACCCGGTTACAAACAAAGGTGTTGTGACTCAATCAAAACCCATTCCTCTCGAGTTATCACCTGAACTTGTCCAGAATATCTTTGCTCGTTTACCCATCGGATACCAACGTAAAATTTCCCGTCTTCTACCACTCGCTGCAGGAATGGAATGGACTCTTTCTGCCTGGCAGATGAACCGCGCTGTCTTTCCGTTCAAATTGGATAGGAATGACGAAGCGATTGATGTCGTCTCATCACGTTTACATAATGCCTGGCAAAAGCTCATTCGCCGACATGAAATCCTACGATCTGTGCTGATCCACACGGAAGAGCAGAATTACAGGGTTCTCCTCGGTATTTTATCGATGGAGGAATTTGAGGTTCCGTGGGAAGAAGATAGACTACCGTCTCACGATCTGTTGTCAAACAAAACGGAGCTCGAACTGGTGAGGATGAAGACAAAAGAACTTGCGGTTATGCCCATCTCATTTGGCCAACCGCCGACCCAACTTGTGCTATTGCATGGGAAGCAGTCGAGCTATATCATCATCGGCTTACATCATATGCAGTATGGTGTGTGACTCTTCCTCGTGCCTGTTCGTTATAGCTAATCCCCTTCGTTTGTAGATGGCTGGAGTCTGCCACTCTTCATGAGAGACATTGAATCCCTTTATACGTCCCGTCAACCGTTGTCAAAGAACGATCTATCTTCGTTCTTAACGATGTTCACTCGATCATCAGAGTATTTTTTGGAGCAAGAAGTGTATTGGAAACATGCCTTTCCCCTTACCTTTCGTCCTCATTTATTCCCCTGCTTAAATCGTCATAAAGTTCTCGACGAAACTACACATTCTGACATCCCATTTCTATCATCACTCATTCGTAGCGTCTCCAGTCTTCGCAATCTCTTCAGCCTGGGTTGGGCGCGGAATCGACGTCGAGTCACCGAGGGAGAAGGTGGGGCTGATGCTCCTCTTCACGTTAGTCGAGGACGTGATCGTACTTTTATAAACATCACAATTCCCAACGACATTCTTCCACTCGATGTTCTCCAGAGCAAAGCCCGATCGTACTCTCTCTCACTTCAGTCAATACTTCTTGCATGTTGGGCAATTGTTCAAATGAATTGGTCTTCTTCATTAGATGGAGCGACTTTTCTACTCTCCCATGCAGGGCGGTCGTCAGCAGCCATTCCTAACCTAGATGTTCTTGCCGCTCCTTGTTGTAATTATGCACCTGTGCACGTAACTTTGGGCATTCAACCTGCTGGCGCGCTCAAGATCTCTGCAATGACTATCCTGGACGTGGCGCGACGAATCCAAGCCAATCTCGCCAATCGGACTCCTGTAGTTGAACAGACACGGGTTGCGGACATCTCGAAGTGGATCGGCTTGAAAGGAAAACCGTTTTGTAATGTTGCCGTGAATGTGCTGAGGCTGCCAGGAGGAGAGCTGTTGAAGGGTGCAGAAACCCCCGAAAGACTGCTGAAGGCCATAAAGTTTCCATATAGCTCTATACCCTTACAAATGTTCCCGGGAGATCCCTTCTTCCCTGAAATCCAGGTTAGTTGTATTCTTTGTAACCAACGACCATATCTGATTGAACTTCGTTCACTCTGTAGCATGACTGTCTCGTCGAAATCTATTTCGGTACAAGATCCACTTCTCACACTCAATCGTCAAGCTCAGTGTTAGGTCTATCAATCGAGTGCCATGCTGATTTGTTGAGTGTAGAGCAAGCTGGCAAGGTTGTAGAGGACTGGAAAGATTTGGTTCGGATGTTTGGGACTTTGGAGAGCGAGTGAAGGTTGGCGTTCAAATCGTCTGGAATCAGCTCGAAGCTTATTAAAGGAATGAGGTGGTGTAGATAGACAGATAGAGAGTACATATTCATTTCCTTTCATAGACCGTTTCAAGGATTATCGGCTCTGGGGTTAAACTTATTGACGAAATTTTTCGGGCTATGTAAGCACGTGCTAAGTTGTACTCGAATCATCTCGGTCTTTCATCTCGTACAACAGGATTGTCTGTATTCAGTGAATTCAAGATATTCACAACTACAAGTTTTCAAGCACGGTTCGGATAGATCCACTGATTCACGTTCGATATCAACACAGATCAACACAGAGTATAATGGACCCGAACTCATTGTTCTGCTGAATCCTGCTGAATCACTACCTTGATTCGTCTGTCGCGAACAGATATATCCTCTTCCTCGTGCCTTTCATCCATCCCTTGCGCTCTTTTTGAGCAGGACACGACACCCGAAATGCGACTGTAGTTCAACAAATAAGCAACAACCGATCTGTTTGTGGATATTGTACAAAGGGACATCTCAAGCCAAGTTTACATCTGGGTTTCTTTGAGTTTCTTTGCTCTTCCCGAAAATCAGGCACTTTACCGCTTGTCGGCGTCCCTGTGCTATGAGACAAACGGCACACCCTAGACACACCCTTCAAGTATGTACATCCATTCTATGTATGTTGCGCTCTGCGATGGAGATTACAATTGACGATAATTCAAGTACTCCAGGTGAAATTCCGGGTGGCATTGTTCCAATATGGTCGCCTCATTTCTAACTCGAGTCCTCACATGTGGCATGTAAGTGTTAGTTCGGTGACCAAGCGCTATGCCCTTCATAGAGCACCAATACCACCTATTACCACCAGTTCATACTAGTACGTAAGGTTTCCTTTCTCTTGTGCCGATTTTATGCTTATTCTTATTCGCCTCACAGCCCTTTCTTGCTCTCTATGTATGCAGGTTGTCACTGAGTTGTCATACTTGGTTAATCGTACTTATGGATTCACTGTTTCAGACTGCTTCCCGAAAAGATACAGACTCCCCTCCCTCTAAACAACATGTCCCTTGGACTCCTGGAGCTTCTCATTCATTTCCTCTATAGCATAGGACTAGACTGTACGGGACTGCGGAAAATATCGCCTGCGAAAGACCGACCTCACGTTTTCACTTTCCCTTGCAACGGAGGCAATCATGAACATTGAAGAAGTAAGGATCGGACGCCCAGCGTTATCGAAGAGATCGGGACAGTCTCTTCCATCAGCGGAGACTCAGAAAAATAAAAAAATTGCTCGACATGCTCGTGTTGTGTCCGATTCCGAACAGTTCGAAGTCTATTGTGTGCACAGACATTGCATCCAATAGTTCTAGGTATCGGCGTTTTGATTTACAGTGGTTTCATAGAGGTGGCAGAGTCTGTTGCGACGGTTTCCCCTTTTACCGACTCGAATTCGAACCTATGTAGGTTGACCAAAGCTCTTTGACTTCTTCTAAGCAGTCGTCTAATCAATCACACTCTTCTTTCCATCAAATCTTCAGTGACGGCGGACGCCCTCCTTGACTAGCCTTGACTTCGGTCCCTCTTGGTCCTTTAGCTCGAGAGGTGGGCGCCACGATGGATGAATCCGTTTGTTGCGGTCATCGATTTTGCGCACTGTTTACGTTGTAGCTGTCAATATCTTTGAATTAGATTGCCGATATGCAGAGATTTCTGCCCGTGTAAATCGGTATACATATATGTAATGTCAAACGGATTTGTTCCTTCAATTGTCCTGAATACTTGCTGCTCTTTCCTTAAGCAACATACGAGTACGACTGTACGAGCGATATTTTACTCACACCGCCACCGACGCGACACGTGTGGAGCAATATAGGCGTTTTCCTGTCGAGATAACCTTCTATTCCTCCACCCTCATGGCCTACACCCCCCTTGCCCTCATTTACAGGGCCTTGGTCACTGTGGTCATCTCCTGGTTGTTGCTGGTGGTACGGGCCGATGGGTTCATGCAACAGGTGAGCACTTGCAGTAATTCTTTGTCCCAATCGAATAACAAGTACTAACATGCAAGCTAGTCGTTCAGCTTTTCCTGGGATAGCAATTTAGCAGTCCCGGTACCCGTAACGAGTAAGCCGGCTTTGACCGTTACTTGTCAATCAGTGATAATTGAAGCTTCTATTCCCAGCGCAGTGCGATACGCTGAATATTCAGTGGTCACGAGGAACAAATACTGGGTGCGTTGTATCCTGATACCTTAACTTCTCGTTGCTCATATCTTCCAACTTATCAGGCCTAACCCAGTTGCCCCTTATTATCTTCAAATCTATACATCTGCCTTTGTCTATCCTTTTATAGTTGCCGCAGGAAGTAACCTGAATTTTGTACGTCTTTCTTGGGCGTATGGATCTGGGTGTCTTATATTGAGCCTACTTTAGAACTTTGCGGTCCCCTTTGGTCCTGGTACTCTATATCAAATATGCATGGTATTTATTCATTCCCATCGTCAGTGTGATTCTATCATTGATTAATGTTCCCTGTAGTTCGACAGCCAAGGCAATACTGGTGGATGTCAGGCGATGTATACAGTGATCGCCAACACATCGAGCTCCTCACTTAGTTGCTCAAATTCTACTCTCTCATTCCCGCTTGGTCCTCTCGATGTCGATGCCGAAGTTGCGAGTGGAGCTCTGAGTCAATACGGCTGGATTGATCAATGCACAGATATCACGGTTACTCCTAAAAACGGCACAGGTGTGTCCCGATTGTTTGTCTTTTGCTGCTAATCAATATATGTGTCGTCTCAGGTCCATATACCTTCACGGCAAGTCCGAATTCTCTGCGTTGAGTATCTTCTTCTGAAGAATGAATTATATTAGGTCGCTCCTAGTCTTCACCCTCCCCTAAATATCACATCAAATTCCGCATCAGCCATGTCATGGACAATCGATCTGACTTGGGCGTCTCCGTTTTTCATTTCCGTTGCAGACTCTGCCGGCAATTATTGGTCATACGGGCCATTACATTCTGGAGAAGGTAGCAGCTCGTGTTTAGCAAGGTGAGGCAATTTCTATGACACTTGTATGTACTAAAAATGACCCGGATTGTGTTGTCACTATTGAAGTTCTAGCGGTGGTTCAATCTCGGCTGGTACAATTGCAGGTGCATCAGTAGGAGCATTGGTAGTGGGACTCCTTGTCGGCGCTTTGGGCGCTTTCTGTCTCTTCCGAAGGCGGCAATCGGGGAAAACATCGTATGCGGGTCTCGACACTTCATCGCCTTCTGGATCTCCCAATGTTACACCGTTCAATACCGGGTATCGCACTGCTCCTTTGGGTGGCCGGCTTCTGGATTCAACAGCTCTCAATCGCAGTCCTTCCGGTACAGAATATCAAGTCGAACCGTTTGTCCTGCCTGAGCATAATACCGGCCCACTATCGCCTAGCAGTGAGGGACGACAAGACGACCCGAACTCTCAATCTCGATCTGTCTACGTCGTTCATCACGACGGCGGGCGAGCGCCTGTTACAGTATATCATGAAGATGGTACCGAGGTTGTAGAGCTACCACCGAGGTATATTGATGGAGGGAGCAATACTGCCTCCAGGCGTAGTGATGCCCGCAGTAGGAGCGATACACGGAGTGAAGCGGGTCTCAGTAATAGCGATACCCAGTTGAGTACAGAATTAGCAGCACAGGGAAGCTCGCGGCAGACGAGCGATGGTCAGATGCCATCGTTCCTCCAATCTCAACGGAACCCGCAAGCAACGCCTAAAAAGAATGGGTTCCGTCTACAGCCACCCACATAGGTCTTGAAAGTGAAGGACTTTTTTTTCTCTTTTATCAAATTGGTCCTGGGGGATGTCTACATTTAAAGCATATATCTTTCACGAATAGCATATTCTTTTCTACTACTGCACAGTGCAATGTGCGACTAACACATGGACTGCTCCCCGTAAGAGCTGTAGAGTTCATCCGTTCATTTGAATCTGTATTTTTCTTCCCCCTCTTCGAATCTGACACTACTTATATCACATACTACACCTTGGCATAACATTAATCATTTCATATAACCGTTTTCTAAGTTCTTATCATGCTTGTAAAGTGGCTGGGAACATTGGGTGCACTTTACGTGCGGGAGGATTTCGGCACATTGCGTCATCAGATATTATCCAAGCGCCCGTATAAATGTCGACTTTGCTTCCTCGACTTGAGTATCGGTGTCTAGACATCTCAAGGATTTCCATGAAACTCAACAGTCCCCTTCCTCAGCCTCTTCCGAAAGAATGCGCCAAAGCCGCCAAGATATGTGCGCTCGTCTCACTCACTTTATGAAAGCCACAAGCTCACCACGCTGCATTGGTATCTTCAGTCAAATCTTTTGTTGACAGCGGAAACAATGGCCTTGACGGTGTGATCCCTCGTCATGTACTGGAAAATGCGAAGGGGTTTGCGATCTTTAGTGTGTTCAAAGTAAGTAATGACATCTACTTATAGGAACAATATTAACATCCTTACTTACTGTATATGTAGGCTGGGTTCCTCTTTAGTGCGAGAGCTGGGTCGTTGAGTATCTCGAATTATCTATGTGCTATCAATAACTCTAATGTCATCCGAAGTGGCATCGTAATTGCGAAATTGCCCGATGGAAGTAAGTGTTACGCCATTCTCCACGAACAGCGAGATCCAGGCTGATTTCTGTAGCATGGTCGGCTCCGAGTGCAATCGGGACTGCTGGATTGGGTGTGGGTGGTCAACTGGGTGCAGAGATGACGGACTTCCTGGTTGTCCTCAATTCGAGATCTGTGAGTGTTCGCCATTTACTGTGCTGATCGGATGCTCACACGCAGTTGTGGTCAGTCCATAGTGAGTCAGTCATAGTTCAGGGGTCCATTCTAATTCCTCAACCTATCCAAAGAGATCTTTCATGGCCGCAGGATCTCTCACTCTTGGTGGGAACGCTAGTATCGCTGTTGGCCCTCTCGGACGAAATGGTGAAGCCTCTGGATCACTCAACAGTAGCGGCAAGGTCGCCGCTATGTACAGCTATTCCAAGACCAGAGGGTTGTTTGGCGGTATTTCTGTTGAAGGATCAGTCATCGTGGAACGTCAAGATGCGAATATACAAGCATACGAAAACGATTCGGTTACTGCGAAACTACTTCTTAGCGGTTCGATAGAGGCTCCTCCGTGGGCTTCTACACTCACTAAGACACTCGAGGCTTGCACAGGAATGCCGGGAAACCGACCTTGGATTGATGATAGCAGGGAAGACGTCGGGTATGCGTTCGGGGGATTAGCCAGCCCAGGCGCAGAAACGGCTGCTACTTTGCGAAAAACAAGAAAAGGAGGAGACAAATCTCCATACCCTCCGGCATCCTGGGGAGAACCTAAAAGCTCAGGCTCATACTTCGACTCTAGGATTAATACTGGCAGCAATGACTATACCAACGGAACAAACACGTTTAGCCCAAAGTCTACTTCGCAATCGTCGAAGTCGTTGTCAATAAGTGTACCTCATAGGGAGTTAGACGATGACTCTGTCACTTCAAGTTTTGATACCCGATTTGAGTCAGATTATTCACCTGAAGAGGATTTACGCAGACCGAGTCGAATGAGTTTGTATACCCCCAAGGAGCAAGCTGATCCATTTGCTTCCCTTGGAGATTTGTCCGGACATGGTCGATCTATGAGCATGGCTTCGCCTTCGCCCTTTTCGTCCAACAACCGCCGCTATTCGTCGAATCTTTTCTCGAGCTCGCTTCCTTCTTCCAAACTCAGCTCGACGATGGCATCTATGCCTATATCATCTCCAATTACCAATGCTCAACAATATATCGCTCCTAAACCAGAGCTTGCTAAGCCTTTATTGCGTCACGAAGGTGTTGCTCGTGCAATTGCACTGTATAATTTCGATGGAGTGGAGGCATGTCATTTTCTCTCCTATCATCTCCTATCATACTTCTACTGTATACTGAAGGTATTGATACAGTCGGGCGATTTATCATTGAAGAAGGGTGATGTTATTATTATCACAAAGAAAAGTGAAAGTTCCGACGATTGGTAGGTGTTTATCATCTTCATGCCCTCTGCACTCCAGTTTATATCCTTTGGTGTAGGTGGACAGGTAAAATCGACAATCGAAAAGGAATATTTCCTGCCAACTTTGTTGAGCTTGTGGGTTAGTGAAATAGATGCAATTGAATGCTCACTGTAAGACTATCGGCTACTAATGATCCAACGGTTCTTGCTTTCGCTGTCCTTTCTGTAGTGTACACCTCCGCTCAATCACTGTAAAATCATCCACTACATTTACATATCTGTATACATCTCTATTTCGACTACTTTCTGTATATTGTATCACTGCAGCAAATTCAATTCATACTGGTTTGGGGATCGGGCGCTTAACCGTGTGCACTAGTACTCAGGCGCCTATCATTCAGTTTTCCAATTTTCACCGTTCAGACTCGACGCCAAATCCACCTATCCTCAAAACAAGATCGACAAAAATGGTGAATATTCTGGTCGTCGACTGGCTTCTCGACGGTTGAGTTCTGTTTTTCTGCTTTCTGGATCTCTCAATGGGATGGAAAAGGATGGATTAGATGGTCATAGTCCGGATGACTCTTTCAAATTTGGCCCAAGGAGGCCATTTGGGAAGCCAGACCATCATATAAATTCGAATACTGATTTACTTTATGTTTCATTTTTCTACGTAGGCCCCAAAGAAAGGAAAAGTCGTCAAGGAAGAAAACACAGTCTCGCTCGGTCCTCAGGTTGCCGAGGGTGAGCTCGTCTTTGGGGTCGCTCACATCTTTGCCTCCTTCAACGACACCTTTGTGCACGTCACCGATTTATCTGGAAAGGAAACAATCTCCCGTGTTACTGGTCCGTGCGGCTTTTACGATTTTATACTGTCTTCATGGTGATTCATTTATGCTAATCTGTATGATACCGACTTTGTAGGTGGAATGAAAGTCAAGGCCGACCGCGACGAGAGCTCTCCTTACGCTGCCATGTTGGCTGCGCAGGACGTTGCTACTCGATGCCGTGAAATAGGTATCACAGCTCTCCATGTCAAGCTCCGTGCCACTGGAGGAACTGGTACCAAAACCCCTGGACCGGGTGCACAGAGCGCTCTCCGTGCACTGGCTCGTGCTGGAATGCGCATTGGGCGGATTGAGGATGTTACACCTGTCCCTACTGACTCTACTCGTCGCAAGGTGCGCTTTCGAATTTTTGTTGTCCATAATGCATTGCTTATACGCGTATCATTGTCTCCCTATCTAAGGGTGGTCGTCGTGGTCGTCGTCTGTGACCAGCCTATCTTTTTTATCTCTGGTTGTGTCTCCGTATGTAGGAACATTGTCAATATATTTGCACGACTTTCCTTGAGGGTTTTGACCCTCTTGGAAGGATCAGTTGCCAGACCAGCGCAGCAGGTTCATCCTTTTGAACCTGTCCCGCAGTCTCTTTACATCGTAATATTGGGACGAAATGTAATAATTCTGAGATTTGCGTGTGTGTAGAACCACTGGTGGTATGAATGTGTTCGAATTGGCGCTTGAAGCTTGAAGTTGAATCACGATGTTCGTTTGTTCATGAACTTTAACTCTCATCTTTCAAACAATACGTCTGCCGATTTCTTTTACGACCCTCGTACTCACGGATATCAAGGCCCGCCGCGAACTGTCCGCCTTCAAAGGGCTTGTGCGAATGGCGGAGGTGCGATATCAAAGAGTTCAGATGGCACCAGATGTGTGGTGACCGGCAAAGAATGTACGATCCATCATGTACTTTTACTGAGTACCACTCTGATTATCGGCTTCAGCTCTCAAAATCCTCAGGATAGTGGACCCATTGCAGACAAATGATTTGGAGGATTCGATCCAATACAAAACCTCAGCAGTTGGTAAAGGAGGCTTTCGGATTGAGGCGTCAAGAAATCTGTGGGATGGAAGTGGCTTGAAAATCGATAGCAGCAGCACTTGTGTAGCTTGGTGTCGCGAAGGTCCGTCTGCTGCTATCAATTCGTTTTTTACTTTCTATCCTGAGACAACGCATTGGACAGAATACAAGAATAAGATTCTCACTAGTGCCCGTAATGGCGAACTTATTATGTGGGACATCAACAAATCTGGCTCGAAATATGGTACGTCGCATAATATGACCGAAGCGCATCGCATTTAAGCCATATCACAAGAACGCAAGTCGAAGGATCATATACGGTCCATACACGCACTGTCAATCTCTCCCGTAGTCTCGAATTACTGCATAACTGGGTCTTCTGATGGAGATTTGCGTGTATGGGTCAGTCGACGGTCACTACCTCTTGTACGGAGCCTACTTGTCTCATTGGAGTTACTCAGGATCTGCGAGAATTTCAGAAATCCATCATGCGCGTCCGCCATCCAACAGGCATCCGTACGATCGTATTCTCCCCCGTCGTATGGTCCCCCCTTCAAGCTGTCGTAGGGCTAGACAACGGAAGCATCTACAGGTAACTTTGAAAATATCAATTTTGTTTTGAGGCTGACTTGTTGCCTCTGTTTCGTAGGTGGGACCTCAAGATGGGACAGCGGGGCTCGCTGGACCGTATTATAGTAGCCCATTCTGCCTCTGTAACTTCTTTGGATTGGTGCAGCACCTCCACTGCCACCAGCGCCTCAAGTCCTCCCACTTCTGAAACTACAGGAAATGGCTATGGTTGGATCGTAAGCGGAGGGTTGGATCGTTGCGTAAACGTCTGGGATTTAACCTCGGTGACGAATAGTAAAAGTTCGCATATGCCGCACAAGCCAACGTATACCCTACACCCATCCTTTCAAGTCCGGCGCGTCCTCTGGCGACCCTCACACGAATGCGAAATCGCTGTAATCTCAAATGGTGAATTCAGCTCAGGGAGTAATCCTGAGATGGGTTCCAACGCGACTCCTACTGTTTTACCAAACACGCCTGGTGTACCAGTTCGAACGCCTTCAACGCGGAACGTTCAAGGTGGACAGGGTATATTAACTAAGAAAGGAACTGGGTTCGGTCTTGGTCTTGATATGTCAGGCAATGAGGGTCTGCGGAGCAAGAATGGAATAGGTGGCTTTGCAGTTACGGGGAGTCCCAAAGGATCTTCACAAATCGATGGTGGAGTTGGTGACGTAACAGAAATTTGGGATGTAAGGAGAGGTTGGATAGCGAAATGGCATGTCAACGGAAGTGCTGCTGAAGGTGGTTCAACCGGTATGTGTTACCCCATTTTCTTGAGTTATATCTAAGCCAGAATTATGTTGTTGTAGACTTTGCTTTTGGCGATCCAAATACGTTATGGACTCAACACGGCTCTGGAATGTTTTCTCAACTCGATCTACGGGACGCCACCAAGCCTATCGATGCCATCCCTCAAGTTTCACTTACTTCGAATGCATCTGGCTCGTTGACCTTTGTGTCCAGCTCGGCGAGCCGTTGGGAAATACCATATGATGATATGTAAGTCAAAGTCAGAATGTCCTGATACTAGGCGCAATGTTTCTGACTTCATCGTTAGTCGGCCTGAGGTACTCAAGCGGGCTATCAAGTATGGAATTAAACAGAAAGGGATTGGGGATACTGTGTTCCAGAACACCTCCCAAGTCATTGGGACGCTGGATGGTCTGGCATTTGATAGTCTTCAGACATTTGTGCATTTGGCGAAAACATATGTAATCGAAGGTGAAGACCGGCGGAAGATTTGCAGCTCCAACGCGCAGGTAGGATAAACACACTCTGTAATGGTCAAGGAAAAATCACATTCTTCTTAACAGATCGCTTTTGAGGCAGGGCATTTAGGAGCAGCACAAATTTGGACATTAGTGGCAGTGTCGTTGACTAACATTATCCCCAATCCTCCAACCCGACCGCCCTCCAAAAACAATATGGTCCACTCCGTTTCTGCACCTGCCATAGTATCCCATGGAGCTGACACTAGCCCAGGAGGCAAATCCACTCGTGGATCCGAGAAAGCTTCATCAATCTACAGTAAACAACTGTACACTCGCAGTCTTTCTAGAGCTTCAGGACATACAAGGCGTACAACACCTTCGTCATCCAATAATACTTCACCTCATTACGGTCTGACTTCGCTTCCTCCTATGACGCCAATGTCCGGAAGGCTCCCTGCTTATCTTGGAAGACGAGAATCCATTGATTCAAGTATCAATGGTGTACCAAGTATGACCTCCAGAAGACCCTCAGTGTATCGACGCCCTTCGACATCGTACAGTGCCAGTCCCAGCAGCTCGAGCTTGAAGCATGTCGGTGAAGGCGCTTTGGATGATTCAGACAGCAGCTCGTCATCTGAGGGCGAGGTTAACGATAATCAATCCAAAGACAGTTTCTTCGACGAAGAATCAGATATGCGAAAGACCCACGTCTCTCCAGCGGTCGCCACCTCGCGAATTTCTCATCCCAGTCCACTTTCGCGTGTGGCTGGACAGCATCAGTGGAAGGGGAACGACGCAGAGGGGGAAGTGCAAGATGATGAGAACGACGACGATGAAGCTTCGGCTTCTCCGAGATCAACTGACAGCGAGGCGTCGAATGGTGGTAACACCAGTCTAACTCGAACCGGAATTTCTTCAAATCGCAGATCTCTCAAACGTAGTTCAACTTCGTTGACAAAGAGGAATACCAAGACAAGAGGTCAAAGTGCGAGCTTCCTCACACCTGTTTCTTCTCACTTGTCTATGTCGTCTCAACAAAAGCCACTCGTTCGACAGGACTCCAATAGTAGCATACGCACAGTTATTGCTGGCGGGGAAGTTTCGTATCGTGGTGATCGGAATGAAGGAAATTCCCTCAAAGCTGAAGAGACTATTAAACAATTGCGGAATGTGTCTATTCAACAGCGTAAAGATAAAACATCCTTGCCGGAGATAATGGAAGGACAATTCGACGGAGAAGTTCTGCCTTCGAGACAGGTCGTCTGGACACAAAGGCACGAGGATATAGTAGAAAAGGAGGAAGGGAAGATAAGAAACGTTGTTTGGGCTGCAGTGTACCAGAAGCTCGAAGAATTCGCTGATGATGTGAGCCGACTTTTAATTGATCCTTGTCATGAATGATCTTATACATAAACCTAAGGGAGATATTCAGATGTGTGCTATGTTAGCTATCCTTATTTCTAAAGAGTTACGCCTGGGGAAACGACGACAACTGATGTTCATCGACAGTTACATCGGTATGCAACGCATTGAAACTATCTTTTTTCGTCTATACTTACCATGATTTCAGAACGACTTATTCGATTACAACTATTTACTTGTGCATCCTACATCAGGAAGCATGTCCTAGTAGAAGACATTCAAAAACCCTCCCTGGTCGAAACCGTTATTTACACCGCCTGTGGGCGTTGTAAGAGGGCTTTTGTCAGTACTTCTCAATCATCTGTTACTGGGGAGTATTCCTATTGCACTAATTGCAGGCTTTCAATCACATGTGGCATCTGGTGAGTTCGCTCTTGTATTCTAAGGATGGTGTAGGATGCAAACTCTCAACAGTCGCCTTCCTGTCCGAGGTCTGATGTTTCAGTGCTCTGTTTGTGCTCATGGAGGTCACCAATCATGCTACCGAAGATACTACACAACTCGCCCGATGGATGTCCTGTCTCACGTTCCAACTGTCCTTTCCAAAGCGGGACAAACAACCTCAGGTAGTGTGATATCCAGAAGTACTGCAAGCACTGCGAGTACCGCTGGCACGGATGATGAAGCAACGAGTACGACCAGCACCAGTAATCGGGACACATCCAGTGAGACTGGCGTCGAACCTTCGGAGACGACTTCACACGCAAGGTTACTATTGGGACATCCTTGCGTCGTCCCGCTTTGTGGTCATCACTGTTGGATTGCAAACATAGAAGACAATAGAGGAGTTTAAGATTGCGAATCATTATCTCTATGTACAATACTCGGTAAATAATTTGTACTTCGCGTAATACTCTTTGTACACGTATGAGGATCAGAATGAGTCATGGTACATGGTCATAGCTTCATAATCATCCATTTCATCGTCGGTGAGGTAGTTCGACACAGTGGAAGCTTTGTTCCTCTTTGAGGTGGTGGATGCACCGGTGGAATGCGAATCGTTCCATGCCAATACGGTAGGATGTGCGGTGACTCTGCAAACGACGCGTCAGGGTATTGATTGCAGCGCGTTTCATTATCAAATAGCTTACTTGGAAGGGTCAAAATTGAGCACCTGTAGATGCTTCAAGTTGGTCGCTCGCGACAGCGCAACATATGCTACACAGATATTGGGTCAGCTGGAGTGAGACATTCATCAACAGATAAAGTAAAGACCTTGTCCCTTTTCGAAAACTTTTCCTAGATCTACTTTGACTCGCTCCAGAGTCTGCCCTTGTGACTTATGGATACTTAATGCCCACGCAAGAATGAGGGGAATCTAGAGGGGACATTAAATTATTTATCCCAGGTTAAACTGAACTTTCCAATGTTACCTGATCTCTTCTGGCTTCCATTATGCCCAGCGGACTATTTACTGTAAACTCGAGCGGGATGCAAAGCATCTCCCTTCCGTTAGTAAAACGGATGACTGGCCAAACACGGGCATTAGAGGATGGGTTGTTCTCATCCTCTTCCTTCCCTTCCGCCTCCTCTTCTTGTTCTGGTTCGTACATTGTTTGAAAGGGCATGTTCTGACCGGAATCTATTCGGGCAACGGATATTCCGTTCTTGAGGGCCTGTTTACTAGTGCTGAAGTTCGTGATAGTGCCAACTGAACCATTGACCAAGGAGCCTTGCTCTAGGTTCTGGTCTTTTGTAAGAACATAGTATGGCCATCTAACGTGACAAGATCACTTACCTTGACTAGCATAACTTGAGCGCCCACCTACCAAAATGATCAGAATACTAGAATCACTGTTCAGATCAAGGCCAGGTCTACCTTCAGTGTAATGGACTGGGGAACAACAAGTCTTTCCAACAGACGCTCCATCTGCGCATAGTTCAATGTATTTCCATTAGCGTCTGTTCCAGGGATGTCCATCGCGCGATAAGTATGAGAATCTCCAGGCAAGCTCGAAAGTCGAGTGTTGTTTGCCCGATCCACATCAGCTCGATGAGGAAATCTACAATTAACAATCAGATAAACATATCTATGAATAATGTCAGACAGGCGTACAGTTCTGTAGGTTGAACACCGTCCTCGTAAGTGACATCACGATTCAAAGCCTTGAAAGCTTTGATCGTGGATTCAGACATTGTACCGAATCGCATCTCATTCAGCATATTGACAAAACCTGTGGAACGACAATCAGAGCAAACCCTACAGCGCAGACATCCACTTACTTTGATCTTTCTGGCGGAAAACTTTCTTCAATATGACTGGTGGGCCAACACAGTCCCATGTTTGGGCTTCAAAGGCAAATGTGGCCGGTGCTTTATTACTATCTCGCTTATTAGGAACAGGAGGAAGCTGACAGAAGTCACCAGAGAGGACAAGCTACAATGGAGAAATCGACATCAGAGTATGAGGACCGGCTTTGGATTACCGACCTGGATGCCGCCAAAGGGGGTCTCGGATCCGCGCAACTCTCGACCTATACATTCCTGACCAAGATAACGAATGAGATAAGATGGGGAACAAAGAATGATATATTGACCAGCTTGTCAAACAAACCACCATCAAGCATAGAAACTAATGTGAGGTCAGGGCAAATTCACTGGCATACATCGGGACAGATTTCTTCACTTTCGTCGACAATGAGGGCATGAACGTTTCTCCAACGGTCCCAGACACTACGAAGTTTTTTCTGACCGCGGAACTTGCCAACGTAGGTCTTCGTTGGTTCTTCGCCCAAGCCTATTCCTGCCCACGAATGGATAGTACTGCCTCCTATGTTAACAGCTGCGATGCCTAGATACACATTGAGGAAGTATATTTCTCGACATCATAGGAGTTCTCCACACCTGTGCTGGCAGTGATAGCGACTTTCTTATTGGTACTTCTGAAGTAACGAATAATTTCGCGAAGTAAAACAGATTTCCCAGTCCCTAGGCTGATTGTCAAAAAGTGAAGGTTATTATAAATAGTCACTGATCGGACGCGTACCCGCAGAACCTGTGAAGAACACATTCTCCCCCTTTTCCACCTTCTTCAGTACCTTCTTCTGCTCCGGGGAGAGCACAATCTCAGTTGGAGACGAGCCAGTCGCTCCTAAAGGGGGGGTATCGATAATTTCGATGTCTGAATCGTCGCTTATAGGTGTAGGGGGCATTTGCTTTCGTGCGGTAATCGATGAGCGCGCTGTCTTTGAGGGTACAGGCCCTGTCGCGACTACTTCAACCTCAGAGTCTGAGTCAGCAGATGGCTCTCGTCCTGGATTCGAGCTTAACGATATTGCAGAAGCTGGAGGACGATGATGAGCGGCGACGAAACACTACAATGAGAATGTTTGCGCACCAAGCCAATCTTGTGCATCTTGGTAGGTCGAAAAGCCGCGATGTTTCGCGCCTGGATAGCGGGATGTCTAGGGAGTACACTCAGAGCACCGTGGCGCAAATTGCCTGTAAGTGGAACGCTACATTTTGTTTACACTATCGGTCCAGGCGAATTCGTTCATCTGATAATAATTATAGAGAGTTGATTGATTGTAACGTACTTCATCCCATGAATTATATATCTTGGGCCCCTCTCTTCCTATACAAACAGCGTAGTAGCTCTTCTTTGAAGCTTTTGGCATCGTTAGTACATGTTGGACTTCTGGCTAGAGTAGCGCTCGAAAGCGGCAGCGCGGTCACGGGACTTATCGCCACGAGGCTCGAAGTCACTCTAATTTCGCTTGAGGTTTACTGCTCATCTTGGGCTCGTCACCCGCAATCTGGAACATGGGTGCAATGCAATATTTTGTGGTAATCGGGCAAAAAGGTGCCCAGATTGAAGAGGTCATGGAAGAAGTATGTCGTCTTCCACTCCTCTGGTGTGCAATTCCAACATCTCTGCGTTCTTTTATAGGTCGTACCGGTCAAATATTCAGCCAAGTCTTTCTTAGCGTTCGCTCATCTCTACCTTAGCATCACTTCAACCAAGCTGGATTCAAGTCGCGCTCCGAAGCTGAACATTGCGTGAAAGCTGTTGAGGTTAATCTGCAACCATCTCTACCCAATACAAACAATGGTTCGGATCGCTACCCAAATTCCTCCACACATTGGGAAGAGTCCGATGAAATAATCCTTCCAATACCCTCTCCGTCGCCGACTCCCGACCTGCCGACCGGGCCAACAGCGATGATAGAGTCTGCTCCGCTAAACGTAAATCAGACAGCTCAAGTTGGTGTAATTAAACTCTCCAAGGAGCAAAAACAAGTCCTGGAAACTGTTAAAGCGGGCGGCAATGTCTTTTTCACGGGGCCTGCAGGTGACTACGGGCTCCCAACTAAACCTCTTTTGCACAAATTCTAAACCTCCACAGGAACTGGCAAATCTGTTCTTTTGCGGGAAATCATCAAAGTTCTTCGATCCAGGAAACTGGAGGTTGCGGTAACGGCGAGTACTGGGATTGCAGGTATCAGGTGTCTTTGGGAACGAAAGTGCAATATTTAGTTGAGGTTGTTGCAGGTATCAATATCAAGGGATCCACTGTGCACTCCTGGGCCGGCATAGGCCTTGGCAAAGAAAAAGCCGCAATACTTGCTTCAAGAATTGCAAACTCTACCCACGCTAGGTTAAGCTGGACCGAAACCGACGTTTTGATCATCGATGAAAGTGCGATCTTGGTTAATACCACCATTTTATTTACTGAATCGAGTTTAGTATCGATGATAGATGGCAGACTCTTCGACAAACTTGTGAGGACCCGTCTTCCGAGGCTGATAAGTTCTTACCTTGCACTACAGGAATATATTGGTCGGATCGTGCGAAACAACTCACGTCCGTTTGGCGGGATACAGGTATGTCTCCCAAATTTCATGGCCGAGAAACTATCGTACTAGATCTTTCTTCAGCTCGTCATTTCCGGTGATTTCTTCCAACTTCCACCGGTTCCAGACAAAAGTTACCAACACAAAATGCCTTCTGTCTTTGCTTTTGATGCCGAATCATGGCCTCTATGTATCAAAAAGATCGTTTTATTGACCCATGTATTCCGCCAACGCGACCAAGGTTTGTAGCGGATTGAATCCTCAAATTTTCTCAACCAAGTTCATCTCCAACAGCATTTGTTGATATTCTTGCGGAAATGAGGGTCGGAAAACTTTCCGATGATCATATCAAAGCCCTTCATGCGCTCAGACGTCCTGTAGTCCATCCCGATGGTATCGAGCCATCTCATCTGTACGTCTTATGCTGTATACAATGAGGGTGGTCCTTGATAGGACATCAAAGATTCGCCACGAAATTGGAGGTTCAGGATTGTAATCAAAGAAAACTAGATGCACTGCGGAGCACCTCCGTCACTTACCATAGTATGGATTATCGAGGCATAGATGTTCACAAAAATCTCATCGACAAAAAAGAGGCAGCGAGGCTACTTTCTGAGCAGGTGGCGCTAGAGGAGGTTACCTTCAAGGTAAAAATGATCGTGTAGTATTGTAACAGACAAAGTCGTCTCACGCTGATCTTACGAACTAGGTTGGAGCCCAGGTTATGCTCATTACTGTGATATCATTTCTATGTTCACATGTATCGCTTCTCATACTACAATCTCCAGAACGTCATTCAAGGAAGCTTGGTCAACGGATCTCTCGGCAAAGTTATTGGCTTCATGACCACACATCAAGCTCTTCAAGAACACATCCGAGTCGTTGAAATGAGGCAAGTCGGCGGGCCTCGCGCAACTGCAAAGAATCAAGTCCCCACAAAACGTCCCAGAATCGAATCGAATGATCCTGAACTAGAATTCGAGCCTTTGACTACTGCTGAATTCACGAAAGACGAAAAATGGCCACTTGTCGAGTTTACTTCTGGTCTTTTACTTCTTTGCTCCCCAGAAAACTTCACTATTGAAGGTTTTCTCGGAAACGTGGAAGCCAAGAGAATTCAAGTTCCTCTGATTTTGGCATGGGCGTTGTCAATTCACAAGTCGCAGGGTCAAACATTAGAAAGAGTCAAAGTCGATCTAGGGAGAGTATTTGAAAATGGTCAAGGTAAAGCGGCATATTCCCTTCACACCCATTCTCTGATACGAGTTTCAATATTGTTTTCTCTAGCATATGTCGCTTTATCTCGCGCTACTTCCCTGGAGGGATTGGAGATTGTAAATTTCAATCCGGCAAAGTGAGTGATCATCTCACAGACCAAAATAGTATCACTCAATCACTGATAGAATCCAGGCCCATTCTCGTGTTCTTGCTTGGCAAAAGCAGTGGATGCCTCAAAGTCTTATCAAGACTCTGAACAAGACCCAGATATCAGAGGTTTCGAAGAGGCCTTCAACTCCAACGCGCGCAACAACCTTGCCAAGCCCGCGTTCATTGGTTCGTTCAACCAAACAACGTCAGCCCGATCCAGACAGAACCTTATACGACGATGCGGAGATGGACTGTGATGAGGCCATATCTCGATATCACGACCATCTACCCATTTCTCCATCTCGTTAGACTTGAGCCGTATCTCACCATGCATCTAGCGGACATCTAACGTACTCCCTCCATCTTTTAAGTATCTATCTTTAACGTCCATATAGTTTTCGACTTTGCTATCTGTAACACGCAATGAATGTACTATTTAGAAACTATTACTACTACACGCCACACATTTTGGCAATGGAATATACACTATTTGATTTTGTGCAATACAAAGGAATATCAGAATATAAGAAGTGGGTTGATGTTCAGTGGTGTTTGCGGGGTAGGAAATAGGTCAGCATGATGTACGTTGTGTCAGAAATGACAAACACTTTGTGCACGTCCTGGACGAAAGAAAGAAGAGGGGTATTCAAGTTGGAGTCTGGATATCGTCATAAGGACTAGGATACAAAGATAATCGCCTACGTAATAGCCATGAATTATCATAGAGAAAACAAAAAGTAGTCATGCATAATAGATAGTCACTTCAATTTTGTCCAAAAAATAAAAAAGAAAACAGAAGAGGAACAAAAAGAAACTGCGATCAAGACTACGGATGATGTGGTGATGGTGGTCTCGCAGAAGAGGGACTCGAAGGTATCACGACCTTCACTGTCTCGCCCGACTCCGATTCGCCTATAATCGGTAGAGTGGGTGACCGCGGATCTGCTATAGACGACGTCCGGGTAAGACTTTCCTCACCACCACCATTCACCGACCCAGAATCATCCGTTTCAAAGACGGACGAAGTCGCAGAGGGAGGTGAACTTTGCGGTGGTGTTATATCGCCTAACGAGCCCTGCGACTGTGCGGGCCGAAGTCGTGAGGGTAACGGTGGGGGGCCCATATCCGTGTTCATACGTTCCTTCGTCGGAGACGATGGGCCCCGTGCAGATGGATGAATGCTATTCGCCGGGCGTGGAGGCAATTTCGGCGTAAAGTCTTCTGAATTTGGTGATAAACCTATATTACGCAGAGGCGGGGGAATGCTGACGATCTTCGTGGTCTTGGATCCGTACGAGTACACAGGAGTGGGTTCTCCTGGAGGAGGGGCCGGTAACGGATGTGCACGGTTGTTGTTGTTGTTAGTATTTAACTCTTTTGAATCTTCGGAGAAGAGCGTGTGAGCGTTGCTGATAAGATCTTCCATCAACGAATCATTCCATTGTTGCACGCTCAATAGATCCCCGGTTTTAGGGATTTCGTCTTCGCCAAATATGACACCACCAAATACGATTGCAAGGTTTTTTGGGTCCATTTTGTTCTTGTCGGAATTAGCTGCTACTCGCGCGAGATGTTCGACGAGGGCTTTAAGGGTAGCGTAGTGAACAGCGGGTAGGCGTCGCATTTTGGAACGGAGTAGGGCGAAGTTGTTGGAATGGTGTTCCGCTATGCACAAACGCTATTATTCAGACCAATTTCCCAACGATGATGAAAATAAACACACCGATATCCTGGGTATGCTGTATGCGGTCTTGTAATGAGAATCTGAATACTGGTTCAGGTAGCTCTCGAAAATACAGCTGAGAAACTAAATGTGAATGCCGGCCCCAATAGATTGAATCGTAGAACAACACACCTTCATTAAAGACGCAACCGCATAAATATCATCCTTCGCTTTGAACTGAAACTTTTTCTCGTCCTTCTCATACTCATGCTGCAAAGTCTGCACAATCGCGTGCCTCCCAGACACTCTATAAATCCCTTCCGCATCTAATCCTCGCTTGTCGATCTCCGCAATGCACACCTTGACAATTTTCGGGACTTCACTCTCAGGCAAGTTCTTGGTCGTGGCATAGTCGAGGAGGCTGAACCCAAACGCCAAGTCATGACATTCGCCCACTTGGCCATGTTGATAAAGTATGGGATCGGGTATGGCAGAGGCCAGTGAGCGAGGGATATATGACATGAACCTATTTTTGTCTTTTTCTGGTGAAATCTTGTTTACGACGCCACGGGCGTGAGACGAAAGTTGAGTTTGGGTAGTAGTCGTAGCTGTCATATTGTCCGTATATCTCTCCAAAGCGACCTTTACAGTCGTTGAACATTCTTCGACAAACATGGATAGACTCTAAAAACGGACAAGGTCAAATCGAAATTTCATTGGAAACGGGCACCCATGAACGCACGTTGTACCCACTCTCCAGTATCTTCGTTCGTCTCAACCTCAGAGTCTCAAGCCAGTAAACAGCCTTGCGATACTCCTTATCAGCCTCTTCCAGTTCCCTCTTTGCCCGAACAGTGCGCAAAGCGCTGTTATTCTCTCGCCCGCCAAGACTTTCTTTCACAGATCCACTCTTGTCCAAAAAGCCCATGAGACTATTTAGTTGCTTTTTGCCATGTTGGGCGAGATCCGCGAACGCAGTGTTGGAAGAAGGAGATCGATTTCGGGCACCGGGAGCGCTACCTGACGGCCGACGATCAAGAGCCCGTAGAGGTTGGGGTGCGGTGACGTTTGGTCGAGTTGGACCTGGGAATTTAGAAAGTACTTGATAGTCCCCAGTGGGAATTGTAGGTGAAGTCGGAGGATTGGCTGCTGCGCGTTTGGATTCCTGACGCGACAAATGTAATGAGGCGTCTGAGAGAAGTATAACAAAGCTCTGACCTCTACTTCAGCAAATTTTTTCGTATATCGCGACTTTAATTTGGGTAAAGTGACTTCGGCGTATTCGTTGTACGCGGAGGTGGATTCCTTGAGATCTTCTTTGATTCGCTTTCTTATTCGTTCCTGGGTATCCTATAGTAGATGATTTAAGTACCTTGCCTGGAAACACTGTAAATGAGAGACCTTGAGCGACGTAAGAGGAGTTATGATGTCGGAATTTAGGGTATGAAGGAATGCCTGTCGGGCTTGAGCCTCTGAGAACAGCTTGACATTAGCGAAGCACGATATCTAAGGTAGCGAATACTCACCTCGCTCAATGTTTTCCCTTATTTCTACCCATGCAACTCGAGCCGTGCTCATATCGCTCCGATCATCGAGAAAAGAGTCTATTGATTTGACCTTCTTGTACAATTTCAGTAGCGATTCCACACTATTTTCCAGCTTTCAGGTTAGCTCCAAAAAGCATCGGAAGGTGAATAGTTCTCACTAATTGTCCTCGATTCGTTTCCTAAAAACAGAAGTTACTGCGTTGATAACAAAATACTAACAATTAGTCAATGCTTACCGTTCATTAAAGAAACTGAGGTAAGAATCATTCAAGAAGCGAATCTGGACATCAAAGAGGGGAATAGGACCATTTGTTTGAGGAGCTTCAGAGATAGAACTCCGCGATGGAGGTTGGTGAGTGTCTGTCATGAAGATCGTTGAAAATAAGCGCAGGTCACATCAGTTTGCCCCAATAAGCGCCAGCGATATCACAAGCTCACAAGTAAATTCGCTCCAAGCCTTCGACGGCGATTTGTGACGTAATTACTGGCTGTTGACATTGTGAAAAAAAAAGAATCACTGGAACCATACACGTTCGGGGGAGTTGTTGCTGCAAGGGCCCTACACCTTGCTTGTTTATTTGCAAATTTAACAGTTATATATATATTACTTTCAGCATTGATGAATCCTGTTCACAGATACTACTACAAGATAAATTTTAACGCTCTTAAGTGGAGGAAAAAGAGCCGAGGGTCAACACAAAGAATGCAATCAGGATGCGCATCAGAGCTCATCACAGGCAGTATTAGTAAAGTCCGGATGGATGACACCAAAAAACAATTTGAGTGTACAGCGGCCTGTGAAGAAGTCCAATGAGCGAGATGAGAGAGGAGAAGAGTAAAAGGCTAATAAAGGCAATGTACATTGTTATGGCTATGACTCTTCACGCGCACGTGCTAATTTGACTGGACCCATGTATAAAAAGTAGGGCGAATTTTTTTTTGCTTCTGAACCAAAATTTCCTCTTGCTGGCCAAGATCATCATCGCTCGTAAATCTTCATTGACTCTTGCTCAAAAATTGTCATGCGCCTCGTTACTGCCTCGCACCTTGTTGCGAGCGAAGCGAAGCAATACTGGCTAGAGGGCTGAACCGGGAAGTAAACAAATACAAATTGTTGTCGCGCAAACTCCCACGGAGTCGGAATACCCGCGGATGTGTACGGATGAGCGGATGCTGGGGCGGGGAGCTGTTCCTTTTTAAGTAGTGCTCTGTAGCCCCGTAACAAAAACAATCATTTAATTAATCATGATCAAACATAGTACGGAGGTGCGCCAGCACCGACCAAGACTATTGGATCTAGCACTTCGAAGCGAGCACCCCATGTGAGCCGTATTTGGATCGGAGGGGCCGAAGGCCCCCTCCGAGCCGGACGAAGGAGGCTCACATGCGAATGCATGTTAAATCTATGTATAACCGAATAAGGAAATATTAATATAAGCGCTCTGTACGTAAATTGATTGCAAATTGAAAAGTACGGGCGCCATTTTTCTTTATCTTCTCTTGCGCTTGAACCTGCCTGGACCTTCTTACCTCTCCCGGATACAATTTGGAAATTGCTGAATCCGATTGGAAGTTTTCGTTCAAGCTCTCTACGTCTACTATGGGCTCTCAAGTGATCCTTAATCCTGACAGTCTCGTCAATATCAATACGAGTCTAAGCGCGTAAGTCTCCTCTGCGAATTTTTCCAATTGCTAAATGGATATGATCAAATCAGCGTTTACACCAATTCGCTCATTATTCCCCTCTGTGTTTCCGCTGCTTCCATTCTGGGTTTTGTGATTCACTTGATAGCAAGAGTCGAGCCCGTTAGAAGATTATTCAGACGAATCGGAACAGTCCCCAATTCAGAGGAATCCGCAGCACCAGTCCAACCTGAAAACCTCATTCAGGAGCTCAATGCTCACGTAGGAAGTCGTGGAGGTCCTATTATCTACGTGTACATGTTAATTAGGCTTGTCGGCACGCTAGCTCTACTCGGATTGTCTATCACGAGTCTGATATTGGACGAGGTTAGACGAAATGGGAAACAGGGCTTGGAATTACTTGAAGGGCAGGAAGATATCGTAGATTCGCTGGGCAAGTGGGGCAAGAAACATCCAAAAAAGAAGTATGGTACTCATTACACCAAACGAGAATGGCTGGAGGCTGCTATGTGCCTCACATTCGTGCGTATCCCGTTCTCTCCCCATTAGTCTAAACTAGCTGACGCGTTTTGCGCAGCTTTATACCTCACTTCTGGCTCTGATATCGGTCACAGCTAAACCGAAGTGGAGTAAAGTTGCCACAAGACATCTCAACACTGTTCTCCTCGCCACGTTTTCTGTTTATCTGTACCGGGACGTGTATCCGCTGATAACTTTCACTCTCAAACCTAAGGACCTTTCAGAAGGTGGAATTCTATGGGCCAAAATTACTCTCCTCGCTGTCACTAGTGTGGTGATTCCTCTGGCAATTCCTCGGCCTTACGTCCCAGTTGACCCTAAAGTTCGTGCCTATATTTATGTACGTCCAAAAAGTTACTGATATCTAAATAGAATCCTTTACCGGAGCCAAGCCCAGAACAGACTGCATCAATCTTCTCATTAGCCACCTATGCTTTCATAGACCGATTGGTGCTGGCAGCGTACCGCGTCAGTCATTTGGATTTCAACCAACTACCCCTCCTGAGTGACCATGACTCTGCGAAGTACCTCAAGTCATCAAGTTTCAAGGTCAGAACACCCTTCATCTCTCGCTCACACAATCTGACAACTTACTCAGCATCTCGATGTGTTTTCTGGGGCACCAAAAAGACACCTATTTTTCGGCTTGATCCATATTTTCCGTAGCGCCTACGTGCAGCTTGCCGTGATGATTCTGGTGCATGTATTCGCGAACTTCGCCGCTCCTATTGGTCTCAACAGACTTTTGCGGTACCTTGAGCCTGGAGGTGAAAGGGCCGTGGTTCGTCCATGGTTCTGGATTCTCTGGCTATTTATCGGCCCTATTGGTGGAACTCTCTCAATTCAATGGTACGTTTTTGTCACGGTAAGTCCCTTGTTTTAAAGTTATCATCCGATATTTCTGAGGCTCAAATTCCTCTGTATTTCTGTAAAGACTCGGACACTAGTTCGCACTCAAGCAATCATCACGCAGCTCGTTTTCGAACACTCCCTCCGTATCCGTGTAAAGGCTGAGACCGCTGATTCGCCCGGAAGCTCCACATCGTCTTCACCGGAAACACTCACTCCCGACTCTGCATCTGTTCATGAAGGAACTGTCGATGGTTCCGACACAATACATTCCATTAGCCCAAGCGAAGCCGAATCCACAACCGTGCATTCCAGTACCACATCTGTAACAGACAAGGGTAAAGCGAAGAAAACTGACAAACGCACCAAAAAGGAAAATGATGACGCCCCTTCATCTGATACGAACAACCTCGTTGGAAAGATAAACAATCTTGTTACGACTGATTTGGACAATATCACCGACGGGCGAGATTTTCTCTTCGTTCTTATCTATATCCCAGTGCAAATTGTGTTGTGTATGGTATTCTTATACGCGGTTTTGGGATGGAGCTGTTTCGTAGGATTGGGGGTCATGATTGTCTCATTCCCGTTACCGGGGATGATAGCCAAGTACGTTAAGCGGGCTCAAGAGAAAAGGTTGAAGAAGACAGATGCTAGGGTGCAGTCTGTCAGTGAATGTACGTCTATCCTTCCCAAGTTGTGAGTGACCCCGCATCTAATCATTCTGTAGCTATGAATGTTCTGCGGATGATCAAATTGTTTGGTTGGGAAAGCAAGATGGAGTCAAGGATTGCAGAGAAGAGAGATGAGGAGTTGGTTTGGATTAGGAGACGCCAGATTCTGGAGATGATCAATGGTATCATTACGTGAGTAATTATGTACAGTTGGTGTGCATTCTGACCATTCGACTCTAGATACATTGTGAGTAATAATGCCGCCAACCTGATTCACTTTTGACCAAGTCTACCGGCATAGATCCCTCTAATCACGATGATAGCGACCTTTGTGACATAGTATGCCAAAGTTCTCTTCCTTTACAGTGATGCTTGACTAACGTCTTGATCCAGTGTCAGTCATAGAATATATTCTCAGGATCAGTAACTCACCCCTCTTCCAGAGCGTCATCATGAAGCAGACTATACACGCTTCAGTAATTTATAGCTCCATGACCGTATTCGACATGCTGCGCGAGCAAATGCGCATCATTTTTCGGTCCATCAATGATACCGTAACCGCGAAAGTATCACTTGACCGCGTTTCCGACTTTTTGAAGAACGTCCGTGCCTTATTGTGCCTTACCATTACAATTCATCTAATATCATCCTCCACATAGACAGAGCTCCTTGACTCGTTCTCTGACAAGGCACCTGAGAGTGATGATTACTTCGTGCCCGCCGACGCAGTTTCTGACCCGCAGAAGATTGGCTTTCGCAACGCCCATTTTACTTGGTCCTCCGACGTGAATGGATCTCTGACACCTTCAAAGCGCAGGTTTACGCTCAGGATCGAGGGTGAACTCTTATTCAAGCCCAAATGTGTTAATTTGGTCATTGGAGAAACTGGTTCAGGAAAGACATCATTGTTGATGGCTTTGCTATGTAAGTTCCAACATTCGAAACAACGAAATTTGACGAATAATGGTCATCGATACATAGCGGAAATGCATTTCGTTCCTTTTGGGCCTGATTCATGGTATAATCTTCCTCGAGAAGGAGGCATCGCTTACGCCGCCCAGGAATCTTGGGTACAGAATGAGACAATCAGAGTAAGTCGTTCTCTCACCATCCCAAATGCAGGCGGAAGTCAAACGAACGCAAATTACGTTAGGAAAACATTGTTTTCGGCTCACCGTTCGACCAAGAACGGTACAACAAGGTTCTCTACCAATGTGGCCTCGAACGCGACATTGGTTTGTTTGAGGCCGGCGATGCAACAGAAGTTGGTGAAAAGGGCTTAACCTTGAGTGGCGGTCAAAAGGCTCGCATCACTCTTGCGAGGGCTATATACTCTAAGGCGGAGATCATCCTGTTGGATGACGTTTTGGCTGCGCTTGAGTGAGAACTTACTCTTCATCCCAGGATGCCCAAAGTTGACAACGCTTCTTGCAGTGTGCATACTGCCAAATGGATTGTCGACAAGTGCTTTTCTGGTGATCTTATGGAAGGCAGGACAATGATCCTGGTAGTAAGTCGGAGTTTCAGCAAAGGGCATTAGGTCGACGATCTGACAGGTGCTACCTTAGACGCACAATATTGCAGTTACTCGACCAATCGCTGGCTTTGTGGTAGCTATCAAAGAAGGCCGCATTGAAAGTCAAGGGACCGTCCTAGAGGCATTAGGGAACGATTCAGCATTAGCGGAAGAGGCGAACAAAGAACAGCAAATCATCGACAAAACAGATGAAGAGGTAGACGAAAAGCCACCAGCAGAAGAAACAAAGGCAGACGGGAAACTAATTGTGGCGGAAGAAATTCAAGAAGGGCATGTAAGTTGGTCTGCAGGTTTGTGGTTTGGGTTCATCCGTTCAAACCGCAATTGACATGACACTACAACAGTGAAAATGTATTTGACGAGCATGGGAGGCCAATACACTTGGGCTTTCTTTTTCGCATTTATCTTCGCCATGTTCATTACCGAAATCCTCAATGCGTTTTATACTTGGTTCTTGGGATATTGGGCCTCACAATATGAGACCCATGATCCCGCGTCTGTCAGCGTTTCACAGTATGCACTTCCCTTCCTATTTCGTTGCGTTGATCTGCTAACTGTTTACCAGCTACATTGGAATATACTGTGAGTTCCGCCGTGGTCTGCGCCTCTTGACCCAATTCCTATTTGATTTCACCAGGTCTTATCCTGGCTAGTGCCGTCGTATCCTATTCCATAGGTGTCATCATCTATATTTTCGGGACCGTCCGTGCGTCCAGGGCGATTCACAAGGAACTCATTTTATCGATATTTGGTACGACTTTAAGGTAATACCAGTTATTGAAAACCCGCCACCTAGAATGCTTATAACCGTTCTTTGTCTAAATCAGATGGCTAGACACCACCCCTACCTCCCGTGTTATTGCAAGATGCACCCAAGATATTCGCGCAGGTGAGTTTATATCAGTGATGGCTGCAATTGAAGGTAATAACTTTGTTTCTCCCAGTGGACGGCCCAGTAGCAATGTGGCTGCAAGCAGTTTCCGAAATCTCGATGATGATGATTTTGAAGTACACGGCTGTTGTCGTGATCACACCTATATTTTTCTTTCCTGGTGTTGCCGTCGCATTTCTCGGAGCAGTATGTGGTCAAGTTTATATCAAGGCCCAGTTGTCGGTTAAGCGCGAAATGTCTAATGCTAGAGCTCCAGTTCTCGGACAGTGGGTCGATTTTCGTTTCTTGTTCTGCATATTGAGATTTAACGTATTGACTATAGTTTCGGTGCTGCTATCGCGGGGCTCAGTGAGTTGCAATTCTTTTGGGATCAACAATCTGCTAATTAGGGATCTCCAGCGTCCATTCGAGCATATGGTGCCCAAGAGGCTTTTAAAGCGGAGTCGTTACGTCGTATTGACAAATTTACTCGTGCTGCCAGAACATATTATAACTTGAATCGATGGATCACCATACGGGTCGATGTACTGGGAGCTCTGCTCAGCTGCTTTTTGGCTGTATATTTAGTTTACTATCGCGGTCAGTCTGCCTCCAACACGGGATTCTCATTGAACATGGCCGGTAAAGTACCCGTACATCCAGTATTATCTTTTCTTACAGTTGGCCCTGTAGTCGGTTTTAGCTCCTTGATTTTATGGTGGGTTCGTACACTGAATGAGTTTGAAGTACAAGGTCAGTTTACTCCTCAGCTGTACTTGACTTCATCTGATTCGTATCTCCTTCACCATTGAATAGGGAATAGGTATGCCTCACAACAACGTTCCTATGTTGGTCTAATTCTTTTTGTGAACTATTAGTCTTGAACGTATACAAGATTATATCACCATTGAACAAGAGCCAAAGCCTAAAGCAGAGACTGTACCTCCTGCGTATTGGCCAGCTTCCGGTAATCTTCGCGTTGAGAAACTCTCTGCACGTTACTCCCAAGATGGTCCAAAGGTGCTCCACGATATATCGTTCGATATACGGTCTGGAGAACGGGTTGGTATTGGTGAGTAATTTGTGTCGTGATCGATATTAGAATCTCCATTTATGCCATTTGAGCAGTCGGGCGTACGGGATCCGGTAAAGTGCGCATCTTACTTCAGCTGTTTGTGATTAAGTCCTCATTATTGACCTTGGAAGAGCTCCCTCACATTGTCGCTTTTGCGCTGCATTTTCACTGAAGGAACCGTGTACTATGATGGAATTCCGACCGACAAAGTTAATCTCGATGCTTTACGCTCAAATATCACAATCATTCCGCAAGTTGTAGGTATCATCTGCGTTCTAATCCTTGATATAGCACTTACGAATACCGACAGCCTGAGCTTCTTAGTGGTACACTTCGACAAAATCTTGACCCTTTCGATCAATACGATGATGCGACGTTGAACGATGCTCTACGTGCCGCGGGTCTTTTCGCACTCCAAAGTGACATGAACGAGGGTCGAATCACTCTGGATAGCTCAATCTCTAGCGGTGGAGGTAACCTTTCGGTTGGTCAACGGCAGATACTAGCGTTAGCCCGAGCACTTGTACGTGGGTCGAAGCTCCTTATTCTAGACGAAGGTATGCTCTTTATTTGAGTCATCATTCGGCCAAATAATCAGGATTTTCAGCAACATCTGCCATAGGTCGGTATACAGGATCCTTCATTACCGTTGATGAAAATATTCTGACAATATTTGGACCTCAGACTATAGAACCGATTCTATCATTCAAGACTCCCTTCGAAACGAACTGAAGGGTGATATTACTCTGATCACGGTGGCGCATCGCCTGCAGACGATAATGGATGCTGACAAAATTGTTCGTTTCTAACGCAAGGTTTTGCTTGATCTTCCGTACTGACTTGTTGATCCATTTGTTTCAACACTGCAATTAGATGGTGCTGGATGCAGGACGAATTGTATGTTTTGTTGTCTTGGCTTCATTTCTCCAGACTGACCTGATCGCGCTCGCTCTTCAGGTTGAGTTTGACAGTCCGCAAGCCCTATTGAAGATCAAGGATGGAAAATTGCGATCTCTCGTTGATCAGAGCAACGACAAGGATAGCTTGTACACCATGGTAACGAGAGCAAGATAGTTAAATTGGGGATGAGATATAGATGATGAGATGAGCTTGATCTTGAATGCAACTTCATTTAACATATATTCAAGAGGATTTACAAGATGAGACCATGTAGTATAGTAATTAGCTGGAACGTTTAGATAGTGCTGTATATAGACAAAAAATTGAAAAGACTTGAAGGCGACAAAATCGTTCGTTTTTGCTGGGACTAGGCTCTTCTATACAAGTCTGGAGCATCGCGTCCTGAGCGGCTGTAATCCCTACTAGAACGCGGAGGAGGCCCAGGAGGGGTTGACGCGTAGTTACCATTTTGGGGGCCCGAGGGATAGTCATACACAGCAGCCGAGCGAGGAGGAGGACTTGCAGAACGCCTAACAACGAATGAGCAAAAAAAAGAACAGACTGTGAGATTAAGCAGCGTCTTACCTAGGGTATCGTTCTGGAGTCATGGCTCTAGGCGGAGGATAATCTGAATAGCGCGGAGGTGTCACAGGCCTTCCACGATCCCGTAGGTCGTAATCACTAGATAGGCACGTGTGGGTGAGTGGCTAAGGCAGTGACAAGAAGGGGGCTAACCGTGGTGGAGGATAATCATCGCGATACTTGGGAGGTGTCCGAGATCGTCCGAGCGGCACCACAGGGGGAGGCGGAGGGGGCGGATAATTACTGTATTTTGAATCGCGGCTGTAGCGGTCGTAGCGATCGTAGGCATAGGGAGAAGGAGGCGCAGCACGACGGTAAGCAGGTTCAGGGTATCGACTACTACTATTTCGATAATCAGGCGGGGGCGGCGGAGGGACATAGCGGTCGCGTTCTCTAGGGTAATCATCGTATCGAGAGCGAGGCGGGGGCGGAGGGTAGTAATCACGAGGAGGCGAAAGAGGCCGGCGATAGTCACGGGGAGGAGGATAGTCGTAGCGAGAAGCACGAGTGTCACGAGCATCACGAAGAGGGGACAGCCGATGAGGACTCCGCGGTGGAGGAGGAAGATGATCTCGGTGAGCGCGATCAATGCGGTCAATCAACGATGCTTCGTTGCGACGAGAAGAGCTACTAGGAGGTCTGACGAAAGTCCAATCGTGGTCAACAACATTCAAAGCTTGGCAGTTTTAAACACTCACGGTCCTGGATGAAGAGGGCATTCCCTAAAATTTGAAAATGAGGTGACATTTCCCAACATTTGTAGAATTATTCACCTAGCCCAGTGGCCCAACTGTCCGCATCTAAAACACGACAACGGGTCACCAGCGTACTTTGCAGTCCTACCTCCTCCACGAGAAAGCTCGACTCGGATTTTGTTGCCCATGAATGTACCTTCATGGTATTTGCTTACACTCATTTCAGCAGCTTCGCGGGTATCAAATTCCTAGGACGTAATAAACGATGATGGTGTGTGTGTCCGATGGAAAGAAAGCACATACGACAAAACCGTATCCAGCTCTAGAAAAGGGGGGAAAGTTCAGTAACGACTACGATCAGGCAGCAGTGACAACGCACTTGAGTTCAACACCCACTATGTTCCCAATCTTTCCAAAACAATTTTGTAGATCCTCTTGCCTTGTATGTTCCGGAAGGCCACCAATATATACTTTGTTCGGCTAGACAGATAGCAGAAAGTAAACACCCAGAACGATTCGGCAAAACATATTTTTGAAGGTAAGACGTGGTTGTGAGGTGAAAACATTCCAGAACAAACAAGTGGCCAACACCAGAGCTTCCAAAGAAGACAACTAGGAGAGCGTAGCAGAGAAGAAACCCGCATAGAAGCCTCAGATGATGATATTTGTGTTTCGTGTGTACTCCTTTCCCGATTCAAGTTGGGATACTGGCTTGTTCGTCTTACCGTGAAACAAAACTGGAGTGGAGGACAGTGATAACAGAAGAGAAGACCTAAGCACCTTGACCTGCTTTTCACGAAGCACAGGAGGTTCGACATCTGGTTTTGGGGGAATTGAAGCACTGATGTTGGAGCCACGGGAATAGTCTACAGGATTTTCATTGTCCGGGCCCAGTAGTTTGTGATGATCATCGCCACCGTTCATGGCATCCAGGCTACCGCCATCGTCAGGGCCTGTTGCCTGCTCGTAGGCATCCTGTTTTTGCTCGCCATCTAGGACAGGAGAAGGTGGAACAGACATAGATGATGAAAGAAAGAAACCAAAACTTTTTTCTGACTAAGCCGCTTTGCAACAAATAAAGCTAAATTGTTTATGATCCTCAAAGTCCTTTGTCGGTGGTAGATAGCTATATATTCGTACGTACGTAGATCGTTCGCCGTCATGTAATTATTGTTCGTGGTATATACTATTGAAAGTCTGTATCTCGTTCAAAATCCAACTTAAAACAAAGTCCAGATTCCACTCGCAACACCAATGAAAGCGACGCTTAGCATTCCTAAAAGTACCTGGTGTTCACCAAGTAACGGAGCTGCACCATTAGATCCTGAATCAGAAGAGCCGGATGATCCAGAGCTGGAAGAGGCGGTCGAAATACCGGAAGGCAAGCTAGGGGTAAATGTAGCAGAAGGACTGGCAATGCAGGAAGTCTCTGCGGCTATTGCAGCAGCAGTTCCTGATGCTCCCAAAGGATTCACGCTTCCATTCCCAGAGAAGCTGCAATCCTCAAATTGCATCCCGTTGAGCTGGTACCATTCATTCATCGTGAAAGAGAGCTTGATGGCTGAGGATATACAGTTAGTTCATGATGCCATACACTGGGATGTGAGCTGAAACTTACTAGGGTCACAGCCAGAAAGACGGCCGTACACTCCTGAAGTACCGTTCCCACCAATATCATTACAAGTACTCCCTGCCTGTCCAAGAAGGCCACAAGCGGTGTCAATGAGTGTTCCTACGATGGCAGAATAGTTGCTGGTGGGGGGTTTGAACGCGCAGCTGAAAGTGCTCTCTATACAGTTACAAGCTGCTTCGTTCGGCGTGGGAGGCAAAGTGGTCGAGGCAGCGAACGAGCTATTTTGCCCGGGACACGAAGGATAGGTAACCGAAGAAGATCCTTGCGAAGGCGTATTAGGAGGCGAGGTGACGTTACCATATTGGGCTTGGAGTCTTGTAAAATCGTCCCCGGTTGTAACGGTGGTGCCATCGCTAGAGATGTTGACCATACCAAATTGACCCTGAGCGCTGGTGGCTGGGAAATATGAGAAGGCGACCCCGCCAGACCAAACGTCGCTCATTTGGGTACTGAACAACGACGCAACCTCGGTCCAGAGACGCGGAGGTGACGTGATACACCCGAATTCACTGAAATATGCGGCAACGTTATAGCCAGCATAGTCTCCTTCTACACCTGCATATGCTGTTTCGAAGCTTGAATCTCCGCACCATTCGCTATAGAGACGTGAGTGGGTGATCCAAACTTGATTGTGGGTACGCACTAGTTGTTCAGACCGTACAGGTCAATGGATGTGGATGAGGAGTTGGAGTTGGAGGGATCACACGACAGAAAGTTAGCAACGGGGACACGGAAAGTTGAGTCACCGTCGATGGCAGCGTAACCGACAAGAGCTGACGAAGAGATGGAATTACTGAGTAGGTAAAGCGGGTTAGATTGCGGGAGCGAAATATATTAAAGCGGGACAACGCACAGGTATGCCTTGACGTCACGAGCGGCTGCTTTGAGGTAGGGTGCAACATCGGTAGTGTTTGCTATGATAGCCTCGTTACCAACATTGTAAGCCAAGACGTTGTCGTATTTGCTAAACACATTGATAGTCTCAAGATACTGGTCCAAGAGGTTAGTCGACCAAGATGGAGAATCACGGTCAATTGAGCCATTGAGCGGAAGCGCAAGATCAATACTGTTCAAGGAACATCAGATGAATCAAAAAGAAACAAAACACAACGAACGATGGACGTACATAGTGTAGATTCCAGCCCCACTCAAGGCACTCATACAGGAGTCATGGTTCAACGAAGAATTGACACTGTAAACACGGACAGTATTGACACCAAGTTTCTGGAGGAATGGCAAGTCTCTGGAGCACCCATCCGAATCGGACAGAGGGTCGATGAACGTGGAAGGCTCTAGGAAGCTATTGTCTGCGCCAGGAACTACAGCTCCTTGTTCTTGATATGCTATGCCTTTTATGTAGAAACGACCGGAACTCTGTAAAATGCTCGATGAGCGATAATATGTCGATAGAGTTTGAGAAGCTCACTGTGTAAAGGTATCGGCCAGAACGGGTAACTTTATCAATGGCCTCGACATTAGTCAAACACGAGACAGCCAGGAGCAAAGCTGAGTAAAATGTCGGTAATTTCACCATTGCTTTTCTAACGACCGAGGTCGAATTTTCGGGGGAAAGAAGAAACAAAGTGGTGGCGAGAGAAACCCCGACAACACTTTTTATTAAAGTTTATATTAGCATGAGCATGAGGTCTCGGCATTTTTGACGCAGGCACTAAAAGGTATGTCACCCATCAAAACTCGTCAGAATCTTCTGCGGTAAACATGTTTACCGATCCACGCCTAGTACAAGACTGTACAGGAGTTCATAGCGTACACAGTCATAATAAAGGTTTACGAAATTTCGAATCCATGTCTATCCATGTCGTATTTCTATCGATCATCTTCCCCATAATCCAACAGAACGCGCAGCTTTAGCTTTCATTCACAGCAATGGGCATAAATCAAGTTTTTTGGATAATGATTAATTATACAGCTTGGCGCAATCTGAATCAGCGCATCGTTATTTTACCAGGATGGTATTACTCTTCAGTTTTCGCCAACTGCAAATTGTATCCAGGTCAGTGTGAAAGTTAGATGAGGCTTGATGATTTCGATTACTCACGATAATCATAGACAATACGGTTATAGAGCTTCTCACCCTTTGTTCCGGTGAGGGCGATGCGCCTTACATGGCGTCTCTCGCCATTGACTTCTCCAATACCCCAAGTCTAATTAATTCCGAATGAGTACGATATCAAAGACGGTGATGACTTCCCGATCACGAACCTGTTCAGTCTTCCATCCGTGCTTACCCTCATAGGCAAGATGAACAAGGATACATCCGTGCTCCAACGTATCCGCGCTCCATCCTTCCTTCAAGTAGGACTCCTGAACCTCATCGAGCGAAACCCTCTTGGACCTTGTCAAACAAGGGCCTCCGAAAAGCTTAATTTCCTTCGTCTTCTCCTCCCAGTCGAGCGTCTTTTCCTCCGGCTCAGCAGGGTCTCCGCCAGAGACGACTTGGACAAGGCTGAGAGTTTCCACACCGGCGTTGTTCTTGGAGTGTGTTATGGTTACGGTGATCGATGCGGCGCCCATGGCTTTGCGCTTGATCCAGCCTACACCTTGAGCGCTCAGCATGTCGTCGGGGGAGTCGCTCAGCGATTTGTTCTGCAGTAAACTTGATTCAGCGATCAAGAGCGGATCGGGATATAGGTTAACATACCATCTGGAATTTGCCATTGAGGTTGAGAGTGGTGATGTGTGCTGGGACGGCCATTGTGAAGATGATAGATGCAAAAGGTAGTACGAGAGTTTGTGTATGAGTGAAGAGGAGAAGTTGTTGTAGATATGGAAAAAGAGGAGAGAAATCGAGGAGGCTTAAATACTCATCCTTCCTCGAATATGTGGCATCGCCATGAAGACGAAACGTTTACCCGATCAGCACAAGTGCCTGGGTTCCGACGGGTACAAGTCGACTCGACTCCAGAAAGAATCTTCGCCGTCGGTCTTGAAATGAAGTAAAACTTATTACTGACGATTTGTCACATCCACGCTAGTGCTATAACTTCCAAGACTTTCGATTTGTCTAGAAAGTTGAACGAGAAACGTGAAGAGAAATAGAACCCGTTGAATACGGATAATCTTCTGGCTCATCTTCTCGAGAAAAGCTGTGGAATGAGTCCAAGACCGACGGGGTGAGACTGGTGAGTGACCGTTTGATTAGCCGTTCATACATGATTTACATACATGAATCAAATATCGATCATCCGTTCATTCAACATTGACCAGAACTGTCAGTTTAGTTGAGCAGTGAGTGCTATAGTCAAGTGGTTACTTATCTTCTGAAAACAATTCTGTTGTACTAACAAGTTGTCTGGTCGAATGTTTAGTTATCTTTACGCGTACAGGAGAAAACCTTGAGAAATCTTAAACATCCGAGCCTCTCAAATATCGGTGTAACTCGGTGCCCGGAATTATTTTCAAAGAGGGTCCACCGTCGCTCGAATAGCCTCGAAAATCCCGTACTGATATGATTATCGTGTCTACACACACTAAAACGAGGTTTGTACGTCAGGCAGTAATGATAGTTTTATATGAACAGACCTTCCTTGTATGAATCCTCGGTTCGATTCCGTTCATGACTTGAGCATGACCGTTGAAGCTTGCAACCCGCAGCTTCCCTTGTGATCTACCGTGACGCCTCCAACCCATCACTTCCAGCATTGAGCAACCTCGTCGATTTACGACACATCCTCCTTCGCACTATGTAGGAAATCAGCCACAGAAATCTCCAATAGTTACATGGCACTGGCGGCAATGTTCAGGAGCTTCAGATCATGAGTGCATCCATATTCTACATATGACGTTTCGAGCCAAATGCAGACACGACCCTTTGACCATTTGTCGCTCTTGATGAGGCCCGATATTGAGGTAAGAAGAGTCTACAGGATCCATGCAGGGGGCGCGAGCGGAACTTGCGTGCATAGTTTCTCCGGCTAAAAATTTATGGAGCGTTCTTCCAGGAGTGCGTGCTATAAGAGAAAGAGAGAATAAATGAGCTCAGCTTCCTCATGGAACACAATATCACGTGACTTTAGAATGCTGAACTCCGGTATCCCGGGCCTGACAGAATTTGTGGGTCACCTTGTACATGTCATTGTTTTCTTCGCTTTCTCCTCAACCTTGATTTTATGGCTTGCTGCCGGCCTACTGAGATTGAAGAGCATCTAGTACCTGCTCAACCGATCAACTCCGCTGAACAATTCTGGGTGGATTATTCAAAATGGTTAGAAAGCATGGGTTATAGGTTGCGCGCGCGATATTGGCCCAACCAACCGCCACCCCAGCCTCTACCCTTAATTGAGGCCTTGTTCGACGCCGAAGGAGCCTCTGTTTATGTGCGTGGAATGCTCCTTTCATATGAAGTGTACCAAAGTCTCAATCATCCTTACAGGGATCAATAATCGACGCTATACGAATATCTGACAATAAGCCTGTGATGCTTAAGGCAATCTCACGAATAATCCATCCACAAGAAGTTGAAATTGGCCTCTATTTCTCTAATGAAGTCATAGCTTCAGATCCCCGAAACCACTGTGTCCCTATATACGATGTCTTTCCAGTACCTGACAGTGAAATGGATATAATTGTAATGCCGGTTCTGAGGCCATTCGATAACCCACAGTTCGATACTATTGGGGAAGTCATCGCTTTTATACAACAGTTATTTGAGGTATGCTCATTACTATATTTGTCAACTTGTGTACATTTCTGACGAAAGTGACCAGGGTATCCAGTTCATGCATGAACATCTTGTTGCCCATGGGTATGCCAGACACTTTGCGTTCATTCTCAGGCTCTCATATGCCGTCCAGCGATTGCACAGGGATGAATATCATGATGGATGGCTCTCAAATGTATCCCGAAGGTTGGAACTCCCTAGATCCATGGCAAGCAAGAGACAACCCATCTCACCCAGCTAAACGTACCGGGTTTCGAATGAAATTCTGGCCGAAATACTATCTGATTGATTTTGGCCTTTCCCATATGTACAGCAGCAAGAGTACGGTTCCCCCATTGGAAAGGATACTGAGAGGGGGTGACAAGTCAGCACCTGAACACGCACCAAAGTACAAAAGTGCAAATCCTTTTTCGACTGATATATACTACATTGGTAACCTCATCCGCCAAAAATTCACTGAGGTATTGTTTTTTTGACGCAAGGGTGAGATAGCTGACAAAAAACACTGTTAGCGCCGAAATTCCAGTTATTGTAAACAGTTCGATTTTTTGAAACCGCTCGTCGACTCTATGGTCCAAGATGACCCCGTCAAACGATCCACAATTGACGACGTTGTTATGCAATTGGATATCGTTGTTCGAAGGCAAAGATGGTTCAACTTTAGGGCGGCAGCATGCAATCTGCATCAGTTCCAGTTGACTGATCAAATTTCCGCCCTTAATCGACGATTCACGAAGTATCTGCTTCTGAGACATTCCTTGCCTGTCCTGTCGCGACCTCAGAGGCGTTTGCCACCTGAACTACACTGGATGTATTCGGGGCCCCCAACAGAGTACCCGGAAGGTCAGGAGCGTCCCGCGTTTCTTTATGTCCATGATTTAGACGATGATTCATAGTATCAACTATACCAGTAGTATGTAGAAACCACCAAAGAAATTTCCGATACAAGGCGCTGTCAACAATGTTCAGCAGCTTCAGCTTGTATGTACATCCTCTACAATATATTTCTAGCTAATTGCGTACATGACCCTAGCTGAAGCTCGAAGTAAACGAGCATTGTGGTACCACAAGGGTCGGAGAAAGCCAAGCTTAAGCCGATACATATGTATGTGTTTAGTCTCTCTGGCTCGAAGTCCTTGGAGCGTGTATGAGTGCGTACCATAAGAATGAGCTTATGGGGATTGATATTTCGGCTGCCTAATCGAATAGACCACTGTTGTCACCATAATCATGCTAGTGAAGTTCGCAAAGGTACTGTAAGTTCAAACGTAAGGCCGAGCCTATGATATCGTGTCGCATGAATGCGAAAGCGCGTATATATTGAACGCTGAGTATGTATTCATGTGGGAATTTGGAAAAGGACGTCGTTACGGTTGTGTACCTCTTCCATTTCGCCGCTAGGTCCGGAATGTTCCGGGCCGTTGACGCAGAACTTGTGTGCGGTTGATTGCTTTGTCCTTCCTTACTTCGAATTCATGGCTTGCTGCTCTTCTACCGAGATTGAACAACACCTACTACCTGCTCGTCCAATCACCTTCGCCGAACAATTCTGGGTGGAGCATTCAACATGGTTGGAAAGTGTGGGCTATAGGTTGCGCGCGCGATATCAACCAAATCGACCGCCACCCCAGCCTTTAACTTTGACCGAAGCCTTGTTTGACCCGGATGAGGTCGCTATGTATGTACGTAGAATCCTCCTTTCTATATGAGGCGGATAATAGTCTTAGTTATCCTCACAGGGTTCGATAATGGACGGAATACGGATTTCTGATAATGAGCCTGTAATGCTAAAGACAGTATCACGAATAACCCATCCTCAAGAAGTTAGAATTGGCCTGTATTTCTCCAACAAAGATATGGCTTCAGATCCTCGCAACCATTGTGTCCCTATATACGACGTGTTTCCAGTACCAAATATTGAAATGGACATAATCGTAATGCCCGTTTTAAGGCCATTTGATAATCCAGAGTTCGATACTGTGGGGGAAGCCATCGCCTTCATACAACAATTATTTGAGGTATGCTGTATCTATCTACCCTTTTACATTTCTGACTCAAGACACGAGTAGGGTATCCAATTTATGCATGAACATCTTGTTGCTCACGGGTACGTTACACGTTTTGCGTACATTCTCGAGTTCTCCTACGCAAATCAGCGACTGCACAGCGATGAACATTATGATGGATGGCTCTCAAATGTATCCTAAAGGCTGGAGCTCCCTGGATCCCTCGCAGGCAAGAGACAACCCATTTCGCGCAGCTAAGCGTGCCGGGTTTCGCATGCAATTCTGGCCGAAATACTATCTGATCGATTTTGGCCTTTCTCATATGTACAGTAGCAAAAGTACAGTCCCCCCATTGGAAAGGATATTGAGAGGGGGTGACAAGTCTGCCCCTGAACATGCACCCAAGTACAAACATGCCAATCCTTTCCCGACTGATATATACTACATCGGTAACCTTGTCCGCGAAAACTTCACAGAGGTACTAGTACTGCTGTTCCTTTATGGAAGTGAGGTAGCTGAAAACTCCCAATAGCGCAGTGATTCTAGTTTTTGTAAACGGTTTGCTTTCTTGAAACCGCTCGTCGACTCTATGGTCCAAGATGACCCCGTCAAGCGACCCACAATTGATGAGGTTGTCATGCAATTGGATGCTGTTGTCCGAAAGCATCGAAAATCTGTGAACTTCAGAGAAGCTGCTTGCGACCTGCAACACTTTGAATTTGATGATCACATTTCCGCGTTTATTCGACGATTCACGAAGTATTTGCTTCTGAGACGCTCCTTGCCTGTCTTGTCACGACCTCAGATACGTTTACTACCTGAACTACACTGGATGTATTCAGGACCCCCAACGGAGTACCCAGAAGGTCAGGAGCGTCCCACATTTCTTTATGTCCATGATTTGGACAATGATCTGTAGTATCAACAATACCAGTAGTAGTCCAGTAGTAGTAAGTGTCTGACTGTGTCTATAAATTAAAGTGCTTTAAAAGTAAGAATGTAAGCCCACAAACATGCAAGTGAAATGTACTGGCTTTGCTTCCCGACTCTTGTGGTATACACACTGTGCAGCTGGTTATAGGATATGCTGTGACTCAACATACATATTGCGAGGTCACTCGAAGTTGGGAGCGGGCTGAATTGATCAAAGGGGAAACTGCAAATTGCGAGTAGACATTGACTTGGGTATCATAATGTGACGTACACAAAGATCCCTACAGGACAAACAAAAGTGAGAATATAAGGCAACTGATGCAAGAAGACATTTATGGTATTTAAGTATCATCATCCAAATCATGTACATATAAAAATGTGGGACGCTCCTGACCTTCTGGGTACTTTGTGGGAGACCCCGAATACATCCAACATAGTTCAGATGACAAATGTCTTTCGGGGTGTGGCAGAACAGGTAACGAACGTGTCATAACAAAATACTTTGTAAATCGTCGAAAAAGTGCAGGGATTTGGTCAGTAAATTGGAAGTGTTGCAGGTCGCATGCCGCTGCCCTGAATTTGAGATTCCTTCGATTCTTTCGGACAACAGCATCAAATTTCATGACAACGTCGTCAATTGTGGGTCGTTTGACCGGGTCATCTTGGACCATAGAATCGACGAGCGGTTTCAAAAAACAAAATCGTTTGCAAAGACTGGAATTTCTGCGCTGTGTTTTTATGAGTTATCGCCCTGCATTGGAAAACAATAATATTATGTACCTCGGTAAAGTTTTCGCGAATGAGGTTACCGATGTAGTATATATCAGTCGAGAAAGGATTAGCACGTTTGTACTCGGGTGCATGTTCCGGGGCCGACTTGTCGCCTCCCCTCAATATCCTTTCCAATGGTGAGACTGTGCTTTTGCTAGTGTACATATGAGAAAGGCCAAAATCAATCAGATAGTATTTCGGCCAAAATTGCATTCGAAACCCAGCGCGCTTAGCTGCACGAAATGGGTCGTCTCTTGCCTGCCAGGGATCCAGGGTATTCCAGCCTTTGGGATACATTCGGGAGCCATCCATCATGATGTTCATCTCTGTGCAGTCGCTGGTTTGCGTAAGAAAACCTGAGAATGTTAGCAAAGTGTTTACACACCCGTGGGCAACAAGATGTTCATGCATAAATTGGATACCCTGGTCATTTTTGAAGTCAGAAATATAGAAGGGTTCCTAAATATAGCATACTTCGAGTAATTGTTGTATGAATGCAATGACTTCCCCCACGGTGTCGAATTGTGGGTTCTCAAATGGCCTCAAAACTGGCATAACAATCAAGTCCATTTCACTGTCTGCTACTGGAAAGACGTCGTAGATAGGGATACAGTGGTTGCGAGGATCTGAAGCAATAGATTTGTCGGAGAAATACATGCCAATTTTAACTTCTTGTGGATGGATTATTCGTGATACTGCTTTGAGCATCACAGGTTTATTGTCAGATATCCGCACAGCGTCCATTATTGATCCCTGTAAGAATAAATAAGACTGTGATCCAGATCATATAGAAGGTATTCCACTCAACGTATAAGGAGACCTCTTCTGCGTTAAACATGGCCTCCGTCCAGGGTAGAGGCTGGGGTGGGGGTCGGTTTGGCTGATACCGTGCCCGTAACCTGTAACCCACATTTTCCAACCATCTTGCATTGTCGACCCAGAATTGTTCAGCTTGATTGATTGCATAGGGAGCTACTAGACTCTCTGCAGACTTGGAAGAATCAGCGGAAAAGCAGCAAGTCATGTACACGAGTAGTGAAGGTTGCGAAGAAGGAGTTACGTTTAACGTAGGCCCACCCACACTATCAACAGCCTGGGAAATACCGGACCGCACCTTATAATGGAGGACGCGTTCACTTACTGCGTTGTCTTTCTCGTCATTCTCAATTGCACTTCCCTGTTTTTAGGACCATTGTCACCGTACTATCCGTATGCAGGACGACGTCGAATACTTCACCGCAATCATCTTGAGATGGCAAAGACGAACTCTGCACGGTTCAAGAGGTTTCAAGCACTCATGATTAGTTATACGAAATCAGGTACTGTAATGCTCCTCGAACACGCGTTTGCTGAATTGCCCAAATGTGATATCAGGGGAAAGTTGCTGATCAACATTGGGCTGCATGAAGAGAGCGAAAGTCTCCCTTGAGACCTTGCCTACACCAGGAGAACCACCGACCCGTACACAATGAGGGGTAGCACGTAATTTTCCACCAGTTGCGACTTCTAGAGCTTCTCCGGTCTAAAATGTGTTATTTAGTATGATTCAGCGAATATGAATGAACTAACCTGGAAAGCCAAAGAATCCACAGGAATCGATACTTTGGTCAGATCGCCTCCTCGAGTTCGTATATATAATCCAGACGAAGGCGACGGCGAAGGGACTACATTTGGTTCCGTTGCCGAATCAGTTTTTTCAAGATACATGGCCTGGGGTAGACGGTCAGAAGTCAAAACCCATGTCTTAGCAGTTCGAGTAAATTAGACTCACCGAGCACAATCCAGTCAACAAAGAATGATCTAAGTGAAAACCGCACCAACTATCAATTGGTTCGTCCTCTGTATGGGATACGGAGGCATCATCTGAAGGCGGGAAATAGTGGAGCAGCCGTGCCTTTGTGGTTTCGGATGTGCTGATTAGCGTAGGGAGAGATATGTTCGAATTCGAGAACTGTTTCAACGCTGAATGATTTCTCCTTGAGTAATATGAGCACGATGTGTCAAAAAAAAACTCAATACCAAAGGGTTGGCATGCTGCCGCAAGCTCACAGCCAATTTTGAAGACAAACCTACAGGGGACATGGGATTTCTGGCAACGATTGATAAGTTCAACGCACTGGCCAAGGTTCTTGAATGCTTGCTCGAATCCCTCCACCCCAGGTTCCTCGGTATCTGGCCCTGATCACCATGGTGAAAGCAGAATCAAATTAATGTTGGTTGTATTTTCTTACAGATGTTATTGCCATAGTATTCGGGGTAAGAGGTTCTATATTGTTCAAAAACAGAGGGAGCATCTATAACGGGATTGGCGTAGAACGATCCTTTCAAGAAGTCTGTGAAATAATCCAGTCATCAGTAGGGTGAGCGATAGCGCGAAGAGAGGAACACACCTGGTTTTCCATTCATGATCTCCTGTTATGCCGTCAGTCTTGTACCTCCACATATTTACCGAGCTCGAAACACCTTTCCATGGGACCACCCAAAACTATTGTTAGAACGAATCAATTTCAGTTCGTGTGAGTACGACCCAGTACGCACCTATATCGACTCGAGGCATCGGTATACTTCTCCCGCGTAGTATTATCTAGTTCACTGAAATAATACGCGAGCTTGAGGAGCCGTTCACGCAATTCAGCGTATACTGGCGGTAGTCCGGTGACAACAATGATACCCAGCGACGAGGGATCTGATCCAAAGGCTTTCTCTGTCCAAGCCGTGACGTGGAACGTCAATAAAGCTGGGGGTCTTTGATGAAGACCATAGATACCAATTGAAGCTTGCAACTCTAACGGCGAAGAAATGAGATCTGGATATGAGATGCATACAGCCCCTTCTGGGGTAAAAGTAATGGACTATAGAACGTCGTCGAGGTCACCATTGCAGCATTTATGATCTGATTGGAAATACCTTGGACGACATAATGACCGCAGAACAGTGATATGTAGTCGCAGGACACAAAAGGAGAGCCGGAATTCACATGTACCTAGTGACCGCTATCGATGTATTACCCATATTTTGTATGTCAGCCAGACAGGCGTATAAATACTCTCTAAAACGGTACAACATATAGATAAGGTTCCTGGCTTCTAGTCCGTAAGCAAAATTATGCTATTTTCAATTCCACCAGACCGGTTTGCGCTAGTGCGTCTCGAAGAGCCACACCAGAATCATCGATGGACCGCAAAAAACGTAGTAGCTCACGACATAGTTGCCAATCTTCCTCATCCATGGCAATCTTCAGGAGCCGGATCGCATCCACGTTCTTCTCGTCTAGCTGTTCTAGATTATGCAAGACCAGGAGATATGAACCTGCGGTTTTCAATCTGTGAGATTGCAGGCATGTCTGAAGAATACCATTAACTGATCTGTGCAGTTAGAGGAAACAGACAGTGCACGGACCTCGAAAAGTGTTTTAGGATTCCCCACGACATCGAATAGCCGCCGCCAGCGAGTCATTTCAGTCTTGCGCGCACATCCAACTACGACATCCAACGCGGCGTCGAAATAGTCCAGGAATTCGACGACTTTCGAAAGGACCTCTTGACCATCAGACCCACTATCTAACTCTGAGTCTGTCTCATGTTCAACGACATCGTGGAGCAATATCTCGAGCGCATGTGCAAAGTACACGAGATCTTGGTAATGAGAGGCAAAGACAACCGCTTCTTTGACTTGAGAGGCTTCTAGATGTGATCGAAGGATGTGGTGTAGAAACAGATGTGACTGCAACAAACTGGATGAGAAGCTGATAAGAAGACTTCGCCAAGGACTCACACTCGTCGCATGTCGAAACATGACAAAGGGAAGGTTTGACCGAGCGGCGACTTCGTGTTCAGCGCCAATGATAATTCCTTTATCCATCAGGACCGCTACAGCAACGTCTTAGATGCAGGAACTCAATAGCGAACAACGACATACATAATGGATAAAATTCAAGTGGGATGTTTACACTCTCCTTGACACTCTCTGCATTTTCATTCTGATCTTGTGTTGCAGGAGCTTCGATTGCCAAAGCGTTGAGCCAAACGCGAATTCCTCTGCCGTCGAAAGCCCACAGCGAGTTTTCCAGGGCGGCGATACCTCGAAGATGTATCCAACAGAATTCAATACGCTCCGCGAATATTTGCATGTCATATTTGACTTCTTGTTTTGCAGACTGTAGACATTGATTAGCATTGCCAAAAAAGCAGTAAACTTATTTAGATATACACCTTTCTAGGTCGCAGTAGAACAAGCTGGCCTCCAACAACCATGAGCACTGCCGCAACAGCAAGATCGTTGACAGGATCTCCGAGTTCTAAAGGAATGGAGGTTTAGGCAAGCTTCTTCCTAGTAAAAGAATGAATTTAAGACATACGTTTTTGAGCACTTGGTATCATCCAACTTAGCATTCTTACTGCGCTAGGTGTTGCTATGACTCCATTGAAGGTGATACTTCCACAAAGGTGAAGCTTAATGGTATCGGCAGTCGGGATAATCAAGAAATGGAAGAGGGTGTTGTCGGCACAGTACACGAGGAGAGAGTTGTCCACTAAGGACAGTATGATAACCGGAGAAGGCATGACCTCGCGATGCAGAACATTTTGGTTGCTTAGCTCTAGGTCTCGGGAATAAAGTCTTATCTGGGTAGGCGATAATAGGTTCAAAAAGTTACAGCGACAATGACCCAGAGTTACTATACCTGATGCGTTTTGGATACTTCCACCGCTGCAACCAACACATGATGAAACCAAAGTAACCCTCCCTGAACGGAAAACGCCTGTTCTTGCACTGGATCGGTGAATAACTTCCATCTACCTGAGCTAGCACTGTAATGGACAAGGCCCCGCCGACCGGCGATGGCAATCAAGCGCCCATCTGAGCTCAAAGAGGAATATCGTATAGGCCAGTTCGCCGCGAGGTAACCTTGAGGGACCTGAGAAAGTGGGACCATTAGAGCAGATTCAAATCCGTGATCAAGAGAAGTTTGCCTTGATATGCTGCCAGACGTCTGATTCCGGATTAATGATGCTGATATCGGGTTGGTCTGCACCACGATATACCAGAGCACGATCTTCGAGTTGTAAGAAGGCGTACCGCGTGTTGTCCTACCAATACAATACATTAACATACAAGACTGGAATCATCAAAGGAAGAACATACAGGAGAATGTTGGCCAGTTGTAGCGCTTTTCGCGAAGGGGATTACGAATAGTTGTTCATCGATAGCTATTCCGAGAGTGAGGGACTGGTTGACTGCATCGAGGTTCCAGGTCACATACATTTCAAAGAAGGTTGAGCGAGCACAATCAACTCGAAATTTCCGGGTGCCCAAAACTAATCTGCCTGAGCTGTGGTCATGCACAGATAGTAGGAACTGCACTTACAAGATCGACTACGCCATTCATGAAAGTATCTTGGAATCTGTTTGCAGGTAGCCGTGAATTTAACAAAATTCAGCACTTCTTTAAGAATGGGACGCACTTTTGTTCGTCCACATCCTCGACACCAAAACCAGACACCAGACATCTGCCACCAACGCTGAACAATCCCCAGCCATGCTGCCAGCCAACAGCCAAGACATATCCATCCGAGCTCCATTCCATTGAGCACACAGTTCCAGTACGTCGATTGAACGGGTTGTGTATCTCGATCTGTTGTGAAGTCGGTACAGCACCTTCGTCAGCAGGGAAAGTGGTATACTGAATACCGCCTCTGATGAACAATGACTACCGGTGAGCCGCACGAGAAAAAGACACATACTCACCCGAGCATGCCAACCGCAATCAACGAGAACTTCGCATTGATGGCTAGTCGAACCGCACGCCTCGGTTCAAAGTAGACCGAGCCGTGTTCTTCCGGTTCAACACGCCTTTGTTTCTGCACCCAACGAGGGGTCTCAAAGTGGTGTATACACGTACCCATCCATACATTCCGTGGCCCATCAGCAAAACGGGGATTGTCAAGCTTTTGTGTTTGAAGTTGGTCGTTTTCGGACAGGTTGATGTCTGAAGCGTTCTTGGAATCACTAGGCAGTTCTTCTGACAAAGGTTCGTCATTCCGAATGAGGTATACAATATACGCCCTTCCGTCAGATGCAATCCAGCTTTCTACACCGGTATTTCGATCGTGTAGAATTTGTGAGATTGTCACTGAGAGAAAAATTTAGTAAATATCGAGACGGTGGAATATCGAGGCAGACCTTCAGGCTCAACTAGCCACCCGAAATCGCCATCATTGATTATCCATTGGTCATAATTGTCAAGTTTCCTCCGACTTGTTCCATACTCTTCTTCGTCAGATCCTCGTTCCCCCATGGCTTCTTCTGATGTTGCTGGCCAAGGTATTCGCTGTATCGCTGGTGGATTCTGCGTGGAAAACATGATAGACTGCTTCCGGGGAGACACGCTAATGAAATTTCAGACAATGTGCTTATTGAGAAAGTGACTTCACACACCTGACTAGCGTTCCTTCGACTCGAATGACCCCTTCAAACTGTAAGCTCACACTACTCAGGGGGAACGCTTCTCCGGGACCAGCCAAGAAATTTCTTTGAGCGTTTGCTGAGAGAGGAGGAGCCTGATAGGTGGTTTCATCTGGATGAAACTTGACAGTTACAAGTACAAGATACGAGTCTGAAGTCTGTGGTAATGACAAATTAGTGCTTCGAATAGGAAAACCGTCATGTTCCGACCTTGATAACAATACGAGATCCATCTGGGGACCAATGCGCCTCTCTATTCTCTCCATGGTCGATGATAGATATCGGAGTACGCGAAAGAAATGCAAGATTTGCTGAAGGCTAACACATCGTCGGTATTGAGCTTTTACGCAATAGAGTATTATGGTATGTCCAACGTACTCGAACGCGCCAGATTGAGATACCGTTTCTTGTAAGTGTACAGAACAGTGATTTACGTGGACTGGGGCATATTGTGAGGACATTTTCCGGGGGAATATTAGGGAGAGCCGGAACTGTCGAAAGTCGCCTTGCTGTGGAAGTGGGGAAGTACATTATTGGGAGGAATATTCTCCCTAAGACGCTGATATACTGTCCATTAATTGCAAGTGGTGAGAGGAAACCCGGTAATACTCTGATCCGGTTTGGTGGTGGTAATAAACCGAAATGCGCTAACGGGCCTAAAGCGTTTTTGCTTGGTTTTTTCACTTCATGGAATTCTGGCTACATAAACTGAGTACATACAAAGGCCTAGCTTATTCAATTGAACGGCCATGTTCAGACTTGTCAACATATATTCAACAATAATATCTTTCAGTCAGAAAACCTCGTCTATGACCCCAGCAGATCACACTATTTGAGAAAGACAAGGGAACGTGTCCTCCACTAGCGAACCCCTGCGGGGCACGATAAACCTTGCTTGCATTCTCATAAATTCCAACCCACACTCACAGTTGAACCCAAGGTTGTATGGTAACAAAAGGTAAAGTAGTGTATGAGTGCATGAACAAGGATTAGAAGAAATACATCGGAGCGAGCTAGAGTGAGATTAAAGCGCCTAGTGTGTGAAAAAAATGCACGGGCGCTTGGTAAAGACGGGGTGGCAAAGGACCTAGCAAGCAAGGTGATTATGCAGTCGGTATTTTCCGGCCCGTCGACAGAATTTAGTACGTTAAACGTAACTCCTTCTTCGCAACCTTCATTACTTGTGTACATGACTTGCTGCTTTTCCGCTGATTCTTCCAAGTCTGCAGAGAGTCTAGTAGCTCCCTATGCAATTAATCAAGCTGAACAATTCTGGGTGGACAATGCAAGATGGTTAGAAAATGTGGGCTTCAGGTTACGGGCACGGTATCAGCCAAACCGACCCCCACCCCAGCCTCTACCCCGGACGGAGGCCATGTTCGACACGGAAGAACTCTCTCTATACGTTGAGTGGAATACCTCTATATGATCTGAATTGCCGTCTTATTTATTGTTACAGGGATCAATAATGGACGCTGTGCGGATATCTGACAATAAACCTGTGATGCTCAAAGCAGTATCACGAATAATCCATCCACAAGAAGTTAAGATTGGCATGTATTTCTCCGACAAATCTATTGCTTCAGATCCTCGCAACCACTGTATCCCTATCTACGACGTCTTTCCGGTACCAGACAGTGAAATGGACTTGATTGTTATGCCAGTTTTAAGGCCATTTGAGAACCCACAATTCGACACCGTGGGGGAAGTCATTGCATTCATACAACAATTACTCGAAGTATGCTATATCTAGGAACCCTTCTATATTTCTGACTCCGAAAATGACCAGGGTATCCAATTTATGCATGAACATCTTGTTGCCCATGGGTATGTAAAACACTTTGCTAACATTCTCAGGTTTTCTTACGCAAACCAGCGACTGCACAGAGATGAACATCATGATGGATGGCTCCCGAATGTATCCCAAAGGCTGGAATACTCTACGTCCCTGGCAGGCAAGAGAAGACCCATTTCGCGCAGCTAAGCGTGCTGGGTTTCGAATGCAATTTTGGCCGAAATACTATCTGATCGATTTTGGCCTTTCTCATATGTACAGTAGCAAAAGTACAGTCCCCCCATTGGAAAGAATATTGAGGGGAGGTGACAAGTCAGCACCTGAACATGCACCAAAGTACAAACGTGCCAATCCTTTCTCGACTGATATATACTACATTGGTAACCTCATGCGCGCAAACTTTACAGAGGTAATGTTCTTGTTTTTTTTAAAAAGCGTGAAATAACTGATCAAAACACAGCGCAGAAATTCCAGTCTTTGTGGACGATTTTCTTTTTTGAAACCGCTCGTCGGCTCTATGGTCCAAGACGACCCAGTCAAACGACCCACAATCGACGACGTTGTCATGCAATTTGATGCTGTTCTCCGAAAGAATCGAAGACATCTCAACTTTCGCGCAGCGGCATGCGACCTGCAACACTTCCAATTTGCTGATCAAATCCCTGCACTTTTTCGACGATCTACAAAGTACTTTGTTATGAGACGTTCGTTACCTGTCTTGCCACACCCTGAAAGGCATCTGTCACCTGAACTACACTGGATGTATTCGAGCCCCCCGACAACGTACCCAGAAGGTCAGGAGCGTCCTACATTTTTGTATGTACATGATTTGGATGACGATACCTAAATGCTGTGAGTGATAAGTGCATCGGTCATCTGTTTGTGCAGGGAAATTTGTGTGCGTTACGTCATGACATTAACTCGATGTCTCCAGAATGTATAGTCAAAAAATAAGATGTATGAGTTGTAAAAAAACACCTACTCACCCGAGCATGCCAACCGCAATTAACGAAAACTTCGCATTGATGGCCAGTCGAACCGCACGCCTGGGTTCAAAGTAGACCGAGCCGTGTTCTTCCGGTTCAACACGCCTTTGTCTCTGTACCCAACGAGGGGTCTCAAAGTGGTGTATACACGTACCCATCCATACATTCCATTGCCCATCAGCAAAACGGGGATTGTCAAGCTTTTGGGTTTGAAGTTGGTCGTTTTCGGACAGGTTGATGTTTGAAGCGTTCTTGGAATCACTAGGTAGTTCTTCTGACGAAGGTTCGTCATTCCGAATGAGGTAAACAATACACGCCCTTCCGTCAGATGCAATCCAGCTGTCTACACCGGTATTTCGATCGTGTAGAAGTTGTGAAATTGTCACTACGAGAAAATTTAGTCAATGTCGAGGTGGAATATCGAGGCAGACCTTCAGGCTCAGCTAAACACGCGAAATCGCCATCATTGATTATCCATTGGTCATAATTGTCAAGTTTCCTCCGCCTCGTTCCATACTCCTCTTCGTCAGATCCTCGTTCCCCCACGACTTCTTCTGATGCTGGCCAAGGTATTCGCTGTATCGCTGGTGGATTCTGCGTGGAAAACATGACAGACTGCTTCCGGGGAGATACGCTAATGAAATTTCAGACAATGTGCTTATTGAAAGAGGCTTCACACACCTAATTATGGTTGTTCCTTCCACTCGAATGACCTCTTCAAACTGTAACTTTAAGCTCACACTACTCAGGATGTGACCGACAATGAATTGTTACCGTCCGACAGCCGTCCGAGGCTTTCCGATGTGGTTGAATGACCGCAGACCGGCCCGGTGACTTCTTTGCTCTCTCACCATTACTACGTTCCTCCTATGGTTTGCTGTTTTCCTGCTGGGAAGGGAGAAAACCTCATAGCTTACGCTTTTGATATTATCGATAATGAAAAGTTCTGGGTGGAACACTCAGGATGGTTGGAAAGTCTAGGCTACAAGTTAAGGTCGCGGTATCAGCCAGATAAACCGCCACCCCAGCTACGACCTTTCAGCGAGGCCTTTTTCGATGCGGAAGAAGTTCCTATATTCGTGAGTATCAAAGCTTCAATGATCAACTTTATTATTTTATAAACTCGATCATCATCCTAGGGATCGCTCATTGACGCTTTACGAATTTCTGACAATAAACCTGTAATGCTCAAGAAAGTCTCGCGAGTTATTCATCCTCAAGAAGTCGAAATTGGTTTATATTTCTCAAATGATTCAATAGCAGCAGAACCTCGCAACCACTGTGTCCCTATATACGATGTCATTCCTGTGCCAAATAGTGAAATGGACTTGATTGTGATGCCGGTTTTGAGGCCGTTCAATGAACCAGAGTTCGACACCATGGGGGAAGCCATCGCTTTCATGCAACAATTGTTCGAGGTGTGCATCTATAAAACCATGTACATTCTTGACTCAAACAAAGTCCAGGGTATCCAATTTATGCATGAACATCTTGTTGCCCATGGGTATGTTGAATATACTGTTTGTTTGCCTTCTCAGTTTCTCTTACACAAGATCAGTGATTGCACAGAGATGAACATCATGATGGATGGTACCCAGATGTTTCCAGAGGGCTGGCATCCAATAGATCCCTGGAAGGCAAAAGACAACCCCCTTCGCTCAGCTAAGCGTACTGGATTTCGAATGCACTTTTGGCCGAAATACTACCTGATTGATTTTGGCCTTTCCCATATGTACAGCAATAAAAGCACAGCCCCCCCATTGGAAAGGATTCTGAGAGGAGGCGATAAATCAGCCCCCGAGCACGCACAAAAGTACAAACATGCCAATCCTTTCTCAACAGATATATACTACATCGGTAATCTCATCCGTCAAAATTTCACTGAGGTATTGCTGTTACTTGATGGAAGGGTGCGATAGCTGACCCGAACACCACTAGCGCAGGGGTTCCAGTTGTTGTAAACGGTTTGCTTTTTTGAAACCGCTTGTTGATTCTATGGTTCAAGATGACCCCGTCAAGCGACCCACAATTGATGACGTGGTCATGCAATTTGATGCTCTTGTTCGAAAGCATCAAAGATGTTTTAACTTCAGGGCAGCGCCGTGCGACTTGGACCAATTCTACTCGACTGAACGCATTTCCGCAACTATTCGGCGATTTACCAAGTATCTGCTTCCGAGACGTTCCTTGCCTGTGCTGTCACAACCTCAAAAGCGCTTATCACCTGAATTACGCTGGATGTACTCGGGGTCTCCCACAGAATATCCGGAAGGTCAGGAGCGTCCCATCTTTCTATATACAAATGAGGTGGACTAGCACCCTAATCATGTGCATTATGCCTGTTTCTTACCATGTGTAGGCCTATTGTACCTTCTCATGAGTCTCTTTGCGTAAAACCAACTCTCGAATGGAGTGGATCATAACTGTCAATGCAAGTTCCTCTCAATACTGGAGCAGATGTGAACACTCACATTTGGTGTTGATGATTTAAAAAAATTGTATCCCCAATTTGCATGGCCCATAGGCAATGTCAATTGTACAAGCTTTAGAACCTGTGCCTACGCCACGGTGGCTCGCAAAGCTTGCACCGCACTCCAGCCGGGTTCACAGCTTGTTGGGGGCAAGCCCCCAAACCCCCATTTGTCGTCACTTTGCTCCTCCACACTATATACTTGTTATTCTGCTCCTCAGTTATACCAATAATATGTATTATGAAGCTAGAAATAGTGCTTGATGTTGAGGAATACCCTGTATGTACAACCCAGTCTGACAGGTAAACAGTGTTAGTACATTATACTGTACAGTAGGTAGGTAGGTCAGACACGGTGCCATGGAGTTCCTCAGTTGTGTTTCAATCAACTATGGTAAGCATAGTATACTCTCTACAACTACCATACTGATGCATGTAGAGTAAACTGTTCCTTAACACTTGTCAATTAATCATTTAATTTAAAAGAACCTCTGGGATAGGATAGATAGGAGATAGTATGAAACAGACCTCACAATATAATTTCTATGTTCTCAGACATTGCTTAAGTATCATCTGTGCAGCCTCAAGAATTTGTATAATACAATGCAACAAACAACTTGACCTTTGGGATAAATAGCTTTGACCCCTTGTCTTGTTGTAGGGCAGATGACTGCATTCTGTGCAGATTTCAGCCTGTTTGCCTCACTAATTGATGTTGGGATTTGTTGATTGACCATTTGCAAAAGCAAGACTGACTGAAATTGATGTCTCTCCAATGTAAATGGCAGGTTCATCCAAATGTGAAGGTGTTAGCATTATGCCAGGTTCAAATGCAGTCTCCTGCATTATCACCTCCAGGTATTCTAACCTGTAGAACCTTGGAAGTGCATTGTGTTGGAGGTACTCCGTACATACATAACACAGCTTGGACACTTACCTTTTCCATAGACGGCGTTATTACAATAAACTATACAGTACTGAGTATATCACGCGCGGCGGCGTATTTGCACACCTCAGTTGCTTCACAGTCAACTGAGGTGAGACTCATAGTTTATTATATACTTACAGTCAACTGAGGTGAGACTCATAGTTTATTATATACTTACAGCCAACTGACGATCCCGTAGTTTAGATTACTTTAACAGGTACATACTCGAATACAGTTGCTTCACAGTCAACTGAGTTTAGATTACTTTAACAGATTATGAGACTCGTGCTCTGATCAGAAACAAAAACGTTCTCCCGCGATAGAAAGTATTCAATCTATAGGTACTAAAACCACAAAATGTCTTTCGGAAACAGTCTGAATATCCCGAGACTCCCGGATGAGAAACAGCTCATCAGAGAGGAAAATTGGAGACCGTTTAAACGCGAAATCACGCTCGCGGTGCAATCAAGAGGATTGAACGGATACCTAGATGGAACGATCCCCAGGCCGAGCAGCTACCCCGGACCAATATATCCACCAACCCCGACTCCCACACCTCTATTCAGTCCGACCCCTTGCCCGGAAGAATGGGAACTCCGCGACAGGCTCGTAGCCGGAGCCATCATTTCCAACATCACCGACCTCGTGGGTTTGGGAGTAGACGAGACACGATGGGCATCCGAAATATGGCAAGCACTGATAAAGCGATTCGAAAAGCGGGACGAGCAACACATACACCTTGCGGATACGAGCCTCCGCCAAGAAAAGTACGACCCCGAGTCAACAATGGAGGACCATGAAAAGAGAATGCGGAACCTCCTAAAAAAGGTCCACGACCTAGGAGGAACTGCAACCGACGCTCAGTTCCGCTGCATCGTCATATCATCCATGCCCATCGGATGGAAACAGGACGTCCGTAGCGTCCCAGGAACAACAAGCGCAGAGGCGTTCACCTACCTGCACATGCTGTGGTACGAAAAGGAGGAGGAACAATGTGAGGAAGAGCGGGACACCAAACGAGTGAAGGCGCTGATGGCAGCCCACTCAAATGTACCCGCACCAGCGAACTCGAGCACACCCCGCACCAGTAACAGGCCAGCGATCATATGCCACAACTGTAGCAAACCGGGGCATATCGCGAGGAAATGTTGGGCAAAAGGCAGGGGAATGGAGGGACAGTGGCCGAAGAATGGACAGGCCACGAAAACCACGGCAAACGCCAGCGTAACCGATCCAGCCAGCGACAGTACCTCATCCCCTATGGCAATGTACGTGATGTCGGCCCAGGCGAGCAGCAGGAACAGTACGTCCACGTCTACCCAACAGAATAAGTCCACCGCTGACCCAGCGTCTAGACCGGATAATCCCGTTCTAAGGGAAACGGGTCAGCGGGAGACAGAAAGGGAAGACGTAGATAGACTTAGCTGTATCACCGTATTGAAAGGGCAATGCACCGCGTGCCACGGTACCACCTCATTGTACTCGCCAGCTAGACCAACAATAAAAATGTTCCTTGACTCGGGAGCTTCTGAGCACTGTTGGGTAAGAAGAGAGGATTTTGTAGAATACTCCGAAGTGCAAGGACAGGGCAGAAGCAGCGCAATCGCGGGCGAAGGGGGAAAATTCCAGATACAGGGCATCGGGACTGTCCAATTCGTCACGCAAAATGGGAAGAGTGAGCGAACGATACAGCTCAGGGGCGTAAAACACACCCCATCCTTTGGGCATAACCTGGTGTCACTGTCGACACTGGACGGCCAAGGAATGAGAGGCGAGTGGGGAATGGGAATAATGACAGTCAGGGATCCAAAGGGAGAGACGGTCCTGGAAGGCTTCGGACGCAATAAGATGTATGAAGTCGAGGTCCTAGAGACGGGACACACTACAGTTAGCTACTCACGAACACGGGATAGACCAGTGGATATACTTACCTGGCACTGAAGACTGGGACACATCGCTATACGTCGTATAATCCGGATGGCAAATCGCGGACTGGTAGACGGCCTAAAGATCACGAACAGGGAGGTCCACGGGATGTGCGAAGACTGTATCTACGGGAAGGCTACAAAATGACCATTTGATGAGATCCTTACACATGAAACCGAAGTCCTGGAACGGGTACAAAACATCACGCGCAGATGTCAAGTCCATACCCCGGGCCTCCATTCCGCCGCTCGGTACTCCGAAGATCTACTCTTATTGTAATCTTACTCTTATTGTTCTTTCTCGCTACACATATCCTTTCGTTCTAGTCTCTCATTATTGTCTTTTACTCTTTCGTTCTAGTCTCTCCTTATTGTCTTTTACTCTACCCTGCAGGTACTACTCGTATAGCTCCTAGTAGTTAGTCTGGCGCTCCGCACCGATGCGCCGTTCCGTAGATATAAATACTGCCTGTACACTACTGTAGTTCCTCAGTTTAATTATCGACTTAGATTCCCTCTTTAACTCTGTGCTCTCTAAGTCTTCGGGCTCAACGCCTTGAAGTACGTTCTACTCTACCTTAGGACTTAGACGTCCTCTGGCTCGCTCCTCGTCACCGGCGATACCGCCGCTCCGACTTGGCTGCTCCTCAGTTCCTCCCTTCTCTCTACTCTCGATCTCCGGGGACTAACGGCGTAACAGCGGTGTTGTTAATAACTTCACTACTGTCCCACTCGTCTTCTGCACTTAGACACCTTGTAGCTTTGGCACGGTTACACAGTGTACATGATCTTAACAGTATAATTAAACTCAATCCATTAACGTCGTACTGACCTATCATTTTTATGCCTCCAAAAACTCGAGCTCAATCTAGAGCTAACTCCAAAGAAAACACTTTTTTCACCACAGCTCAATCATTTGCCCCTTTCTCCAACTCTATCTCTGCTATCGGTCAACCACGTCGCTGTAATCGCGGTTTCGGTCCAGCCACTGTTCCTACTACGTCAACTCTTCCTGAAGCCATGGAAGAGGAACAACAATTTGAGTACAGCACCTTGTACACTGGTGACGGACAACCTGTCCAAGTCCTGACCCCTCGCCGTGGACAACCCCCCGTGGTCGCTCCGGCGCGGGGCCGGTCTACTACTCGAATTGATTCTCCAATTCTCCAAGCCATAGCCCGCCGTACGGGGAAACAACCCCAACGTCGTGCTGCTTCTGAATCTCCTCGTGACCCACCTCCTCACTTCGATTTGGACACTGGTGATCACAATGATCAAGACCCTCCTGTCGACCCCGACGATCCGGGCGCCGACAACAATCATGACGATCTGGATGACGACTCCGGCAGTTTACCGCGTGGTGAGCCAGGTGACCCCAGTGGTCCTGGTGGTCCTGGTGGTCCCGGCGGCCCCGGCGGTCCTGGTGGACCTAGTGGACCCCATTCTCCTATCTCTTTTGACATTCCCAATGAGCAACGTGCTATGTTGGAACTCCTCTCGGGGTTCAAGGGCTCCATTGAGACCCTTGGTACCGTCCTCGCTGCTCTCGGCCGTCCTTCTGACAGCTCTGAATCCAAGAGCAAGGTCAAGGAGCCAGAGGTATTCGACGGTTCGGACCCCCGAAAACTCAAGACGTTCTTCGTCAATCTCGCCCTGGTCTTTAATGACCGTCCAAAGTACTTCACCGACCAACGGAAGGTGAACTACACCCTTTCCTATCTCAGTGGGTCAGCCAAAGAATGGTTCGTCCCTGATATTCTCGACCCGGATCTCGACTCGCTGCCGGCCTGGACATCCTCCTTCAAAGCCCTTGTAAAAGAGCTTCAGGACAATTTCGGCGTTTACGACGCGCAAGGCGAGGCCGAAGATTCTCTCGGTAATCTGAAGATGAAGGAAACCGAGAACATCCGGAAGTACAACATCCAGTTCAACACCCTGGCTGCTAGTACCAACTGGGATTCTGCTGCCCTGAAATGGGCTTATGGACGAGGCC